CAGGAAAGCTCGAGACTCGAGTCTAGATAGATCTTGATTCCAACAGTACAGCAGGGATGCCTGTCAGTACAGCTTTGCCAGGAAAGTGCTAGAACATTACATACGTGCTTCACATGGGCAAAGGTTGCAGAGAAATGAACATTGAAGTGGGTTGTCAGCAAAAAGGAATCTTCAAGAAGCTTGCCACATCACGAACGTGCGCGTGCTGCATGCACATGATGTCCTTGCCAAGACAAGACCTCATCCTGTTCAACATGGAGCCGCGGCCGCGGCGCGGCCAAGGAGTTCCCCGCGCGCCGCAAAAAAACTAGTATTCGAGGCGCGCTATACTAGCCATATATAGGCTAGCGCTAGGCTAGCTAGCTGTAAGAAACAAGTCACGTGAGACCACCTAGTACCTGGCACCTGCGGCTCGCGAGTCGTGAGTCGTATTCACTACTAGTGTAGCAGTAGCCGAGTAGGGGCTATGTCAGCATGTGCAAGGAATGGTATTTTTACTTTTGACAAACTCCTTTGAAAAGGCGTCCATCAATAAGCTCCATCGGACTCTAGAAGGACTAGAACTCAGTAGTAGTTAGTGGCTTGTTCTGTCATCCGTTCAAACAACGTGCACGTGCAAACTCAGTGAAGCCCGGCGACCTCTGGACTATTCAACTCACTAAATAAAACAGAAGTCATCATCATCACTTTCTGTTGCAGAGTTGGGTATATTTCCATTTCAGCTGGATGTGATCGTGAAAGCGTGTTCCCAGGATCACAAACACCATGGAGTCGGCTTTGATTTTCGTTGTGTCGCTGCTCGTGCCGCTATGTGGAGCGGAGCTATCTTTTCAGTAAGACAGTGCTGTGTTGCTGCTTGACTCGACTATCGGAATGTGAATCAGGGAATATGGCCCTGGGTACCCCGCCTATCTCAATGCTTTCAATCATGACCCCTATTCCTTTTCCTTGTCTGCGGCCTTGCTTGGCTAAAACCCACTCTCAGCCATTGTCCTCACTGGACTACTGGAGTGAGTTTGGTGCATGGTGAGATTTGAAACACTTGACTGACCTGAGCCAGTTCAGTCAAGAACTTCATTTATTTGAATTGAATGCAAAAAAAACAAGTACATTGTAGCGCTATTACGTACTACAGTCATGGCCAAAGGAATCCGACCTGCCAGTCAAAAGTAGTGCTGCATTTCCATTTCATCACGCACGATCCGTGGGCCACATCAGCTTTGGAGCTGCTTTTTGGCTCGCTGGTTGCCGAGGCTTCTTGCCCAGACTTTACGGTACAGTGAAACCTGTCTAAGGCGACCCCTCAAGGGACGAGAAAAAGTGGTCGCGGTGGCCAGGTGGTCTTCTTATCCAGGTTCAGTGGGTCATGTGACCATATCGACATGTGATACATCATTTTGATCAGTGCATCACAGTGCACACACCTATGCTACTCTAGCACGACTCATGTGCCTGGGGTCCTGACTCCTCAGACCTGTCAAATGTCGTGCATGCACCATGTACATCTACACTTCTTGCACTGCCTGGTGCACCATGCAATGCATACATTTACATGACTAGCACTGTACAAAGCGGTCGCGGGTGGGTGGTCGCCGGTCGCGTTGAGCGAGTGGTCGCCTTATCCGAGGTGTTTTGAATGTGAATGCGTCCGTGACAAGGAAAAGTGGTCGCCATGGTCGAGTGGTCGCCATATCCGAGTGGTCGCCATTACAGGTTTTACTGTAATAGTAAATGGTGCTACGCCTTTGTTGCTTTATGCCAAAGGTGTGCACCATACAACACAGTTGGCTCCTGTGTGTAATGTACATGCGATGATCCCGCTCCCTTAATGGCGGAATCCATGCGGAAACTACATTGCAGTATCTACTGCGACAACCAGCATGCAACTACATTAGTAAGCTATGGTTAGGACCCTAATGTGCGAGGCATTCTCCAGCGTGGTGGCTGGCCACGGCAATGTGGACGAGGTGCAAAGCAGTACTCTACCACGAAACGTGCGGATGCACGTTGAGCCATTTCAGTTCGAGCAGTGGCAGCTAGCATAAGGCGAGAGCAGTCCGAAGAATACTCACACGCACGAGAAGCCGAAACGCGAAGAGCAGCCGAACAATTTACAAGGCAGAAGAGGCACTATAACAAAGACATGTTCGTACACGACAGGAGTCCTTATGCTTAGAGCCGGCTATCCAGGTCATGTGATCTCCTAGCTCCGGCAAGCAGGGCGTCAGCAGTCGATGTGATTGCAGAGGAACCGCACGTTGGTGCGCTCGATGAACTCCAAATCATCTTTCAACTGACGGAGGGCGTACAGGGCATTCACCCCGCCATTAGCGCATCCGTGTAATGATCGATTAGACGGATAACCGATATAATCGTTTCAGCCCTACATGCAATACATGTTCCTTCAAATCAACACACTGTATGCACAGTACAGAAATGAATTCTTTGTTCCTTTTGTCGTATTCCAAGTTTCACGCCAAGTCTCTAGTTTTTACAGTGAAACTTGTCTAAGGCGACCGCTCAAGGGGGATCAAGGCGAATGAATAAAATACTGAAATAAATATGCTGTTATATGGTCCCGGTGTACAGGTGGTACTCTGATACAGGGTCATTTTACTGGAAATAACATCCATTGGTCCTTCCTAGTTTTAGTGGGGCAGTAGGTGGCCTTATCGTTGGCATGGTTAAAAGAGGATCACACTCAGCGGCTTGTTCTATTTTGCCTACACCAGCACCATGTAACAGTTGGCTGCTCCTTGCTGTGTGGTGACCAGGGAGTAGTAAAATGTGGGTATTTTTACTACTACTACTCTTTTTACTATTTCATGTACTCCCTGGTGGTGACTGTGTTTATGTGTCACATTGTGTGTATGTGTGTGTGCGTGCGCGCGCGTGTGTGTGTGTGTGCGTGCGCACGTGTGTGTGTGTGTGTGTGTGTGCGCGTGTGGGTGAATGTGTGCATATGTGTGCGGGCATGTGTGTACGTCACATCATTGTGTGTGCATTCTGCTGGCGATTACAGAGAATGGAGAGCAGAGTATGGCGAGGAGGCACTCTTTGCAGACGACAATATTCTCATCGACAGAGAACAGGTGTATTACAACAATGTCAAGCTCATTCAGCGTCTGAACGAAGAAGACAAGTGAGTGACTTTGCCGCCAAGGATATGACTGTTCCATCCTCTAGCACCATGACAGTAGCTAGTACAGACAGTAAAGTAGGAACTCGGGCGGTGAGACAGAGATGAATTGAAAGTCAGGAGAGGGAGCCATGGGGCGTCACATGTTTCGAATTGCTGTCCACCAATTTCACCGGATGTAAGGTCTTGAATGCTCAGCGCTATCAAGATGACGAGATGACTGTCAATTTGGGGCTAACCCGTTGCACACTCTGACTGTTCAAGGCGTGATTTTAAATTGGCGGAGTGCAATTCGTAAGTTGTGCTCCATGGTCCCCTCTCTCTTATCTTTCAGTCATATCACAGAAAAAATCCTATCTTCACCGACTTTTGGACTACCCGCTCTTGCCATTGCCTGCTTTTGAGCCGTAACATTTTTTCTTCTCTTGGTCTTGTTCATAGGTTGATCATTTCCTCTTTGGAATGGGGGCGCTACAGTGCAGACGGGTGGCTAACCAACCCCCACCATGTGCCTCGGCCTCCCTTTGGAGATAAAAAATGTCTGATTATTAGGGGTGAAACAATTATACCGAGTACTCGAGAACTCGCTCGGTTTTTTCAAAAATAATCGTACTCGGAATAAATGAGTACTCGTTCATACTTGGTACATGCATTTACTGCAGAAATCTGCAGTTTCAGAGCAGCAGTCGGCAGATGGTGATGTGCAGACTCACGGTGTGGTGAACATTTGTTCACGAGTAGAGAGAGCCCAAATGACCCACCAACCAATACACCCGAGAAAAATTACTGCTACTCAGTTCAATCAGGGTTGTATCATGTTATTTTAAAGCCCTTGGTGTGCAATTGTTAGGAGATGAAAAATACTCGAATACTCGAATATTCGATCGGAGAAAATCAGAGTACTCGAACTCGGGATCTCAGTGCCAACTTTCACCCCTACTGATTATTATTCTACCGTCCATGTGAGGTCTGATTGCAACCATTTTCTGCTTTGAAAAATGAAGGAATGTTTGTTGGTGACCATTCATGTTTTGTGTGCAGTGGGGCTGAGTTTCGAGTAAATCAGTTTGCTGCGATGACTCCCGAAGAGTTTCGTCACCAGGTGCTGATGCGTCCACAGAAACCGTTAGAGTTCAAGGAGACGCGGTAAGGAGCAGCAGCTGTTCAATCTCACACTGTAATGCATGATAATGGTCAATGGTGGTATGCAAACATCTGCTGATTTCATTAGCAGGTAACGTAATATTTTTAATTTGGGCGGTCTGCTCCTTGTGATGGGAGGTCACCCTGTCCTCACCATCTCTCTCACTGTGCAGCACGTTCACACACAAACAGGTGAGATGCTTGCTTTGATTCTTCCGACTCATTATGGGAGAGGTAAATGGAGCCAATGTTAAATTGGCGCTCAGCGATGGTGTTGCTGACGGGCAGGCAGAAGATGTGCTTGGTACACCAACCCCACAGATGCTGCTGTGAAGTCGCACTTGGGCACAATGGGCCTGACATCATTGCCACCTCCACGATGTCCTCCAGTAGCTCTGGACGATCCATGTCCCAACGTTTCCGCCAGGTGTTGAGGTCTTGCAGCTGGTCCGCAAGGAGCGACAGTACGACATACTCGTCAAGCCAAGAAGCACTGGCATCAGACGTTAAGACATGTACCGCCTCCACGAGCTCTAGTTCAATGGCCGTGTCGACGACAGCGTCCATGTCACCGCAGTTCGCTGCCTCGACGGGGAGGTCCGAGTGTTCCACTGCAATCGCCAGCAGGGCACTATTGATCAGTGCCTCGCGTCCGGTGTCCCACAACCATGCATGCCAAAATACAGTGTGGTGTGTTGTGCTTGCTCCCCTACACAGCAGTAGCTGGACACTTAACCATCGAGATGCATGCTTCCGCAAGGCTGCAGCTATCGCAGAAGTGAACGCAGGCAGGATCTCGTTGTAGAAGACATGCTGGGATGTTTCATCAAGCCTGGCCGCTGACTGGATGGTCTGAGTCAGAGCGAAGTGAGGACGAGTGGTCATGAAGGACACTTGGCGAAGATCCTGCAGGACCCGGGTTGACCACATCCGAGAAAGGTAGCCTTTGGCGAAATTCAGCTCATCATCCTGGCTGTGGCAAGAAGACAAGGCGGGCATGAGCAAGTCGTGCAGCACTTCCCATAAGAGGCAACGCTCCGTGACAAGGACAGGACTTGCGGCCATTTCGATGATGTCCCGCCATATGCCGTAGTGGGAATTCGACTTAAGCATGGACTTGAGGACTGCCTTGCCCATCGGGATGCAGCTGTCCCCATGCTGCCACCACCACCTCAGCAGCTGTCCCCATGCTGCCACCACCACCTCAGCAGCTGTCCCCATGCTGCTACCACCACCTCAGCAGCTGTCCCCATGCTGCCACCACCACCTCAGCAGCTGTCCCCATGCTGCCACCACCACCTCAGCAGCTGTCCCCATGCTGCCACCACCACCTCAGCAGCTGTCCCCATGCTGCCACCACCACCTCAGCAGCTGTCCCCATGCTGCTACCACCACCTCAGCAGCTGTCCCCATGCTGCCACCACCACCTCAGCAGCTGTCCCCATGCTGCCACCACCACCTCAGGTGCTCAACCATGTAGGACCACCTGCTCTCCACAAATTCCTGGGGCAAACTGGGTGCCTTCTTACAGATGCCCTCAGACGTGTACAGGGCTCTGCAGTAGGATGGGTGCTGGTGGTGGACATACGCAACTTTAAAATGCAGCTGGTACAAATTAAAGTCACTCATTCCACCTCTGCCGCCAAAGCCATCGCCGATAGCCGTCTTGAGCGCGATAGTCACAATATATGGGTAGCAGCCGATGAAAGTAGCCTTCCCTCTGAAAAGCTTGCCAAGCTCAACGGCTGTTTCGATGTCTTCTCTGTGTCTGCACATAACAAGACACGCATGAGCATACGTACACAAGCAGCACATCCAAACGTTAGCTGTTTGTGGATGTACCACCATGTAACTGGTTGATACTCTGACGGTGCCACGTACCCGATAATTATGTAGATCGTAATATACATGTATGAACTGATATACCGGTAATTGCAAGTGGGTTATGGTGCATGTGCCGTGAGAATTCCTCGCGCATTTGATGGTTGTTCCTCTATACTTATTGAGCCAATTGCCAGTAGTTTACATTTTTTAAATAATAATACGATAATAATTATTTGCTGGTTTAGGGCATGATCGATTGGGCGAATCCAGAGCAAGTGCGCTCCGAGTGAGCGTGATCGTTTGGTCGAATCCGATCGAATCCGGAGTAGGTGTACTTGGAGTGGAATCCGACCACACCGGCCCCCACACCGGGAGTGGCTGGAGTGGAAATGGACTTTGCCGTTTTTGGACAGCTTTCACCGAATCTTTGTACGATATGCGTACATTTTGCGTACTACACCCTTGTTTTGTTCGATTGGGCCAGCGTTGCTCGGACTACACCGCCTGCTCGCACTCAATCCAGATTCGCCAATCGATGACACCCTTAGAGGGGTCGTCCATAAATATCGAACTTTTTTCACAAAACGAAATAATTTCGTTATGAGGTGGGAGCTAGGCCCGGAGGGGGTTGACCCATTTTGTTTCAGGAAACATTGATCCATGCACATGGCCGCTGTATATGCATGTACAGTCAAACCTCGTTAGAACGAACTTCAAGGGACTGAACAAATTTGTTTGTCTTATCGGGAGTTCTTCTTATCCAGATCTGACAAAAAATCGATATGCATATCAGATGGATTGTATTTACGTGAAGGTGCATGCTGTGGTACATGGGAAGCATGTTATTCTTAGCATAAGCCAGAAACAGGTACATGTAAGTACAATGACAAAGACAATGAATCACGACTGTGTCGAAGGTTCGTACAACGCACTGATTATTTTGTTCAAAACACGCTTGAAAACAATTTGCACTGTACGTACAATATGACCTCGACTATTGAAAAGAAGAAGAAAAAAGGCTGCCAGCGCACGCGCACGCTCGTGGACCGAAAGTTCGTACTACATGTACATGACCACACTGACTTTGTTCAAATCACACTTGAAAATAGTTCGTCTTCGCGAAAGTTCGCTGTACAGAAGTTCGTCGTAAACGAATAATTTTGACTTGAATTGATGCCTGGCCAACCATAGGATTGGCCTTAGTTCGTACTAATGGAAAGTTCGCCTTATCAGTGTTCGTCCTAACGAGGTTTGACTGTATGTTAACATGTTTTACGTTCTGAGGGGAAGGGAGGGAGGGGTTGGGTCTCTAAACTAAAATAATTCATTTGGTGAAAAATGGAGGTCGACGCTTTTGAAATCTGTGTAGACGATGGTGAGGGCTGACCTTGCAAAAATTGTGTCCTTCTCAGACAACAACATAATAGTCACGTGTGTGTGTGTGTGTGTGTGTGTGTGTGTGTGTGTGTGTGTGTGTGTGTGTGCGTGCGTGCGTCCGTGCATGCATGTGTTTGTGTGCGTGTGTGTGTGTATGTTTGTGCGTGTACGTGTGTGTGTGTGGTGTGTGCGTGTGTGTGCACGTGTGCAGATACATGGAATCAGTGGAAGCAGCTGCTCCTCTACCGACATCCTTTGACTGGACAACGCACAGCAATGTTGTGACTTCAGTCAAGAATCAAGGTTTGTTGATAAATTAACAGTGCTACTTGACATTCACATATTGCCTGGTCTTCAAGTGTTTTGATCTCGATATTCTCAAATTTTTGTTGTCCGCATTGTCACTTGCATGATGTCAGTCCAAGTATTTCCTCAAAATGCGAATATGGGTACATGTATTGGAAGAATGCCAGTGGGTAACTTTGGTTGCATATTTTGTGTTGCCAATGCAGGTGCACTGGGATCTTGTTGGGCGTTCAGGTAATGACAAAGTTACGCTTGATCATTTGATAGTGTTGTTTTTAAGGTATTTCTCAGCACCCGGGGAAAACGCAGCATCTTATTCTGGCAGCTATGCTTGTGGCGTAGCAGCCGCCCATGCTGCTGTGTGTGACTGTGGATGTGGTCTTTAGTGGATTTTGAATTTTGTTGCTGTTACCCCGGGTCACCGACTTTGTCATACCACTGCCAGTAGCCTTGATGTGAGCATACAGTTCGGGTACCAACAATGGTACTGTGCAGGACAGTGACTGGTGCCCACCACGTGTAGTAGTGACTGCAAGTACTGTGGAAACTCACCTATGTACTTAGAAGCTGTACTCATGAAGGAGGCTTGGAGTCCGTTTGCCACAGCTCCAGCTGCTGCTGTTATACGAGCAGCATGCCCACTCTGGAACGTTGGCAATGAATTACGGAGGATTAGCAAGACGAAATTTGCGTTCGCGTTTGCAAACATTTTTCAGTTCGCGAACTGGATTGTGAACTTTCGCATTTTTCGTTCGGAAAAGTAGTCGGAACACGAATCGCGGATTCGTGTCAGGGCAGTCATAAATTTACCATGCTGTACTGTCTGTACACAATGTACGTCGTGTCAACGTCATGCATGTGCGAATTCTGTTTGCTAATCCTTCTCATAACGCGAATTCCGTCACTGAGTTCGACTTTCCTTGGAGAGCGAACGCGAATTTCGTCTTGCTAATCCTCCGTATTGTCTCCTTTCCTTTCCTCATTTTCTTCTGTTGGTGGTTGTTGTTGTTGTGTGTGTGCAGCACTGTTGGTAACGTTGAGGGTCAGTGGGGTCTGAAGAATGGTCTGAAGAATGGTAATGACACTCTACAGTCACTGTCCACCATGCAGATACTCTCCTGTGATGCCGAGAAGGACATTGCTCAGTAAGGATCATACATGTGTGCACTGTGGTACACCCCCCCATAGTGTTTTGGTGGCCGTTGCTATTCACTTGCCCAGCATGACAACAAGCTCCCAGAAGTGATGAGTGAGTTTGTGTGCAAAGCTGCCTGAAACACACACCGCCAGTTACCGCCCCCCCCCCCCCCCCCCCCCCCATCGCTAGGACTGGGACTAGCCGTGCGTGTGTGCAACTCTTGTGCTTAGCCTTAGATCACACCACTCAAAACAAAAAGAAATACTTCAGACACCTTCCCCAGTAATGAAAGGGTATTTCAATTTTCAAGTCAGTACTTCACTCACCGCATCATAGTGAATCTGCTGACATGGTTCACAAGTAGGGTTTTGTTTTGTGAAAATTCAAGCTGTGTGTTTGGATAGTTGTGGGAAGCTATTACAAGCACGTGGTGACCAGTTGTGCAGAGCCAGGAACAACCGGTCTTCTTTCCTGTTTGTCTTGCTGTGTGTGTGTGTGTGTGTGTGTGTGTGCGTGCGTGCGTGCGTGCGTGCGTGTGTGTGTGTGCGCGCGTGCGTACGTGTGTGTGTGTGTGTGTGTGTGTGTGTGTGTGTGTGTGTGTGTGCGTGTGTGCGCGTGCATGTGTGTGTGCGTGTGTGTGTGTGTGTGTGTGTGTGTGTGTGTGTGTGTTCTGTGCTATACAGTGGCCGTGCCGACTGTGGTGCGTTTGGTGGCTGGCCGTATCTCGCCTATCAGTACCTGATGAAAGCGGTATGTTACGTGACCTGATCATTGCCTGTTCTTGAGTGGTATGTTACGTGACCTGATCATTGTCTGTTCTTGAGTGGTATGTTACGTGACCTGATCATTGTCTGTTCTTGAGTGGTATGTTACGTGACCTGATCATTGTCTGTTCTTGAGTGGAGCTTGTACAGTGTGCTGAGAGTAGCTTCACTGTGTTACTGTGTATTCTTTACGGTGATTGCCATGGACTGTGTATTCTTTACGGTGATTGCCAGGGACTGTGTTCCCAATAGACCCATTGCGCATTGCCAAATATGGAATGTACCGTATTTTCCCCATTAAAGGGGAAGTTAAGGCAAAAATTAAAATTTCACCAGTTGTAGTCTTCGGGGTGCTGAGTCGAATGGTCTTGGTCCGAGAAAGCTGAGACGCTCCCTTCCTACTTGAATCCCAATCGAACTCGCGCACTTCCACCGAAACTGGGTGACTGCGCCCTACGAGATGGGGATTTGTATGCAAAATGTCACTAAAAGCGCCATTTCGTTCTTCTAAAAGCACGGATGACCGCGATTGGCCCATATGTTGTAGTCTTTTGGACGCTGAGTCGACTGGTTTTGGTCCGAAAAGGCTGCGATGCAGCGTTCGCCCCTAATTCCCAATCGAACATGGTTGAAGAAGCGGTCACGTGCTCCTGCGTACACCAGTCACCTGGTCACCGTGCCTGCAGGGTACAACTTACAGCCTGTTTTGACCTTTTTTGGGTGCAGTCCTGTCACTCGAGTTGAACCTTGGTGTGAAAGTTGTCGCCTGCTGGCGTGGTGACCAGGTGATTTTGGCACCCAGGAGCACGTGACCGCTTCTTCAACCATGTTCGATTGGGAATAAAGGAGGAACGCTGCATCGCAGCCTTTTCGGACCAAAACCAGTCGATTCAGCGTCCAAAAGACTACAACATATGGGCCAATCGCGGTCATCCGTGCTTTTATAAGAACGAAATGGCGCTTTTAGTGACATTTTGCATACAAATCCCCATCTCGTAGGGCGCAGTCACCCAGTTTCGGTGGAAGTGCGCGAGTTCGATTGGGATTCAAGTAGGAAGGGAGCGTCTCAGCTTTCTTGGACCAAGACCATTCGACTCAGCACCCCGAAGACTACAACTGGTGAAATTTTAGTTTTTGCCTTAACTTCCCCTTTAAATGTATAGTAATTTTATTTTTTCAAAGGTGGTCAGACCTGTACTACTATAGGAGACTGTACTAGTATTGGAGACGTGTACTTTTATTGTTTCTGGAAAGATTGATTGCCTGGGTTGGGTGGCAAACAACTCGTGATAATGATGCTGTAAGGCTGTAAATACACCCAACCATGGTAAGAATCAGTGTACAAAGACACAATGACGATGAACGGGTAAGAAAAACGAAGTAAGGTGGACCCTGGTATCTGTACTCCACTAATGCCCATCACATCATTCCGGCATGTACTTGGTCCGGCTCATCGCAATTGTCGCTTATCTATAGCCACTAAGAACAGGAGTTTTTTTACCGCCCTGTGAAATTTCCAACAGGCATAGTGAAGAAGCATGATACATGAATACTCTCCGCCAGAAGAAAAAAATTTCAGCAATGGAATCAGGCGAAGCGAGTCGAAGAAAGGAAGCAAGGGAAGCAAAATGCACGAAATAAATCAGCGAAGAAGCGCGTTCTTGCACTCACACTAGTAATACAGGTCTAGAGTTCATTCAACTCTGCATCTCTCGAGCCGCGCCGTTACATGAGCTGACATTTGCTGGTGTCTAGCTGCTGGCGTACACTGGTAGAGTATCTCTTGCGTTCTCAGCCTGTCGTATGGCAGCAATGGGAAAGAAACAGTTGTGGATGTCACTTCGCCGACTGCGGTGCTTGAAGGAACCGTGGGCAGTGTGACCTGTGTGTCACCACAGTGTGTTTCAACAAAGCCTTCCAATGAGGCATACAGGCCTCTCCGGACAGCTGTCATACGCTCCGCTGGATACGCTGGCCACAACTCTTGTAATGCGGCTGCTAGGTCAACCAAGAGAAGGAACAACCAACACGTCGGCCGGGCGCATCGCATCAAAAAAAAACCTTTCTTCTTCAGCATGACGCTCATACTCCTCTGCCGTGCACGCGTGCCTGTCACGCTCTCCAGGCCAGGATGTCAGTTGCCCCTGCTACAGTTCCGTTCTTGGGGTCGCTGCGCTTGGCTTTTGCAAGTTTTGGGAACACAGACAGTGAATGGCCAGATTCCCACTTCCCAAAAAGTCGAATACATCGCGATTCAAAGCGCTAGTCGCGATCATTTTTTCTTTGGTGCCTCCTTTGATCTTGCCATCACGATCTCCCAAGCAAAAGTAAGTTAGATATCGTGATTAGACTGGGTTTTACCTGTCAAAAAGTGTGTGGGGGATAAGCGACAATTGCGATGAGCCGGACCAAGTGCTATTATTAGAGACGTGTCCTTTTATATTTTCGATCCACACCCAACATGTACTACAATTGGGGACGTACTAGTAATGGAGACGTGTACGTTTAATGGGGAAAATACGGTATGAGTAATGCTTGTGAGTACGCTGGGATCAGCAATGCACTGTTCAACACCCCCACCCCCCCCCCCCCCCCCCCCCCAGACGACCATGCGTACCCTACCCAGGTGACTGTGAAGGGTGTTTATGGTACAAATTACTACGTCATTGCGCAATGGGTCCATTGTGCTTGTGGCATTCAAAGAGTCCTAACATTCTAATTCAGAAGATGTACGGTATTACAATGTACAGTTAGGGGTCGTCTATATTTAAATATCCATCTTCTACACGAAACCGAAAAGTTTCGTTTGTGGGTGGCCCGGGAGAGTTTCGTTTTGAAAAAAATATCGACAGCCGAAACATCAATCCATTCTAGCTGTCAAGTCTGGTTGGGTGGGGAGGGTTGTAACTTGTAACTAAACTAAACATTATCGATTATCCCCCCCCCCCCCCTTACATTCCCTGTGTTAAAATCGTACGTACCTCACATATCCGCTGCAGACATGACACTACAGTGCAGCTCACCTGTGTGATGTTCTGTGTGCTGCGCGGTGGTATCTTTCTTCAGGGCGGCATTGAGCCGGATGTGGACTATCCGTACTGCGTGGACGGCTGCTTCCCGTGCGCTCCACACGGTTACAACGTTAGCCTGTGCGGTCAGAAGGTGGAGTACTGCCGCAAGAACGACAGCTGCCCGGCCATGCTCCGAACGCAGGACTTCGTTCCAGGCCTGCAGTTGGCTGACTGGAAGGCGATCAGTACGGTAAGACATGACCTACCATATTTTCCCGGCTATAAGCCGTACCCGGAGATTTTTTGTCACGAAATACCGACATCTACCCTGTATTTCACGGTTCATTTGACCATCATAATGTACGCCACACTGACTTTTTGGGTGAATGACGAGTGTTTTAAATGCAGTTTTATTTATTTATTTAATTAAATTTTTTAAATTTGGCCGGTTTATACTCGGGAAAATACCGAACTGTAACAGCATGCACGTTAACTTACCGGTGAATATTGTGACGATGAAAACGGGGTCTGTTGTAACTGGACTGGTACCCGTTACTAGTAAGGTTTTTCTATGAACTTGTAGGTTGCAGTGTATTTCTATTGGCACACGTCGAAGCAGTCATGCGTGCGGTGCTGATTGTTTGTTTGTTTGTTTTGTTAGACAACAATACCGTACATTTTAAATGTCCAGGGTCACAGATCTACTTATAGTACATTGTACCGATATTCCACATTGTACGGAGCAGAAGAGGTTTAAAGATCTAGAAAGAGGTTGCATGTTGCCCCTATATAGATGTTATGTGTACAGAAGGTAAAGTAAAAAAAGTAAATCATTATTATCGTGTCCGTTCCCGAAGGGAACTCACATAAGGTAGCACATACCGTAAAGTCGCGGATGAAAGCCGGGTTTGCATACAAGCACATCGCGGATAGAAGCCTGAAAATCAAACGGGTCAAATGCATATAAGCCTGTCGCGCGTAGAAGCCTGGCTTCTCTGCAAGCGCGGATCGGGTGGGTCAAGAGTGCATGCGCTATGTACGGTGCATAGTAAAACTGCCGCCATACCGGTAGTCAGTGGTAGATCTACGCGTGTCGCGCGTAGAAGCCTGGCATACAAGCCTGGCAAAATATCAGTAGTGCATATAGCATGGTTTGCAAACAAGCCTGGTTTGCATTAAAGCCTGATGCAGAAAGCGGCTTATGTGCTTATAAGCCCGGCTTTTATCCGCGACTTTACGGTAGTTAATTAACTTAATCATGATGCCTGATGTCACCTAGTTTTAACCCCTATTGTGTGCGTGTGTGTGTGTGTGTTTATGTACGCACATGTGCATGTGTTGTGTACGTGTACCGGTATGTGTATGCGTGTTTGAATGTGCTTGTGCATTTGCACATGTGTGCGTGTGTGCGTGCGTGTGGGTATGTTCATGCTCTGCTCTGCTCTCTCTCTATTTAGGATGAGACTGAGATTGCACAGCAGCTAGTGGACATTGGACCACTGTCGGTGGCCATGGATGCCACTCTGCTGAATTTCTACCACAGCGGTGTGTTCCATCCACCCTTCTGCAGTAAAACTGAACTTGATCACGGTAAGCATGAACAGTGCCAATACGTAGTGGTGGAAATTTCAATGTGTGTTAATACACGCTTAGCATATCCGTTGCAGCATGAAGTGTGTGCCATTGCACCTTGGCGATGAACGCTGCTGCACTTGGCGCAAACCCGTCCAAGTTGTATCTCCTATGGTGCAGCGTGTAGCATACCAGTGTGGAAGGTGAAGCACGCTGGCATTGTGACGTACCTGCACACGTTAGTGTGAAGTGTTTACATTGCAGTCTAGTGTTACGTACACCACTTGCACTGTATAGTGTTGTATTGCATGGTGACATTGTACATGTGCTTCAGTACTACAAGTAGTAGTAGCACTATCTGTTGTTCAACGCTTTTGAATCCATCGAGTTCCTTGTCCATCGTTATTCTCACATTCTGCTACTGTAATGCTGACAATAACTGACAGTAGCTAGTGCCCTGTCTTCATTCTTGTTCTGCTGGCTCTGCTCTCTCTGCCCTACTCTGGGTTGCAGCTGTGTTGATTGTTGGCTTTGGAGTGGAAAAAGAGCTGTTGTCAACCAAGCCCTACTGGGTAAGTGTGCACATGCCATGAATACCCTGTGTCTGCCTAGGCTACAGTTTCTCATTGTCCCTTGTTACTCCCAGAGCTACAGTATCCCATTGTCCCTTGTTACCCTACTGAGTATCCCATTGTCCCCTACATTGAGCTAGAGCATCCCATTGTCCCCTGTGACTCCCTGAGCTACAGTATCCCATTGTCCCCTGTGACTGCCTGAGCTAGAGCATCCCATTGTCCCCTGTGAATCCCTGAGCTAGAGCATCCCATTCACCCCCCCCCCCCCCCCCCCGACTGCCTTTGCTGCAGTATCCCATGACTGCCTGAGCATCCCATGATCCCTCGTCACTCCCCGAGCTATATGCTCATTTATGATGGTAGGATTTCCTATCTAGCAAAAAGGTTGACCTGCATGCTCTGGCATGTACCCTCTCAAGATGGTGGCCAAAGGTCCAACTCCACCATCACAGTGAACAAAAAATACGAACAGCTGAACAGTTCTTACTTGTCTCTTCTTGGTCCAGGCGGCAACAGTGACTTATCCTTGTCGAATGCATTGCTGTCTTGTTGTTTCTGTTTCTTGTTGGATGGCCTGCTGGGAATGGTACTGCATCTGTAATGAACCGGTGTGTGCGAATGCTATCACTACGACCAGCTCGTCAAGAACAGGTATGTGAACGTTACTAGCTACTTGTAGTAAGGAGCAACTCCTGCCCCCCCCCCCCCCCCCACACCCCATAATCGTATCGCCATGAAATTGTAGCGAAAGTCCGTAACCCCCCCCCCCCCCCCACACACACACACACATAATCTCGTTGCCATCACATTGTAAGGAAAGTCCGTGACCAAGAGTATGCAACTGTAACTTACAGGTGGTCAATGGCCATTGGCCAGTACACTGCCTTCATTGCGTAACTTGTCTGCCTCGTGCCCTGTACTCAAGCACTCAAAATCTGCAATCTCTCCTACCAGTCCAACGGTTTCTTGATTTGACAGCACGGTCCCTACATTTTGAGTACACAAACTCTAGTTCCGTTCGAAAGTCAGTTTCAAACAACAGAAAAAAATTACCGTATTTTTCCGGTTGTAAGTCAACCTTTTACGACTAAAAATAGAAGGAGAAAGGGTGCGGGTCGACTTACAACTGGGATTCGACTTATAACCGGGAACTATCAGAATCTTACAAAAAATGACCTGCCCTGCATGCATGAGTGCACCATCTGTACACATGTTTATTGGCCTTTTTCAGGGATTGGGACGTTATATCCTCCAATAAGGAAAGTTTACATGATTTGTTGATGTGTTAGTAGCAGGGAGTGGTTGGCAGTGCTTCGTTGGGTGAAAACTTTAAAACGCAGAATTGAGACCTCCGGATACAGGGGTCGACCTATAACCGGGGTCGACTTACAACCGGTAAAATACGGTAACAGAATTAGCTTTCTGCACATTGTGGAGACGAAGTCGTATGCTGAGTAATAGTGTAATGAAGGCAGTGCACTGGGCAGCTGTTCCATTGGAGATACCCCATAGTCCACTGTTGCATGCTTATAGACTCCTGCTGGTAGCCAATGCTCTGCAGTAGAATCTATTCAAGAGAGGGCTATATTTTTCACTGGCTCTTAGAGACTGGGGCACTATTCGAGATAGGGCACAATTAAAGAGAGGGGCTAGTGATATCGTCATGCTGACTCACATCATTGATTCATTGCACACATTTTGCTGTGTGTATCGTCTGCAACATGCACTTACTATATTGTTTCTGTAGCTGGGGTGCAAAGTGGGGACAGAAAGGCTACTTCAAGATCATGCGTGGAGAAGGCACGTGCGGCATCAACACCCAGGTCACAACATCCGTCCTCAAATAGAGCGCCATCAAACAGCATTCCAGAAGACATTTGATTTCGTTTTGGAGCTGTGCTCCTTAAATTTTGTTTTTGTTTTAGTCCTGTTGATTTGTAGATCAGGAACATTATCCCTGTGCCTGCTTGTATGAGAGTGTGTGTGTTTGTGTGTTTTCGGATGTGTCCATGTGCTGCTGAAGTAAATATGCCGACAAGCCAATTTCACAATACTCTTTTTTTCTGGTCTTATTCAGAAGAAGTCTTCAGGACAGCTGGTCCTATTCCACATTTTTATTTGATCTGGCCAGTCAAGCCTCACACACATGTATGTGCACTGGTACTAAAAAGAGCATAGAAACCTGGAAAAAAAAGTAAAAAAGCTAAAGAAAATGAACTGTGTGTTTTGTGGATAGGAGCACGGCGGGAAAAGAAAATATTTACATATTTGTATGGTTAAAGAACATCCATGCCGTTGGTTTTTGCATGCTTGGTGAGAGAGATTTCATACGCAATGTTTTTTTTGTACAAGAATAATATAAGGAAGCGAATTTGCTGCAATTGTTCAGTTGCATGTAGTCTACCAAAGCACTCACAGCTATGCGTAGCTCAGTGGTACAATCGGGGCTTCGTGGCGGCCTAAGAAGGCGTGCTGTCACCTACACCCACGGCTGCCATCCCGGGAAAACACGGCAAAGGTTGGACTCGTTGGTGGCCTCCTGGATAAGATGGGCCACCTGACCGCTCACGCTCAGTGCCACGCCTTCCTCTTCGATGCCCTGCAGTTTCTGCTGCATGCGCTTTAGCACGTGCTCGGCCATCTTGCGCGATGACGACGACTCCATGGAGCGAGAGCCGGATGAGGCGTTGCCAGTTTGACCGCTGGCACCACCACCGCCAACAGCACCTCCGCCGCTGGTCTGCGTGCCCTGTGGCGTGCCTATTCCACCACCGCCATCTCCCTGCAGCTTGCGGGCCTTCACCGGACTCACTGTCCACTGGTATAGTGGATCGTAGAGCAGTACCTACATGTACAGTAGCAACGTGCACACAGGCATAGGCACAGACACAAACACAGATGCGCAGACACAAACACGTTTCTCGAGCTATTAATTAAACAATGGTTTCTCATTAAAGCGAACTTTGTGCCTTGTCTGAGATTCAACTCTCACAGTAACTAAGAGCAGAGAGATAGTGTAGACATGACAACAGGCTGCATACCTGAAGAGGAGAGAGAGAGAGAGAGAGAGAGAGAGAGAGAGAGAGAGAGAGAGAGAGAGAGAGAGAGAGAGAGAGAGAGAGCAGAGCGTGTAGATATTATTATTATTATTATTTATTCTTCTTTTACTAGGGAATTCCCAACAGGCGTCAACGCCTTTTTACAGGGAACCCTAGGTATAATTTGATGGATGAGCGAAATTCAGCTGGTGAACTAGACATGCGGCAAGCGGGTGGAAGTGTATTCCACCTGGCAGCGCCCAAATAAGAAATTGCACTAAAGCCATGTCGGGTGTTTAATAGCGGGGCAGAACAAGAGCAGCAGAGACTTGGCCACGGGTGGTGGCTGCAGTGCGAGCACCATGGGCGCGCAAGGTAAAGCGGTCTCGCAGAAGAGGACTAGCAAGTCCATTCAGGCAGCGGTAAACAAATACGATATGACAACAGCTTACCTGCACGATAGTGAGCAGCTCTTCACAGGATTGTTTCATTAGCTGCAAGGTGGCCTCGGAGCAGCGGCGGAACATACCCTCCGTGCCGGACAGACCCATACCATCCACAATGTCACGTGTCAGCCGAAACGGAATTGTCTCCGGAGTTGGTAGTGCCTTGCCTTGCTCAAACGCCACACCTGGACAGTGGAAAGGAAAGGGGAAGAAATGCTATGTGATAATCATTGGTAATGCTAGGCACAGAGTGGGTTGACCCAATCAATTGGCAAATGTTAATTTTTTTTACAAAGACCACTTAAATGCCAAACATGAGCTGCAGCTAGTTTGAGTGAGGATATTTTCTATTAGGCCATGGTAAAATTTATCTTTGATTCTCAAGTATGCGCGCACCGATTTTTGGCGGCGCACCGACGATTTTTTATTTCTATGCATGCATATGCGCACATGAAAACGGTCAATGCGAAAGGCATGAATCAGGGAGTAGTAAAATACCGGTATTTTTCTACTCCCTGGCCTGAATAAAAAAATTTAAAAAAACCTTTGACGTACTTATGTGTGACCCTATCTTTGGAAATAAAAAAATGTGGGAAATAAAATAAAAAATCGCTCGCTCGCACCGATTTTCACAGGCTCATGACCTGAGAATCAACTTTATTTTTTACCATGTCCTTAGTGAAATGCTGTTGATCTTCAGCCACAAGTGACAATGTGTCCCAAGCAGGGAGTAATAAATTTAAATACTGGTATTTTTACAACTCCCTGGTCCCAACCCAGTTTGAAGAGTTCGACCTGAAGGAAATTGTAGGATTGCCTCGTGCCAGAATCTTTTACAGGGTAGCTCTGCACTCGGGGCCCTCACTCGGCTGGCACGCAAAATACATCCCCTATTCCTCTCACGTGATATCTTCAGCGTGTGGTACATGCGAACAATGCGAACCCACAAACACACATGTACGCAACAAAGGGCACATCACTTTATGATGGCACACACCTTAGCCTTTGGCATAGCCTGGGAACTAAAAATAATTCGTACACACGGTAGCAATCCTTACCCAAGTCAATATGAATGACCTCAGCAGTGCGACGATCAATTAGAATATTCTGACAGTGACGATCGCCAAGACCCATAATGTAACCAACTGTGGAAGAGGGGAGAGCAAAGAGGAATATAGAATACAGAAGACGGGACTAACTAAAAGTTATGTACGCACAGAGAAACCTACAGCACCACCACATATCGATACAATGAGAACACACACACACACATACGAGTACACACACGCGTGCACAAACACACACAAAACTCACCAATGGATGCGGTGGCAGCACTTCTAGTGTACACCAAGCTGTGCTCAAACCACTGCGAAGGATCAGAGAAGTTCTCCAAGAAGAAGTAGCGGAATACGGGCAGGAAGGCTTTAGTTATATCCTGTCAGAACAACAAAAATAAGCAGGAAAGACTCAACTGGAGGGAAACGGTTTCACCCAAGAACTCGGTATACAACAAGATTGTACTTCTTTTTCAAGTAAGATACCAGTATTCACAGCACCGGATATCTAGAAAACTGGCTCATCCAACACCAGAGTCATTCTATAGTATTTACACATACCAGTATTCACAGCACCGGATATCTAGAAAACTGGCTCATCCAACACCAGAGTCATTCTATAGTATTTACACATACGTTTACATGCGCCGATGACTACAATAGACACACTGTAACGGTACACTCTCTTTTCTGCTGTTATCTGGAGTTGCTAAAACACTCAGACAGTACATTGAGGTGGATTATTGACACTTGTCTACGATTGATGAATACATGTACAGAGACAACCAACGTGCACTGCTCAAGCTGTGCTCAATACCGGAGGGGCAGAGCTTCCAAACATAGATGGCACAACGAGGTTCTACCTGCAACTCACACAATGCAATCTAGTTGGAAGTGTTGCCCGAGGATTGCTTTGTGTGAAACTAGAGTTGCAGCTGAAAGCTTTGTTCTGCCTTTTACGCACATGTGGAGATCGAATACAGACTACATTGTACAGAGGAATACAAGTAGAGGGAGATTCCGTAGTTCTTACCGTGTATGCCTTTAGCTTTGCTTCCGGGGTTTTAGCATTCTGGACAGAACGGCCCACAACAAATGACAGCAAGCGCCCATACTTCAATACATCCCTGGGCTTTTCCAGTCACCACAAGCACAAACAACTACACACAGAAAACAGCTGCATTCTGTTCACAAGAGGACGTTTAGGGCTATGAGAGTACCCATGTGGCTTGGACATGCAAGACCACCATATCAATATGAAATCAGTCGGGGAGGGGGTTCACAATTTAATCCATCACAAGTAATACTGGAAATAGCCTGGATCAAAGGAAATCTTTTTGCTATAGCTCATGATCAGTGAACATACCATCAGTGTTTCACGACAGCGCATGTTGGTCGGTGCAGTTGGCTGGTAACGTCTATGTGCACTTTGGTCACCAACGACCAGATACTGCCCGAGTGGCATGGTGTCAACACACCATTGCACTACACCGGAACGTTGAGAGAGCGGAATCACCTGCATGGTACAACGCGGGCACATCGTGTAAAAAAAACACACACACACACACACACACACACATGCATGGGGGTGTTGTACAGGGGTGAGTGGGCCATGGTCTGGAGTAGTAGCATGTGTGTTACCTCTACAAAATGTACATACTTCGAAGTACATTACATGTCATAAACTGTAAAGGTTCTTGATCATGTACAAGTACTGGTACTATTGCGGAAAGAGATAAAGAAGTGTTCCAAGTACAGAAACTTGTTCACTGAAAAGAGTGATCGGTGGTATGATTTATACAAAATTCAACACAATTCAAAAAACTCCCTCACAGCCACAGGGCACCATATACTGTAGAGCGTTACTCGCTGGACTCTCATCAGACGAGCGTATCAACACAGCTGTGTATACAGTCAGACCTTGCTTAGCCGCACACATCCGTTTTCCACAAAAAATATCCGGATAGGCGAGGGAACCGGATAATCGAACACACACACTGTTTGTATGCATGACATATACTGTAAATCGGTAACCAACGATTTTCTTCCGGATGGCGAGGGATCCGGATAATAGAGGACCGGATAAGCGAGGTCAGACTGTACATGTACTGTGTATCACCGGACCTGTGAACACCATGCTAGCTGTGTACTGGTGCGGGGTGCTGTGCAGGCCCAGACCTGTGAACACCATGCTAGCTGTGTACTGGTGCGGGGTGCTGTGCAGGCCCAGACCTGTGAACACCATGCTAGCTGTGTACTGGTGCAGGCCCAGACCTGTGAACACCATGCTAGCTGTGTACTGGTGCGGGGTGCTGTGCAGGCCCAGACCTGTGAACACCATGCTAGCTGTGTACTGGTGTAGGGTGCTGTGCAGGCCCAGACCTGTGAACACCATGCTAGCTGTGTACTGGTGCGGGGTGCTGTGCAGGCCCAGATCTGTGAACACCATGCTAGCTGTGTACTGGTGCGGGGTGCTGCTGTGCAGGCCCAGACCTGTGAACACCATGCTAGCTATGTACTGGTGCAGGGTGCTGTGCAGGCCCAGACCTGTGAACACCATGCTAGCTGTGTACTGGTGCGGGGTGCTGTGCAGGCCCAGACCTGTGAACACCATGCTAGCTGTGTACTGGTGCGGGGTGCTGTGCAGGCCCAGACCTGTGAACACCATGCTAGCTGTGTACTGGTGCAGGGTGCTGTGCAGGCCCAGACCTGTGAACACCTCTAACCGCGCTGTGCAATGGTGCAGGGCGCTAACGTGGTCATGCAATAGGATTGAGTTGAGAACGGCTGTACAGTACTTAGTATAGCAATCCCCTTGGCAGATTTTAATCTACAAGCAAAGGAAGTGCTTCTTGCCTTGTAGGTACGGATACGAAGCTGCCTCTTCTTGGTAGTAGTGTCCCGTTTCAACCACTGGTTGACCATTTCAAAGACTTGCTGCATGACAGCATCCTGACGCAGGTCATCTTGTCCCTATGTGGATTGCAGCGGCATGCACGTACATGCACACACACACACACACATACACACACGTACACACGTACACATGTACACACGTGCACATACACACACATAAACATGAACACCAAACACATAGACACATAGAGACACACACAGACACACAAACACACATACACACACATACACACACGTGTGCACAACTGTTCAGAATATACATGTAGGTTTCGAGGAAGAGGAGGCGCCGTATGGTGCAGATTTAAGACACAGTACGCACACAATCTCATACATGTACTAGTATAGCCCAATTTTGCCAAATCAGACCCAATTTACCTTGACCAGGAGTTGCCGATGGATACCATCAGAGCCAACGCACACAATCCTCTTGGGCATGTTGATACCGCCGACGAGATGGAAGTTTGGCAAAAAGTGATCAATGGTGATAAGGTTCTTGTACTCACATGCTGGATCAACCTGGAGACACACACACACACACAGAAAGAGAGAGAAAGCACACACACACACACACACACACACACACACACACACACACACACACACACACATATACACACACGCACAAATATGAAAACACACATGCATGTCCACACACACGCACACACACGTGTGCACACACACACACACACACAAACGCGTGCACACACATACACACACATACACACACACGTGCGCATGCAACACACATGTATACACTATTTTGCGATATGATATGAGCAATTGCGAGCTTAGATCGTGTCTCCAGAGTTATTTTAGAGCAGATGAGAACATTTGTCAGCTCGCGCACGAGCGAGAGCAGTCAAAACGATTACATCAACACTAAAAATGAATTCTTCTCGGAACCTTACTGAGAGTCAAAGACACAAAATTCCCCATAACTGCCCATTTGCTGTGCACAGGAGCACTCAGCAAGCATGTGATGTGAGTTGTAGGAGCACCGAGTGATGCCACATAATTCATGTACTGTACCGCTACTGTACCGCTACTGTACCGCTACTGTACCGCTACTGTACCGCTACTGTACCGCTACTGTACCGCTACTGTACCGCTACTGTACCGCTACTGTACCGCTACTGTACCGCTACTGTACCGCTACTGTACCGCTACTGTACCGCTACTGTACCGCTACTGTACCGCTATTGGAGACACAGTAAAGAAAGAAGTACAGTAAAACCTGTAACTAAAACCCACCGTGACCAGCGACCAGCCTGCTACTACAGACCACTTCGGCAGGCACGGACAGTCTCACGTTCATATATGGTTGTGCGGTACCCCTAATTAAGGACCACCTGCCACTAAAGACCGCTTTCTCTGGCCCCAAAGGGTGGTCTTTAGTTACAGGTTCCACTGTACAGTGAACATGTGACAAGTCAACCAAACAGTGCAAACACACCTCTATGTTGCTGGCCGTGACGGCGACTAGGTCTAACTTCTTCATTTTCAAGAGCTTGAAACCGGACGGCATCGGTTGGGGATGAGCTGTACATGATAGAAGACGTGTACACGTGAAAAAAACACGCAATGTCAGCGTAGTCTACTAGCTAAGCTATTCACCAGTGTATATGGATCCATCAATCCATCAAGGGATAATACAAATCCCAGCACATACCGGTCTTTCCCTTGAGATGCTGCACATTCTCATAGGCCAGTTGGTTGTATGCTTCACACAGTCTACACATGTTGTCCACTAGAACGGGCTTCTGAATGGCCACGCGCTGCACTATCGCTTGAGCAGCGCGGATCTTATCCTGCAGATACACACAGACACACATACACACGCACACAGACTAGAGCAACACCGACTGCATTGAACTCTTGTAGACTGTGGCCATACTCGATATGGCAAACAGAAAACCATTGGTGTGTACGAGTACATGTAGTTTACGGAATAGCAAGTTCTCTCAACGCTAACGCTTACCACATACCTCTGTCGTACAGACTAGGTAGATGCAAGAGTAGTAGAAACCAGTGGCGTGTGTGTGTGTGTGTGTGTGTGTGTGTTTGTGTGCGCGTGAGTGCGGGTGTGTATCTCCATGGCAAATGGGAAAGAACACAGGCAGCACCGCTGTAACGTACATCACTAAAATCGTTCTCCTTGGGTTGCGACGACACTTGCCGACGCATGCGCTTGGCCGGCGGTGGTGTAGCCAGCTCTGCCGACGATTTGCTAGTGCCCTCGTTGGCATTGCGCAGTGCCAAGATTACATAGAGGCTGTGATGAGGATGGTCCAGGCACAGCTTCTCAATTATCTATCAACACAGGAGCAAGAAACACAGGGCCGTGGTTTGTACCATCAACACCCTACACGGTGACCCGAGGATGGCCGTGTAGGGTGACAAGCAGTGAACTGTGGGTCACAGCATACTCATACACAGTGCTGAAAAATGAAATCTGATCGAGTGTGTCAGCTTTGCACCCTGCACTAGTGAACATTCCAGTGTTTTCACGTCTGGGGCTGCATAGTGCCCGGCACATACTTGACTCACGACATTGGATTCATTGATCAGCACTGTACATTACTCATACAGTCCATATTTGGAAATGCACAATGGCCTTTAATTAATATTGACAAAGCATTTACAGTAGGCAACCGACGTGCATGCAATACTAGCTATTAAAGGTGCTTGAAAAGAGATTCCGTTCATTCACAAGCGGCTTCACGGTGGAGGTTACCTTGGCCACGGTCTGCTGGAACTGTGTGCCTTCCAGTGTATTACAGCTGATGCGAGCAGCCAGTTGGTAGAGAAGTGGGAGCAGCTTGCGAGACTGAAGCCTGGGAAGTTCAGCCTGAAGCCAACAAACAGCGAATATTCAGCTCGTCAACTTCAAGACACGCATCTGACCTCACGTGACAGAATGGCTTCACACATGTCATGTATTCAAATTTTTTACTGTTTCAAAATTTTAATTAGAGACACATGAAGGATACAGTGAACTCGGCTAGGATTACTATAGCAGTAGGGAGCTGCAGGATTGTGTGCAGGAGTGTGCATGCGCATGAGCGTCTGCGCATGCCAGCAACAAATGACTGAAAGGTAACTGTGCTTCACATCCATAGCACGGACTCGGGCGTGGAGATGGACAGACGATGTAACACCACACCATAGAACAGAGTGCCGTCGACTGCAGCAGAGAATAACATGTTTTGCAGCTTTCATGTCGTGCTCACCGCCATCAAGGCATCCACTTCTTTCTCCATTAGGTTATCAAACCAGAGCGAGATCAAGCGGAAGATACGCAGGTCATACGCATCCTGTAAATCAGGCCATTCAAGGAGAAAACAGAGGAAACACACAGATTGATATGGAAACAAACTCAGCCAGTGGCTAAACAGCACAGTCACAGCAGAGCAAAGCAACCCAGAACAAGACACACAGTGTGGCTGTTTTACCAGCACAGTAAGTCAGTAACTCAGTCACACACACACACACACATGCACGCACGCAAGCACGCACGCACACACACACACACACACACACACACACAACTAGTGCAGCGGTTTTAGCAACATAGTAAGTGAGTCCAGCATGCACTTAATTATACTGCCAATGCAAGAAGGGTAGCGTGTCCAATGGCATTGCATGGCAGGCACACACCAATACTGAACAGCAATGGTAACCATTTTACCCCAGCTTGCAGGCAGCGCAGGTAGTTCTTGAGCGACGAGATCAGGAAGTGGTTGCGCGCAAGCCGGAAACGCTCCAGGTATTTCGAATCGGTCTCCTTCGCCAGCTTCAGCAATCTCACATAATGCTTCACCTCTCTGTAGTACACAGTGTCATGCAGCAGGCAGGGAAGGCAGGGAACAGGATAATTATAAACATGCACGGATAGAACAAAGACACCAAAACACAAATAGACAAAGCAGCGGCTTCCATCTCCGACAGCGAAACCATTTAAAAGTTGTTCAGGCACAGGCGAGCGATAGTCAGACAAGAGTGGACATAACACGTGCTATGATAGAACTAGAGAGTGGAGATAGTGGGGGAATCATTGAAGAGGAGTTGCAACACTGTGCCTATAGTATCCAGTCAGACAAAACTATGCTGTACATATGCTACAATCACCACACAGCTCAATGACACTGTGCCACACGGGAAGCTACAATGCTGCTCAATAAAATCAGACCTCAAGAGTGCCGTTGCACCAGAGTACAGCGCAATGCTTGCAGCTCTCCGACCGCACAGCACCCGGTGCTAGCTGGCTCACGCGGTCAGATTTCATTGAGCAGTGCTGTACTTACCTTGTTGACTCGTGACGAACACTTGCACTGGATAATTGATCAAGCTCAGCCTGGTTGAGTGGAAAGAGAACACAAACCCAATGCATGCGTATCAGGGCTACGGTATGAATAGCAAAGACCACAAACAGAGTCAACTAGAGGGTCTGTAATCCATACAGTTTCAATGCATGCAATCAATGTGTCACCTCATATCAAAATGATTGCTTGTAGCAGCATGTGCATGCCTGCATGTGTGTGTGTGTGTGTGTGTGTGTGTGTGTGTGTGTGTGTGTGTGTGTGTGTGTGTGCGCGTGTGTGTGTGTGTGTGTCTGTGTGTGTGTGTGTGTGCGTGTGTGTGTGTGCGCGCGTGTGTGCGTGTGTGTGCACATGCCCTTGCTGAAGCGTGCCCGGTCTCATGCCGTCTTACCACTTGTTTCTTGATGGATTCTTCTTTGTCCTCCTCTTCAGTGGAGCTCATCTGCTGCAGCAGCATTGTGTGTTGCTTGTCAGCAAACCTAGCTACCGCAAAGAAAGCCTAGCAGCAGCAGCAGAAGGAAGAAGAGCGCCAGCCGTGCATCAACAATACAAGTACAGTCGTTGACATATGCACACATCAATTGCACACGCAACGCAAGGAAAACAACAGCCTCACAACACTAACAGACAAATAGTCCTTGGGGACAGACTCACAACCGTACAATACAAAAACAGTACTTGCGCAGTCGTGGCCAAAGAGATCCGACCCGCGAGTCACACGTAAAGCCGTGTTTCAATTTCAATTACATCATCCACAGTCGAAAAGCCCATCTGAGGGCCGCCGCAGGGGCCGCATGAGCCTTGGCGCTGCTTTCCGCCCGCGGCTCGGATTTTGTCTTTGGCCAGGACTGCAGTAACCGTACATGTAGTACAGTACTGTGCTTACCTCCATAGCAGCCTTCGGTGCCTTCTCACAGATACAGCTCATCAGGTTCACAGCCTATGCATTGATCGCACAAACACACGTGGATGTGCATGTAGACAAGCACATGCACATACACATACTTATTTTAATTACATACACACACACACACACACACTGTGACATACATATTGAATTATTGATCCAGCAGATATTTATAAGGTGGCAGAAATGTATGCATATGCAAGTGCAATACACATAACGTACATGTACAACTACCGTATTACAGTACTACATACTACTTCAGTACTACATACTACTTCAGTACTACATACTACTTCAGTACTACATACTACTTCAGTACTACATACTACTTCAGTACTACATACTACTTCAGTACTACATACTACTTCAGTACTACATACTACTTCAGTACTACATACTACTTCAGTACTACATACTACGTACTACATACTACTTCAGTACTACATACTACTTAGTAGTAGTAGTAGTAGTAGTAGTTTGGGCTTTTTGCTCCTCCGTTATTCTCTGATTTTCTACTCCACTGTTGAATTCAATCGGTTTGAAACCTTTTCAATTACTTTCATTGTGACATGTGGAGTCGGCTTGAGTAGTTTGCTTCCTTCTGGGCTCGTCCAGCCCGCCGGTCCTTCATCCAGCTGGTTTCTTGCGCTGCGAATCGGCCATTATAGCCGTTGGTCCGTGCTGGGCACGTTTGAGCGTGCGGGCCTTGGGCCCTGTTTGAGCTGGCTTGCTGTGCTGTGCACACGTGGTGGTTTGGCCCTGTACTGCCTGCAGTGGCGCTCTGGATGCATACTTGGTATGGGACGAGTCGAGGTGACACTACTCATTGCATGTAGACGCACTGTTTACACCTAAGGCTAGGGCTAAGTCCTTGCATGCAGTGTGCCCGTGCTGTGTCTATGGGATGTCGCGGTCACGCGCTGTGAGCGGTCGACCGTGCTGCGCTTGCAGCAGAGCGTCTGGGACTTGCAAGTCATGTTCGTGTGCGTCGGATGGACGCTGCTGCAGCAACTGTTACCCTGGCAGAGATAATAAATGTACGAATTTTGGCAATGTGAATCTGCAGACCGCGGTTGTTGGGATGGGTGCAGATGAACCGTTGTGTGGCGCTCCACCTTTTCGACCTCCTGGCTGGGTGCCCCATGGTTCCCGGGATGTGTTGGGCTCTGTTCCTCAGCCATCTGGCTCACACTCTCGCGCAATAGCAACTCGGGGCTCTGCCTTGGCGGTGACGGCTGGGTCTGCGCCAAGTTCCGGACATCAGTCTTCCCGTGATGGCGCATTGGGAGATCCTCAGGTGTCTGTTCTTGCCTCTGCATCTGCGCTGCCTCGCCGCGGCATGGTTGGGCATGTACCAGGTTCCGGGCCTCAGTCTTCCTGCGATCGAACAACAGGAGATACTCATGCGTCTGCTCCTGCGCCTGCGCCGGTGTCTTCGGAGTGTTGTCAGGCGGTACCATCCTGTTCACCAGCATCGCTGTATCAGCCATCGCATGTTCGGCTGGCCCCTCTGCGTCTGGAGGGGCAGGAGTCGCGTGAGCCGACTTCCTGTGGTCCTGGTGCACCCAGTGGCCCAGGTGGTGGTGATCCTGGAGGGGATGGTGCCTGGAGTGTACCCATTGATGGCCCTGTGCGTAGCGCTTCCACTCCACCGCACGCCGGGTGTGTTGATGGTACTGCAGCTGCTGCTGTCTCCATTGCGGCAGTGGATGTCCCCAGTGTGGATGCCAATGGTGCCTCGACCCATCAGTTAAGTGATCGTGATAGCGCTGCTGCTTCTGATGCACCTGACACTACGGATTCTGGTGGTGGTGGTTGTGGTGGTGATGATCCGTGGTCGTCCGGGACGCTGGGTGCCGCCGTCCGTACCATCTACGATGAGGTGGTGCATTACAGGAGGAATCTGCTTCTCGTGCCATATGGCAAGTCGGGAAAGGAGTTTGTCCTGGAGTTGGCCCGTATTGTCCGTGGATTCGCGGAGGGAGCTAGCTGGCGCCCCACGGCCTGGAAAATGGTCACCGTTGCCTGTCACTTACTGCTCCAGAAGCCTTTGGGCTCTGGCAATGGCAGTGACCTGGCCAAGGTGCTGAGGGAGCGCCTGGTGTTGTGGAGAGCTGGCCGGGTTCAGGAACTCCTCGCAGAGGCCCGCTGCATCCAGGCCCATCTGAAACCCAGGGTTGGAGGTTCGGTAGGGGATGACAGGCGCATGCCCGACACCCAGTTTGCCAAGTTGGTCTTTGATGGCAAACTACATTCAGCGGCCCGTGGTCTCTCTGATGAGGCTGGGGGTGGAGTTCTTCGACTGGATGATGTCGTTGACGCGACAGGGGACAGGACGGTCATGGATGTCCTGAGGGAGAAGCACCCTGCGCCTGCTGACCTTGCTCCGGAGTGTGAGGTTGCTGGTGACCCTGTACAGCCTCGTGCAGCTCTATTTGCTGGACTTACAGCCGATCGGATCAAGAAGGTCTCCCGAGTTGTTCAGGGTTCCTCTCGGCCATCCGGTGTCGATGCCGATGGGTGGAGACGAATGACGACGTGCTTTGATGCTGCTTCAGACCAGCTATGCAGCGCCCTGGCGGCTGCTGGCCGGCTGATCTGTACGGAGCGGACAGCGGATGGTGAGATGGAGGGTTTCACTGCTGCGAGACTGATTCCCCTTGACAAGCGCCCTGGGGTTAGGCCCATTGCCGTGGGTGAAGTATTCCGGCGGATCATCTCACGAGCCATTATGCAGATTGTGGAGACGGACGTTGTCGGTATCACCGTGCCGCATCAGCTGTGTGTGGGCGTACCCTCTGCCTGTGAGGTTGGTGTCCATCACATAACATCACGTTTCGCCCAGGATGATGTCGAGGGCGTATTGCTGGTTGACGCCAGCAATGCCTTCAACAGCGTTAACCGTTCAGCAGCTGTTTACAACATCGCCCGTACTTGTCCCGCTATGTCACTGATCGTGGGAAACACCTACCGAGAACCGATCCGGCTCTTCGTGACGGGTGGTGGTGAAGTTCAATCTCGTGAGGGTACATGCCAAGGCGACCCAATTGCCATGGCCATGTATGCACTAGCCATCATGCTGCTTATCCATCGACTGCAGGAGCTTGTCCCAGATGCTGAGCAGTTATGGTATGCTGATGACGATTCCGCACTGGGACGTCTTCGTGCTCTACGCAAGTACTGGCGGAGTATCAGCAACCTGGGTCCGGTGTATGGGTACTTGCCCAACCCCACGAAGACGGTGCTCGTTGTGAAGCCGGAAGTCGAGGTGGAGGCCCGGGATCTTTTCCGGGATACCGGCGTCTCTATTCGGACGGACGGCGCTCGTTGCCTGGGTGGTGCCTTTGGCACAGTCGAGTTCTGTCGTGAGTTTCTGGATCAACGGGTTCAGGGACTCACAGCCCAGATGAATCGCTGTGGAGAGTACGCCACTACCCAGCCTCATGCCAGCTACGCCGTTGCCGTAAGATCCCTGGTGCCAAGGTGGAAATTCATATCACGGGCCATGGAGTGCGGTCCGGGGGTGTTGGCACCCATTGACAGCAGTGTGACTGACAAGTTGTTACCTGCTGTCACCGGCCATCACTTCTCGGACGACTCCCCGCTGCGGCGTTTGCTGTCTCTGCCCTGTCGACGTGGTGAATTGGGTTGCCAATTGCCTCGGTTGTTGCAGAGCATGAGCACCAGCGTGCCCTGCGTGCGACTGAGCCCATGCGGGATCTACTCCATCGCTCTCGCACTGAGCCTCAGAATATTGGAGCATCTCGGGATCCTCGGCCTAGGGATGACCATCCCATCCTCGCTGCCCTTGCCCTTGCACGGACTCGTGCTGTTGTCATGCGGCGGGAGAGGGACCGCCAAGCATCGGATCTGGCTGCTGCCGTTTCTCGTGAGCTATCGCCCCCGCAGCAGTTGTTGATCGAGATTGCGGGTGAGCCCGGCATATCTCAATGGCTGACGGCGGACCCGATGTCCCGGTACGGCACCGTGCTGAATTGCAATGACTTCAGAGACGCCCTCTGTATCCGTTATGACCTGGATCTCAGGGACACCGCGACAACCTGTGTGTGTGGTCACCCTACCGTGCGGGATCACATGTTTGTATGCCCGACCGACGGCTATCCTGGTGCGCGGCACGACAATATCCGTGATCTGCTCGCAGAGGTGTTGGTTGATGTCGCCCAGGACGTTGAAAAGGAGCCTAGGCTGGCGGCCATGCATGGGGAGGATTTACCCGGACGCCAGCTGAATCGCCAGGACGAGGCCCGAGCGGACATCCGAGCCAGGGGCTTCTGGACAAGGCAGCAGGACGCCTATTTTGATGTTAGGGTAACCCACCCTAAGGCGTCTGTGCTGTCTCGTTCAGAAGTCCTTGGCCAGCTCAGGTCTCACGAGCGGCGTAAGAAGGCCGAGTATGGGCCACGGATCGTCAACATCGAGCGTGCGTCTACGCCGCTTGTGTTTACGACGCAGGGCCTGGCGGCACCGGAGTGCGCGAAATTTCTATCCTCGCTGGCGACATACCTGTCCAGGCGTCACACCGATATCCCGTACTCCATCCTCATCAACCGGTTGCGGGTACGCATTTCATTTTGCCTACTTCGGTGGGCCGTCACCTGTTTCCGCGGGTGCCGGGCCTCCTACCAGCGGCGTCGCCAGTCGTCTTTCCTGGTGGAGTGCCGGCAGATGGGTGGCCGATGAGCTGTTGCCATGGCAAGGGGGCTGCTGAGACGCCGACTTGGCACCGGGTGGACTCACTACCGATGGTACGGTGTAGGATGTATGTACAATGTAGGTACTTCACTCTGTTGTCATTTGTCTGTCTATTTGTTGAATTGGATAGGTGTACATACAGTTCTCCACAATGCATGCACATCCATTCATAACATTCATGACATGTAATTTATATTGACATTGGCTTAGACTTGCATACATGACGGGACCTGTTACTTTAATTTTCACTTTGAGTTTAAAGTTTTCTTCTTTCTTTCTTTCTTTTTTTTTTTTTTCTCAATTTGGCCTTCTTTTGGCATTGGATTTACTAATTGATTTGACGTTATTTAAAGGAGTTTTTTTTTTTAATTGAATTGATCTTCAACGATTTACGATTTCACGTTTCCGCTATTTTGCCCGTAAAAGAGGCTTGTCAGTAGTACTACATACTGCTTCAGTACTACATACAGTTGAACATCGATTATCCGACCACCTCTGGGCAGACAATTGTCAGGCGGTGTTCAGATAAGGCAAATGTTCCGGATAAGAAAAAACTGTCACTCACACACTTTCAGTGGTTATTACTAGCCGCACGACCTTTTTACTTTTTACTTTTCAAAATTTTCGTATTTTTTGAATGGCTCACTACATGCACAGTGCGTACTCTATGGCACGTGCGCCCAAAAAAACTGTTACGGATAATCGAATGGTCGGATAGTCGATGTGCGGATAATCGATGTTCAACTGTACTACTTCAGTACTACATACTGCTTCAGTACTACATACTGCTTCAGTACTACATACTACTTCAGTACTACATACTACTTCAGTACTACATACTACTTCAGTACTACATACTGCTTCAGTACTACATACTGCTTCAGTACTACATACTACTTCAGTACTACATACTACTTCAGTACTACATACTACTTCAGTACTACATACTACTTCAGTACTACATACTACTTCAGTACTACATACTACTTCAGTACTACATACTACTTCAGTACTACATACTACTTCAGCACTACATACTACTTCAGTACTACATACTACTTCAGTACTACATAAGACTTCAGTACTACATACTACTTCAGTACTACATACTACTTCAGTACTACATACTACTTCAGTACTACATACTACTTCAAAGAAGAACTACAATACAACATACCTTCTCCATGTAGTCATTCATGATGGTGGTGGGGCTGGTGTTGTGCGTGTCCGCCAGCCACTGACCGTACTGACACAGTACTTGCGGGTACAGGATGGCAGCACTCTCACTCGCACCTTGCCTCTGCTCTCACATGCACGCGTGGACATACGGAATACAAACGACGGCAAAGGCAACAGCAAGCACTGGGCAATCAGATTCAGAACAACGCGTGTCCTCTTCAAAGAAATTGCTGCGGTCTTGGCAATACATGTACCAGCTAGGAAGTTGGGTTGTCAGCTGGCATCCTGACTAACTCAGGAATACCCAGCGGTAGTCAATACTCAACAAATGCCCGAAGATGAAGTGCTGAGAGGTTCAACGTCTCATACCGTCATATCAATCGTACAGAAGAGCAACACACTATTCCCATTGCCAAACATATCGGAGCATCCATTCTCTTCTGGGCTTGGACAGATTGCATATCTCAGTACCTGGAGTTCTGGGTTTGCAGCACGGCAATGCAGAGGCATACATGAAAGATTAATGGAAAATAAATGAAAGAAGAATGGAAGACAGCTTTAAATACACGCGTTCGTCAACTCCCTTTCTAACTTCCACACATCTCGAGTAATCGCTAAAGCTGCCTCAAGCATTATTCATGATGCAAGCATTATTCGTGAACATCGTAATAGGCTCCAGTACACATGTAGGAGATGCTTTGGTTCGTTTGTGTATGTGTGTGTGTGTGTGTGTGTGTGTGTGTGTGTGTGTGTGTGTGTGTGTGTGTGTGCGTGCGTGTGCGTGTGTGTGCGTGTGAGTGGCAGTGGGCGACTACAGAGTAAGCGTTGTGCCGGAGAGATCCTAACCTTATCAAGTTGGTCAGTTAGCTGGCGCAGCATGTGGAGCGCGGTGCGATGTTCGTCACGAGCCCAGAACAAGCGACAGTACTCCAGCTGCCACAGCCACTCCTTGCTAGTTGACATGAAGGTAGCTTTACCAGGACCCTGGTGTAGCTGTTGCAGATTGAACATGACACGCTCAGCGATCTGAAAAATAGGAATAGACAATAAAAACAGGTCACGCACAGGACACATCCTGGTCCTGGTTCCTGTTACCCATTGCCATGTACATACACCGGTATACCCATGGCATATAGACAATCAAATAGACAATCAAATAGACAATCAAATAGACAATCAAATAGACAATCAAATAGACAATCAAATAGACAGTCAAATAGACAGACAGACAGACAGACAGTTCGGCAAAGGTTTGATATTCAAACCAGGACGTATCAGCACAGGTCCAGCTCAGGGATTCATAAAATGCAACGGTAACAAGACTAGACTGAGATATTATTTATTAATTAAAACAATTCGACGGTTCAGAATGATAATGGTTATCATCATCATCATCATCATTCTGAAGTAGACAATGTGTTCCGAATATGAACTGCGTGGCGGAATCACGCTTATGCTATTTCTAGTAGTTCTACGACAAACTCCAAACGACTTCTTTCTTCCATTTCACTCTGTTTCTCTCTCACGACAACTCCCCCAAGCAGGGAGAAACAGCAAATACAAAAGCAAAGAAAACGCCGCGCGTACGGCACATGCAGGGCCATATGCGCAACCTACGACAAATTAGCAGCAGCGCTGGTACAACAGAAATGTACAAACGCCGGAAACGTAAAGGTCATGAACCCGTGCGACCCCCTGCCGGCTGGGACAGGATGGCTACAGCTATAAACGGACTCATATCGAGCCAAGAAAGATACACGACAGATACAACTCAAGCATATAGAAACAAGAAATAATTAGTGCACTGCAAGTGCCAGCGTAATCTGGCATAATGGCAAATATTGCATAGTAGTGAAGGCGAGTCCTGAACATCTCTCCCCTTCTTCAATCCAATACTGCTTGCTGCTGGGATTGATCTTAAAGCGCAACATGCCAGCTCAACGATAGCATCAATAAATAAAATAGCAACTAACTCATGCACTACGCGAATCAAAATAGCATACTGCTTGACAACATGCAAACGGGTGCATAGGCTAAACTGCACTATGATAACCACAAACAATAATGAAAAAACACTCCGAACATAACGAGCAAACGAGCAATGCGTTGTCGAATATTCATACACACTTTGACTTAATTCTCTTACTGCTCACTCCGCGTCAATACGGCACAGTCGAGTGATAGGCCGTGTCAGATACTTCCCTCGGACCTTGATCTTCACGACTCGAACATGCCCATCACTGCCTGGGTACACTTCCGCCACTCTTGCTAGTGGCCACTCTCCTCGTGCTGTGTCTGGTGACACGACTAGCACAACATCTCCGACGGTGAGATCTGGCTTGGTCTGAGTCCACTTCTTGCGACGGTTCAGCTCTGGCACAATTTCCTTCATCCAGCGGCGCCAGAATTGAAGTACGATGTCCTGGACCATCCGCCATCGCTGTTTGAGTGTCCATTGCGTCTCGTCAGTGCCTGCTGGGACGAATGGCATGCCCTGCTGCCCATGCAAGAAATGGTTCGGTGTTAGCGGTAACGGATCACGTGGGTCGGCTGACTGGTATCCCAATGGGCGGGAGTTCATCAGCGCTTCAGCACCGGTAATGGCGGTGTACAACTCCTCGTCAGTCGTATCGCGGTTGCTGAGTGTGGCAGACAAAGCTCGTTTCGCCACCTTGATCAGTGCTTCGTGTGCGCCACCAAAGTGCGGTCCACTAGGTGGGTTGAAGTGCCAACGAGTGCCTTCTTGCGCCATGCTTCGCTGGAGCTTGTCGACGTCTAGCGCCTCTGCCAACTCACGGAGCTCATTGTTGGCGCCCACAAAGTTTGTTCCATTGTCGGATGTGACTTCCACTGGCGTTCCTCTCCGGTTGGTGAAGCGATGATACGCTTGGAGGAACGAGTCCACGTCGAGGCCGTACGCTAGCTCCAAGTGAACGGCACGTGTCAGATGGCAAGCGAACAGACAGAGGTACCTCTTGGCTCGGGTCTTGCCTCGTCCTTGCTTTGTTGTAAATGGCCCAGCGTAGTCCACTGCGACTCGTGCGAAGGCTCGTAGCGGCAGGCTGACTCGTACCTTCGGCAAGGGAGCCATTACCTGTTCTGCTGGTGATGCTTTTCGTAGCTTGCATCTGGCACAGTTGGACTCACAGGAACGAATCTCGTCACGCCCACCGAGCAACCAGTACTGATTTGATAGCTCCGATAGCATGTGATTGACGCCGCACGTATGATTCCCGCGATCATGGTACGACTTGATGATGAGTTGCGTGATTCGGTGTCCCTTTGGCAGTATTATCGGGCACTGCTGGTCGAACGATAGAAATTCGGCATGTTGAAGACGACCACCAACCCGCATCAACCCGTCCGCATCGATGAACGGCTGGAACTGCCTCAGACTGCTGGCCTTGGGCAGTGAGTTCTTCTGCCTCACGGTGTTGTACTCAAGCGCTTGTTGCTGTGCTGTTCTGCAGTGGTACGTTCTTGCGTCCTTCAGCTCATCTGCCGTCAGCGTGGACGTCACTAACTTGCTGGCCGGTGTGCGACAATTCTGGATAAACCGGAACACCCAGGCTGTCACGTGTAGGAGTCGATTAAACTCGGAATAGCGAGACGGGTCCAAGCGTCCCAAGTCGGCGGCAGTGATGCTGCCTGTGAATGTCTGCTGTTGTTGGCTCTGTGATGCCGTAGCCCGATGGTCCTTCTTCACTTCTTGCTTCGCATTGTCCGTCAATGAAAGCTGTGCCGGTGCTGGTGGCCACGTCGATTGCTCTTGCTGCAGAAATTGCGGTCCCTCCCACCACAGCTGGCTGGTGATGAGGCTGGTTACTGAGGTTCCACGGGACGCGAGGTCTGCTGGGTTGCACTTCGTTGGCACGTAGCGCCACTGTTCTGGTTGCGTTGCCAGCTGTATCTCCCCGATACGATGCGCGACAAATGGCTTGTGGATGCGACTGGGGTTGCGAATCCAGCAGAGGACATCCACGCTATCACTCCAATAGACAACTGCTGACTTCGGAATCTTGAGTGCCTCAGCTGTAGACTGTGCTAACTGGAGGCCGAGCATGGCTCCCATCAGCTCAAGACGGGGTACGCTGATGGTCTTGAGCGGTGCGACGTGTGTCTTTGCAGCAACCATACGAACACAGACCTGTCCATCTGCAAGGGTTGACACTGCGTAACAAACTGTTCCGTAGGCTAGCGTTGATGCATCAGTGAAGACGTGCAGTACCTTGTCCGGGGCTTCACTATTCGGGTAGAGACAGCGCGGTATCTGGATGGCATCTGTGTCGCAGAGTTCGTTCAACCAAGCTCGAGCCTTACCCGCTATTGCCTCTGGCGCTGGGGTATCCCAATCCAGACCGGCTACCCACATTTCCTGGATGCAGATTTTCCCACGCACAACGAATGGTGCTAGGAATCCTAATGGGTCGAACACTGTAGCGATGTGTCGCACCACTAGGCGCTTCGTGATGTTGTTGTCTGCTGGCTTCGAGAATGTAAAGCCAAACTGGTCACTGTCAGGCCGCCACTGTACACCAAGCGTCTTGGTTGTTGGTAGCTCTCCTGACAAGTCGATTGATGATTGCCGGTCTTCCTGCGGAACGCTCTGCAGGACTGTTGGCGAGTTGCTCAGCCACTTTCTGGCTTTCATCCCGGCGGTGCTCCACACAAACGATAGCTGGTGATAGAGTTTAACTGCTTTCTCGTCACTCTCCACTGAATCCAGTGTGTCATCCATGTAGGTTGACTCCAGAACTGCTTCGGCGCCTCGAGGGTGCGTCACTGCATGTTGCCGCGCATGGTTCTGGATGACGTAGTGTGCGATGAATGGTGAAACGTTGAGTCCAAACACCAGTCGATTGAATTGGTACACGTTGACCTCGTCTTGTGTACGCCAGAGAAACCGGAGGTGCTTGCGATCGTCCGGGTGTATTTCGATTTGCAAGTACATCTCTTTGACATCACAGACCAGGGCTACTGAGTTTCGACGGAATCGTAGCAGCACGTCAAATAGCTCTCTCTGAAGCTTCGGACCAGGCAAGATGGCGTCGTTCAAAGAAATGCCCTGATAATGTGCAGCAGCATCAAACACCATGCGTACCTTCGTCGTACTCTTGTCCATACGCACAATGGGGAAATGTGGCAGGAACCAACCGGAATTGGCGATGTCCGCTGCTTGCACTTGCTCTACATAGCCCTTGTGCACGTAATCATCGATGGCTTGGCTGTATGCTGCTGCTACTTCGCTGCTGTGCTGCAGTCGCTTCTCTGTGCTGCTGAGTCGGCGCAGTGCCATAGCGTAGTTGTTTCTGAGCTCTACTTTCCTGGCGTTCCATGGCAGCTGGATCTCGTAGCGCCCGCTGCTAGTGCCAATCAGCGATGTTGCGACGCGGTCTGTGGCCTGCTGCTCGGCTGGTGTCAACTGCACGTGGCTGCGTAGCTGGGTGCCGCTCTGATCGATCTCCCAGAACCGCTGCACGACCTGGTTGAGCTGCTCGAGACTGGCGGTTGTCGTACTGTGACCGTTCAGTGATGTGATGGCTGTGGCGTCGGGATTGACGAGCCCGACACAAGTCCAGCCTAGTGGAGTTCTTCGTGCAACAGGTTCTCCTGGACCTCCTGCAATCTCGTCTAGCGATGCATGTAGGTACGGATGGTCGACTCCGATGAGTATGTCGATGTGTTTTGTTCCATTGAGAGGAGGGAATGGGACCTCTCTCAAGTGCTGCCACCGATCTCGCTGATTGTTCCAGTCAATTGCCTTGAGTGATGCGGTCACATTGTTGGTTGTCCATGCCGTGAAGTCATACCTGGCACTTCCGTCGCTGCTGCTGATTTGACAGTTCACTGAGACGGTGTTGAACGTTGTCGCTGCTCCGTTGAGGACAGACACCGTAATACTCTTTTGTTCTCCTGCCAGACCCAGTTCAGCTGCGATGCTACTGTTCATGTAGGACACGGTGCTGCCGTCATCAAGTAGGGCATTCACCGCAATCTTGCGGTTGCCGTTTACCAAGGTCACCGGCACTGTCCGCAGGGCTGTCTGTGGCTCAACTTGCTGGCCGTGATGCGTTCTGGCATGCGCACTGGTTTCGGACACTGACTCCCCTTCCGTGTTCCTGAAGGATGAGGGAGGCCCAGACATCTGGCCTGACCTGTCTGGTTGACTGGGTGCTGCTCTTGGCTTTGCCATACCCTGGTTGTTACTGCTCTGAGCTCCAGCTGGTTTCCTCGCCGCAGGGTCCATGCTGGTGTCACTGTTTGATGAGTGGAGCAGGCGGTTGTGCGTTTCCGTGCAGCCGTCGATCCCACAGGTGCGGCTGCGTGTGCAGTTCGACCCACTATGCCCGCTGCCTAAACACCTGTAGCACAATGCGGCTCCTCGTGCTGTGGCCCAACGCCTTGTGACACTTTGCGATTGAAATGTTGGGCATCGCCACACTGGATGACCCTGGCCACATGCTGGACAAGAGCGGTTGCGGCTCGGCAGGTCGCCACTAGTGCTTGAGCTCACGAAGGTGTGATGCGAGGTACGCCGATCTGCTCCTCGTCCATGGCTGCTCACGTCCCTTGGCCGTGCAGTGCTGGACTCCTGTTGACGGGTTTGCGAGGTCACTCCCCGGACTGACTCGGCAGCTATGACTGCGAATTCTGCCTCACGATTTACCCAGGTCAGCAGGGTTTCCACATTCTCGGGTTCGTGGTTTTCGTAGAGCCAGCGTTGATAGTTGACTACCATGGCTTCCGTCATTTTAGACAACAGCTTGGCATACAGGGAACCGTTGCCCAGCTCCTCAGTCCGCTGCATATCCTTCAGATTGATGACTGCCACGTCAAGTAGGTCCGCAAATCGTTCTACGTCTTTTGCTGATTCTGGACGGATGGGTCGGAATCTGTCCAGCTCCTCGAGGTACAGGCTCACCTGTCGCCGACTTGTGCCGAACTTTCTCTCCAAACGGTTCTTGGCAGCTTCATATGCAGCGGCAGAGTGGCCCAGATTCTCTACTGCTCTCAATGCGTCGCCTGCCAGGTACTCCCGCAGCTGCAGCATTTTGTATTCGGCTGTCAGCGGAGCTTGATCAATGCATGCCAGAAATGCTGCTTTCCAGCTTGGGAACTGCTTCTTGTCCCCACGGAATACTGGAATGGATACTCGCTTAAGCTGCCTCCACAGGTCCTGGCCGACAGCTGCCCTTGCCGATTGTGGTGGCTGTGGTGGTGGTGCTGGTAGTGCCGGCTGCGCTACTGCGGACATGCGCACTGCTGGCAGAGCTGGTCTACTACTAGTAGTACTGAGTGCTACCCTTGCACTACTGCTCCTTGTATCTGTACTGCTGGATATTCCGGTATGTGCCTGAGTGTACAGTGGTGCACTTACTGGGGCAGGTACATGACGTGGACTGGTTCCATCCCCTGTGCTGCTGGTGGTCATACTGACTGATGAGCTAGCAGTGACAGCTCCGGTCTGGCTAGTCTGGGTCACTGATGACTGGCTGGCAGTAGTACTCAGTGCAGGATCTAACTGCTTACTTAGTTGACCAGGTTGCCACTGTTCCTGGTGTACAGTCTCAGCTGCTGCACTAACAGTAACACCTCTCCTGATACCAGTACTGCTAGGATCGGACTCCAGTGCTTGCTGACTATCTGAGTCAGCTGGAGTGGCCTTTTCTTCCTGAGACTGGGTCACACTTGGCATGAAAGGCTGGGCTGTGGCATCCAGACTATTAGTATTACTAGTACTACTGCTCGTCCTTTCCACAGAGTTCTGGCCCGCTGCAGGTGCAGGCTCTTTTTTAACCTGCGACTCGAGCTGGCTCGCGAACTGGTCGAAGCGATCAGTCGTCGCTCTCATTTCTTGATTTAAGTCTTCCATCTCGTCGTGTACCTTCGATACGGCTTTGATATTATTAGCTCCCAAGTACAGTTCCTCCATGTCGGTCAGCAATGCAAATATTTCTTGCTCGACATTCTCAAGATACCAGAGCTGCTGGTCCGCCGCTTCCATCGTACCGCCCTCTCGCATTATAACCAACAACCCTCGTCGGGTATTTGTAAATTCTCTTTTGGCTTTTTGTGTTTTGCTTTTCAATTGCATCAAATGGCCTTCGACATTTTCAGGTGGTACAATCGACTTGCCAGGAGGTACACCGCTGGAAGCCGTATGCTTCTTGCTTTCCGGTGGGTCCTGTTCCACCTCCGCTTCGTGTGGGCTGATCGAGCTGCTCTCCTCGACATCGCTACTCGTACGCTCGGACATTTTCGACTTACAAACTGCTAATTTCAAATATTGTTCGAACCATCCTCTGCTACCATCTGTTCCGAATATGAACTGCGTGGCGGAATCACGCTTATGCTATTTCTAGTAGTTCTACGACAAACTCCAAACGACTTCTTTCTTCCATTTCACTCTGTTTCTCTCTCACGACAACTCCCCCAAGCAGGGAGAAACAGCAAATACAAAAGCAAAGAAAACGCCGCGCGTACGGCACATGCAGGGCCATATGCGCAACCTACGACAAATTAGCAGCAGCGCTGGTACAACAGAAATGTACAAACGCCGGAAACGTAAAGGTCATGAACCCGTGCGACCCCCTGCCGGCTGGGACAGGATGGCTACAGCTATAAACGGACTCATATCGAGCCAAGAAAGATACACGACAGATACAACTCAAGCATATAGAAACAAGAAAATTAGTGCACTGCAAGTGCCAGCGTAATCTGGCATAATGGCAAATATTGCATAGTAGTGAAGGCGAGTCCTGAACACAATGATTGTTGAAACGTTAGCCATCCATCCACCCAGCCAGCCATCCAACCAGCCCACCAGCCAGCCATCCAGCCAGACAGACAGAGAGACAGAGAGCCGGACTGACACAAACACACACACACACACACACACACACACACACACACACTTTCACAGCAGAGTCGTGAGAGTGAAAAGACTGCCCAATAGTCGGATCTCACCTGCAGCTGTCCCGCCTCACGAGCTCGCTGTGCCGTTGATTCCAGTGTTTCACTAAGCACGGTCAGTACCAAAGTGGGACCCAGACCAGCATTCCCACCAACTGGCGCCAGGCTTCGACTAGCCAACATGCCACTTGCAGCACCAATGGTGGACGATGTGACCGCCTGGTTGAAGTTTGGATGCTCAGAGAGGACATGAAGCAAAGCGGACCGTAATGCCAGTACTGGTTCCACGGTGGAGAAATCCTCGTTCATTAGTGATGTGCGCAACTGCCAGCGGTCACTGAGAAGCTGCAGTGACAGTTTGCTGCGAGCAAGAATCAAACATGCAAACACATGCAGGTGTGTGCACACAGACACAGACGTAGACACAGACACACACACAGATGCAGACAGACCCAAATCACGAAAGTCAATCAATACTCAATGGAGTTGGCCATCGCACACTTACTAAACTCCTCACATGCACCTGTAGAGCTATGACTACCTCTAACAAATGTCGTAATACGGCATGAAACGTACCCACGTAGCACATCTGTGACTTCTTCAACCTCCACAAGTGATTGCAGTCTTGACAGTATAGGGTAGACACCATGGGTGCTTTCCAGGCATGCCAAACAGAGCTGATCCACCACACTCGTGCTACACATACACAGTACACATACATAGTACACAGCAACAGCAGCAGAAACAGCAACACAGATACTCACATACACACACATGCACACATACATACACACGCACACACACACACACACGCACACACATGCACACACACGTGCATACAGTGACGGCGTAGCCAGAGCAGCATAAACGAAGGCAAAGACGACAATGGAAATTAATTGCACGGCATTTTGTCCATAGTATCTACTTGGTATATCAATCTGAAACGTGCAAAACACTGAGAGTAGCAATAGCTGCAAAAATACTCATGAAATGATGCACATTATGAACAACACCCACACACGTACACATACAGCAACATATGCTTGCTGTAATAGTCTAATAGACACTGCTTCACGTTGAAAATTGGTGAATTCAAAAAAAAAGTGATCAATGATGCTGAAGGAAGTGAGCACTGAGCACACGGGGTTTTTCTGTAGTAGTCTACTCATGATACATCACACACTCACGCACTCGCAATAAGCCACACACTGTGGCAATCAGGACGGCATGTACTGTACTGTAGGCTGTATGTACGTGTGCCTGGTACACAATATCTGTGAGGCACACAGACTCGCTCTACATCACACAATTTCGCCCCTGGGACCGTGTGCGCAACCTATCAAGAGTAGACCGTGTAACGGAACACGTTGCCATGGCTTTGGTGACATGGAGCTTAGGTAGTGATTTTGAGGATCACGGAAAATACTAGTAACGGCTTTTCGGGAGGTAAAAAGAAAATGCAACTGAATTTTGGAAGCGCTTCCCTTCAAGAAATCAGTTGCTCTTTCCTCTTTGCCTCTCACCTGCTGGTATACACTTCCATATCCCCTGCTCACAGCTTCAGCATTATTGACTCTTTCTCAGAGAATCCACCTTTCCAACAATTGCCGCCTTGCCGAAATTTCATGAGATCACCAAAAGCAGACGACTTGAAGCACGCTTTAAAGCTGGCAAAAAAATAATTGCTGTTCTAGTGAGTGTGTCTGTGTTACTCATACTCACCGCATCTCACTCAGAGCATTGTCGACAGAGGACAGCTCGGAAGATCGGAGCCACTGCAAGCAGCTGTGAAGGGACTGATGATATCCCGAAGTCTTGCCATTCCTAGCACAGGAAGACAAAACAAGGAGACACAACAATGCACAGAGGAGGTTTACAGAGTTCGTCTCCACTCAGAGTGTCTTGCACAATGCAATCATCAGGTGACTTGACAAACAAGGAGATGTTGCAGATGCACAGGCTTTGAAAAATTGGCATCGATTAATAGATTCGTTACACACACACCACTGACAATATAGGCCATCGTTCAATGTGCAGTGCAGTTGGTGGAAGTCATTGCACCCATTGACAAGCTACAGTGATCTCACCGGTTGCCCTGTGGCACGTCCCACTGCATGCTCCTCCATGCTGCCTGGTACTGGAACTCAGCAACCTAACATGCAAATAAACACAAAAACACACTCCCACCTTTATAATAAAAAGAGAACAGACTCCTGGCTCCACACTACACCAATACGCAAGGGATGCACGCTTGACAATTGCACACACATTTCTAATCTTACACTGGAGTAATCTGACCGACACAAGTGAATAGTGCGGGTCGTGTCTCAACACGGCTGACGTGGACGCAAAAGTGCAATTATATATTTATATTTATAGTGTGAATGTGATACATTGTAACAAGTATGGTACATGTACACTTGCACAGTCACTAGACAGTCACTTGCACAGTCACTTGCACAGTCACTTGCACAGTCACTAGACAGTCGTGTTCTACCCGTACCTGTGCAGCTTCCTCTGGATGCCGTGCTAGCAGACCATCAAAGTACACACTGGAGATGTGCTCAAGACCAAGCTGTTGCAAGCACTGCACAACATACATGTGCAGGCAGCCAAACAGACAAGACAGACAGACAGACAGACAGACAGACAGACAGACAGACAGACAGACAGACAGACAGACAATCAGACAGACAGACAGACAGACAGACAGACAATCAGACAGACAGACAGACAGACAGACAGACAGACAGACAGACAAACAGACAGACAGACAATCAGACAGACAGACAGACAGACAGACAGACAGACAGACAGACAGACAGACAGACAGACAGACAGACAGACAGACAGACAGACAGACAGACAGACAGACAGACAGACAATCAGACAGACAGACAGACAATCAGACAATCAGACAGACAGACAGACAGACAGACAGACAGACAGACAGACAGACAGACAGACAGACAGACAATCAGACAGACAGACAATCAGACAGACAGACAGACAGACAGACAGACAGACAGACAGACAGACAGACAGACAGACCGACAATCAGACAGACAGACAGACAGACAATCAGACAGACAGACAGACAGACAGACAGACAGACAGACAGACAGACAGACAGACAGACAGACAGACAGACAGACAGACAGACAGACAGACAGACAGACAGACAGACAGACAGACAATCAGACAGACAGACAGACAGACAATCAGACAGACAGACAGACAGACAGACAGACAGACAGACAGACAGACAGACAGACAGACAGACAGACAGACAGACAGACAGACAGACAGACAGACAGACAGATAGAAGCATACAGAAACACAAATACATATTTAAAAGTACTCGATTAAATTCTTTTTTCATCAACCGCCCCCACCCCCACCCCCACCCCCACCCCCACCCCCACCCCCACCCCCACCCCCACCCCACCCCACCCCCACCCCCACCCCCACCACAACTGCCGTTTGGCTCCATAGTAGATGGGTTGCCTTGTTTTAGTTGCCTCTGAGATGTGCTGCTGTGTCACTTAGGGATGATGGTATGACATTGCACAATATGTTGCAGTCACCAGTGGACACATGCGCAACGTTAGGACCTAAGTTAGGCGTAGAAAGTCACAGATGGTTGGGGGTGAGCAAACTAATAAGTCGCCTCAAGACTTATCAAATATTGGCTCAACATTGACAAGTAGCTTACCTCCAGGAGACCAGCAGCAGTGTACGTGGTGTGACCGTTCTTCATCACCTCGGTGTTGTATGTTCCTAGTCAAACAGCATTGCAGAGATGAAATCATGGATTAGATAGTACAAGTCAACATTCACATGTATCGTGGCATACGCCATCAGTGGACCACTGTGTTAAAATGGAAAGACAACAAGGGAAGAGATTGCACCCTGCGATACAGTCATGTATTTTCTGGTCAAAGGCAAGCCACCAGAGGACTCCGCTATCCTGTCCGTACATGACCGCCATGCATACCAGAGGCAGACTGACTTGACTCCGTGACAGCCAGTGCCAATCATGCTGATGTGCTGCTACTGCTGTGACTACTGCTTCTGCTACATGCATGTGTGCCAGAAGACAATATGAGCTGTGATCACGCACTAACTTACCGATGGCCTTGTACCACTCGCCCTCTTGAACATACGTGCAGAGACGCGTCTGAACGTTGCCCATGAGGTCTGCGCCCACGCTATACAGGCTGTCAGTCTCACCGATCGATGTGTAGACTTCCAGCAGAAGAGAGCGGTGCGGTGAGGGTAAGAAGCTGGTCATGGGCACTGAGTAGAGGTCGCCAGGCTTGGTAGCATCGGGAGTGCTGCCATCAATCAGTACTGGATCTTCCTGACCTCCGGTGGCCTTTGCATCCAAGTAGCCAGTGCGCCTGGATATCAACAAGACGAGGAGAGAAATACAAGCGATCATGTCGCCACCGCAGGTTTTCCTTAGCTGAAAACTGACCAGTTCTAACCAACACTAGTACTGGAGTGACAGCTGTGTACGTTATACAGAACAGAATGCCACACACAGTCCCTCTAACATACACAGTGTAAGCTTTGTGTACAGACACATTGTCCACCCACTTCCACAGCAGCACAAATAGGTGACAAGTGCCACCAGGAACACGAGGCTAGCACAGAAACAATCAACAAAAAATCAGCGGGCCAGAACTCCAGGTACACATGTAATGATGTATACTCCTGAGTCCAGAGCTGTGGGAAATACTGGTACGGACAAGTAACTGTTACATTGACAGGGCATAAAACACGCACAAAGCAATCATAAACTCGCAAGACACCTAGATACCAGTACAGAAGACCACTAGCATACAACCATTCCCTTCACTCCTCAGACAACCAGAAGCCTGCCTAGTACACGATAATACATTGTATCGGTAGCAATAGAAGCACACATGCAACTGTACAAGAAAAAACAAACTAAGGTTCTTATTTACAACTGCTACTGTCACCATACCACAACACCATCCCACAACACCAAGCATCAAACGTGACAGCATTTTACCAACCACTTGCCATGGAAGCAAGTGCTCAGCATGGAAATTGTGAACCAAAAAAACTTCAGCAACTCCCTGTCAGAAAAAGTGGCCAAGCGAACCAGCCATTGCAGAAACACCAGAGCAACACAACACTAACAACAGCTACTTGAACAGAAACCTAGAAAGTAGCTGTTCAGAGCTGCTTTCAAAAGGCCATGGAACATGGAAGCCAACAAAAGACAAGAGAAAAGCAGAATGCCAAAGAAGAAAACCTCAGCAAAGAGGCTTCGCAAAGTCTAATATTTGAAGCAAATAAAAGGCTCCTTCACTCCAGAACAAACGATAACAGACTGAGCCAATGCCATGCTGGACTGGAGGACTTGCAGACAAGGCGCCAAAGTTCACGCCCAAAGCCCTCCAAAACGGCTCCGCACCTCAGTTCACACCAACCTACTACAGAAAGTATGCCAGTGGGCTTGGAAAAGCCACGCTGTCATGTAGAACTCACACCTTAGCTAAGCTAAGCCAACCTTAGCTTAGCTTGTCACAGACAATACAAGCATGTGCCTGGCAGTCACATTACAAGGTGTGCAGTATACGTACAGTACATGTACCGTACAAGCGTGTTACATTACACCATGGACACAGTGACAACACAACCTCCACGCCACCATCAGAGGAATGTGCGAAATTAACAGCAATGAAAGCACGCATCAGTACGAATGACACTGACTGGTCCAAAGGATAGTTGAAACTCTTGAGCAGGCAGCCCTCAACCTCCCCCCCCCCCCCCCCCCACACACACACCACCACACACACTCACTCCCGCACGCACGCACACACACACACGTGCACACGCGCGAGCACATTTTAACACACACATACGGTGCCCCCCCCCCCCCCACACACACACGAACACATCTACAAAGTTACTGCACATCCCGGTAGCATACCTCTGTGCATCACAGCCTATTTGTATATAAAGCAGCGCAGTGAACGGTGCCTTGCAGGCCTGTGCTGTGGCGGCCACGTCGAAGAAATCCAGATCCAGCCAGAAGTTGTTGTCCCAGACGGTGGGCTGAGCAGCATGGCGAGAGCTGAAGATGAGTATGTAAACAGAGAGGAGAGAAAGTAAAGAAGGGAGCGTGTGTGTATGCGTGTGTGTGTGTGCGTGTGTGTGAACGAAAACGAGAAAGAGACAGAGAGGCAGAGAGAGAAGGCAGACGTGTTCAAAAGTAACCTGGGCTTGTATCACTCCACAGGACTGAGGTGAAAGAAGAACATCAATCTAGTACAGTACCATGCACAGCAGTGTGATAGCACCCCAGCGTTATCGCACTCATGATGGATATCAAATTATAAAGCAGTAAACGTTTAACCTGGGTTACAACACAAGCTGTACTAGTCTTTGACTCTTGAAGTCTAAATACAGTGTTGCTCAAAGAAATCCAATCTCATGAGTCAAGTTCGCGCCCTGCTCCAGCTGAAATCCCAGTGTTCGCAGGTCTAGGGCTGCACAGCGTCCGGCGTGGCATTGACCTGCTTGATCGGATTTCATTGAGCAGTATTGTGGTGATTTATCAACTTACCTGACACGGACTTGGCGGTTCTGGTGTCGCAAGAATGCCAGCATATCCAGCATGGTTTTCATGGACTGTGCTGGTGGCAAGGTCACTGCTGTATCCCCACCGCCACCGCCGCCGGCAACGGAGGCCATTGCAGCAGTAGCAGTAGCAGCTGGATTACCGCTTTGAGCACTGCGCACCACGTACGACATGCTGTGGCCGGTGGAGGAAGCGGCGGCCGAGCTGGCCGCGCTGCTGTTCGGCGAGGCAAAGCTGAGGCTGCAGTGCGCGAAGAACTGCCTGGCGAGGCGCGACAGCACCGTGTAGTGTGTGTCGCCTTGCTGCAGGACATGGTGGATGAGAAACGGGAACACCGCCTCGGCCATCTCCACCTGTTGTACAGAGATACAAAGAAAGTATAAATTCAAATCACAGAGATGCTTACCAGTGGAAAGAGGATCAGAGGAATAGAAAAGAGAAGAGCAGGCAAGGACGTTACGAGGCCATTTCTCCATGACCGGTCCATGATTCAAGTGATCATTACCTGCAGCTGATTAGTACACGTCGCAGTATCTAAACAAAGTCAAACTACTGAAAGCCGGGCCAAATTGACAAGCGGGGAAAGATGAACAAAGAGAATGTGATGTAGATCTTCGAAGAAACAAGCCACTCCACCGTGACCCATTCGAAGTGAATATAAAATACACCCGTGCAAGTGAAAACTTGGAATAGGCGAAGAAGTTGCTAACACGCTCAGGAAGTTTCGCTTGTGCCAGGCCATCACCATGCCTGAGATACCAAGGATAGGCAGTAGATACAGCGCCTAGCGGCAAGGGTGACCCAAGCACAGCCATGCTCACCTTTATCCGGCAGATTGGCCGCAGGCAGAGCAGCACCTCGTCGACAATGCCACCACACTGTATCAGCACGCTGCTAAGATTGCAGATCCACTCGGCGTGTGTGGTGTGCGGCGCCAACGCCCACGGCAGCCATAGCTCGTCCTTGTCGACCTCCACAGGCGAATAGCTACTGTGCTGGCTGGACGCTGGTTCATAAACCTAGAAGCACAAAGCATGGCCAGGAAGGTCGTCATCACATGAGTTAAATACATAGACAAAAGGAAATAGGCATTGGCCAAAAATACCTAATTTGTAAGTTACCACCACGAACACAAACATGCACAGACATGCACAGACATGCACACATGCACATACGCATATGAATGTTTACTTCTTATCTAATGCACGAGTCGAGTCTGAAGTGACCCGTGATTTTTTTTAATGCACGAACTTATAAATCCATTGACCGCTTCATCCACTTACCCTTTGCTTGCGTCCTGGTAGAAATGGGTCGAGGTAGGGCACCAGGTTGTCCAGCTCTTCCCCGTACGTTGCAATGAAATTACGACCTGGTGCCGTGGCCAGAATGGCTTTCAAACACTCCGCTGTGGCACTCACTACATCAACACTGCACAACACAGCACCAACAGAACAGACTACATTAGTTTTACTTCACCGACAATTCTGAAACTGCTCAAGGGAACGTGGCAGTCATCAGAGAATACCAGCTGTCATAGAGACAGTGGCTTCCCACTTCCCACAATGTAATTTGGACACCAAGCCTATGCCAACAGGAGCACAATGGACACATTCAACAGCAGGGAGCACTAAAAGCTCCCTGCTCAACAGTACACACACATGTACTTGGACTTGAACGCACTGGAAAACATCAGTCACCAGGCTTTAGTGCGGTGCTTTTGTAGTTATCATGTGTCTCCAACTCTTACTTGGGATCAACAAGCAGCTGGCTTAGTCGATGGAGTACAACAGCTATGCAGTAGTCAGTGCAGCTATCTTTGAAGCGCTCACAGAACAAATCTAGCACAAAATGAAAGAGGAAATACACCAGCAAAGTCAGTTCTGCAATTTGTTCTATTGCTAGTGGCAGTAATAGAGAGGTTCTGGAGTACGATTTTCCGTACCAAAATCCGTAAAGGCGCGCTATGAAATTTTAGATGTCGCTTTCGAGTAGTGAAATGTTCCGGAGTAAGGAAATTATATGTTTGCTGTCATTGCCTAGGTTACGATCCCATTTACGTCATATTCCCGCGCTATGCCTTTTTAATTTGAAAACTTGGAGAAATTTCAAAACTTCCCGCGGAAAGTCAATGTTTCTCGTGTCAAGATAGTGTGCAAAAATCTTTCTGCACTCAACGACGCAAAATTTCCATACGGAACATGGTTTGCATGAAAGCCGTGCCGAAAAATCGTATGAAGCACGCCTCAAAAAATTCGCAGCGCCTCTACGGATTTTGGTATGGAAAATCGTACCCCATAATCTCTCTATTGTCAGCATTGAATAAAATGCACCGAGTCATCTCACAAATTCTGGACCGGACATAAAAATATCTCCAAAAGAAATATGAAAAATTGGGCTTGTCCGGGATTTGAACCCGGGACCTCTCGCATCCGAAGCGAGAATCATACCCCTAGACCAACAAGCCGACATGTACCCCATTCTGTATACAGGCATTTGACCTGGCCACATGTTGTTCACAAATCGTGATCAAAAGACAAAATACTGAAAATAGTATACAGTCAGACCTCGCTTAACCGCACACATCTGTTTTCCACAAAAATATCCGGATAGGCGAGGGAACCGGATAACTGAACACACATACTGTATATGCATGTGGCATGTCATAAGCAGTGACATCGTACATACATGTAGACGGGTCCTATGCAGTACAACTATCGTGCACAGTATGTAAAGCAAGCGAGAAAAATGACAAGTGCATGCAACTAAGTCCTGCCCACATGCACCCAGCAGGTCAAGGACCTCATTTGCCTGTACAACTCCCTGATTCTAGCTTCTGGAAGCCACAAGCAACCGGATACGACGAAGCTTTTTGTACACATTTTAACCAGTTTGTATACAAAATCATGCACCGGTATGCGGATCGCGAGGTCCGGTTATGTTGTATGCATAACATATGCTGCACATCGGTAACCAGCGATTTTCTTCCGGATGGCGAGGGATCCGGATAAACGAGGACCGGATAAGCGAGGTCTGACTGTAGTTTGATACTCTATGTCCATGTCCACCCTATTTATCGGCAGGGGACTTTTCAAGGTGTGTCACATTCAGAATGTAAAATACCCGGAGTTCCAGACACACAATCAATGTAACATCTTGAGGCCCTGTATAGCAAACTCTGGGACTGGGAATGCTGCCTGGAAGCGATATCATCATCCACCAGTCATGCCACCCAACTTGACAAGTTGGTAGGTAAAAATACTCCCCGCACAACTGACCTTTGTCGTCGGTGTGCTTCACCATGGCAACCGTCAGCAGGTCAGGCGTAGCAAGCTCGCCGAGACACTTGGCCACCTCAAGGTGCATGCTACTACTACCAACGGCGCGACCATGTTGCTGCTGCTGCTGCTGCTGGTGTTGGTCATGTACATGTTGCTGCTGCCGTTGTAGGACGTTGTCTGCGTCTGCATTGGACTGTTCGGGTGGCGGAGACCTGACTACCTCGCAAAGACGCTTCAGCTCACTGATCAGATGCATGACCAGTGTTTCAGTACCGTCCGACAAGTGACCTGCAGCACGGCGACAACACACAGTCATAGATTCAAGTCCGGCCAGCACTGTGACCAGCAGCATGCAACAAACACCAGCACTGTGACCAGCAGCATGCAACAAACACCAGCACTGTGACCAGCAGCATGCAACAAACACCAGCACTGTGACCAGCAGCATGCAACAAACACCAGCACTGTGACCAGCAGCATGCAACAAACACCAGCACTGTGACCAGCAGCATGCAACAAACACCAGCACTGTGACCAGCAGCATGCAACAAACACCAGCACACCCCCCCCCCCCCAGTAGAAAAGAGGCAGGAGCGGAGCTCTACGTCACCGAATACAGAACAACAAGGGCCGAATATATATTTTAAAATAGGAAGTGATGATTAGAATGATCATCTAACTGGTATGATCCCAGTCTAACCTGTGAGTGCGGGATGACGGCTGGTGACCAGCTTCAGCTGCTCGTGCTCCTGCTGCAGCATGGCACGCAGGTTGCAGACACCGTCCGCTCGAGAGCGACTCTTGTTATCCGCACTGGCAGACAGAAAGCGCTTCAGCTCCTGAAGACAACCAACAGCCACCAAAGTACCACATCAAATCAGTAACAGCACAAAGGTCGATATCCGCTTCTACCCAAGACGCATTTATTCACTGGAGACATCAGCTGGTCCATAGAAAAGAGAGGTCATTGGTGCCTACTCTTGGTTATGGACAGTTGGTAATACTGCACCACTGATTAAACGTGGAATCCCTCACAAAAAAACACATGCGCTAACCAATCAATGGAAGAGTTCCCAAGCAAACTAGCGACTGTCCAAAATCAAACCAGTAACTATTCCCTATGGCCAGCAGAGTTCAAACTGCTGAACAATAAAAAAAATCCCTACTACTAGTATGGACCATGTACATTGGTACTCACAGAGACGAGTGTAAGGGTCGGGCCATCCACAAGATCCAGCTGAGCGTCACGCATGCGTTGGAACTCAGGGGCATCCGGCAGTGGATCTAGTGTGGCAACACTCTCAGATAGACGTGGTGAGGCATTGGTCCGAATCAGGAAGTCAAGCAAGCTAAGCGCCTGTGAAAGTGTAGAGAGAGAAGAAATAGATACAGAGAAGTTGACAGATATCAAACATGCAAACAGGCGAATGGATGAACAGACGGGCAGGCAAGCAGACAGAGACCTGTAATAGTAACTAGTAAAGCAAAATACCACTGATACTACATGCCGCCACTCCTACGAAGTGCTGTGAAGCTCAAAACATTTGCACACATACCCACAGACATGTACGTACCACCTGTATGTGCACACACACACACACACATGCACACACACACACACAGTGACCAACCTTTTTCCCGGCCACTGTCGCCTGGCTGGCATGGGGCAGCAAGCTGGCAACAATCAAACTCAAGTGCTTGCTGAGCTCCTGCAGGCAACAACGGCCACATACACAGTAATTTTCAACCCTATCTTCACCATTCTTCTTCATCAACCACCAACACCACAACTGTGCTCTCCAGCCGACCTGGACACGTTGCCACGGCACACCATCAGCAAAGCAACACATCCGTTGGTACTCAGTTCATTCATATCAACACCGTTATTAAATTGTATCATGTTTGGAATGTTCGGCAGGTAGACATTGGCTCATACAGTTAATAGACTCAACGCGCCTGTCTACACACCAGGTCACATGTGCACAGTTTACTGCTTACATCTACACTGCTGGTGACGGCCAGGCGACAAACAACAGTCAGCAAGTGGCAGCAAGCGCCGACCAGGTGCAGTTGACAGCGCTGCGTGTTCGTTGGCGTGCACGCAGAGCCCTGCGCGGTGTGCGTCTCAAACGGCGGCGTCTGCTGCAGAAGATGCACGGTCGTGTGCACGATGTCGCGTAGCAGAAACACACGGGCCAGCGCGAGCTTCTGCGACGCCTCCTTGAAGACGATCTCCATGAAGATTGCGTACAGGAGGAAGTAGCGGCGGCGCTGAGCCGAGTGGTGCGCATGGTACATCTGCAGCTGCAGGGACAGGACGATGCGCTGAATGCAGTCGCGCCAGCGCGACAGGCAGGCCAGCAGCGACGGCTGCTCGGAGTGATGGAACTGTGACATGTAGTGCAGCGTTGCTTTCGCCTGGGCGACGGTGTACACGGGCGGGTTGGGCTCAGCATCAGTGGAGCTAACACCATAAACAAACACAGGACACACACACAGCAAAAAAAGAGTGTAAACATACATTTAAAAAATGACTCTGCGCCGCCATTTCGTACATTTAAAAAAAAGCTCCAGACACCGACAGAAACCACTCCCCGAGCACCCATTGCTGGACCGTTGAGATCATCATGCCACGTTTAAGTGTTTCCTAACAATAGTACGCTTTCTGTGCCATCGTTTATAGAGTACAGTAGGTATCGGTTATAGCGTGGGTGTTTGAAAAACGACATTTGATTCTTATTGCCGATATTTCTTACACACGATAAATCACGTGTGACATATCATATGCACGTGTGACATAATACATGTTTGGCATGTGGACACGTACAATCATGTAGGTCTAAACAATCATGATACACACGGATCAGACTCGCGGTCGTGCTAGGCGACTGCGGAGCAGCAGATAGGAGAGAAGTCGGAAGAAAGAGTCGGACTGGACAGAAAAAGTGATTCTCCAATGCTCAGTTGGACATAACTCTCTTTTTGTGTTGAATATTATTGTATTGAGCATGCACAGAGCACAGATGTTATTACTACAGGCGATACACTTTGCACTAATCTGGCATATTTTGCTACACAAAATCCATTCTTAGGGCCGATATATTCTACTATGCGATAATACTGCTTGTAAGAATAAATATACACATAAAATAGGTGTTATGATTATGAAAAAATGAGTGTTCATTCTTGTAGGCAGTATATTCTTGTATACGACCACACTATAACCGATACGCACTGTACATGCGATTGCGTCACCGTCATTTTAGATGCTTCATACGCAGTGACATCACAAGCACTCATTTGCCTCACGTGGTGATGTCATCCTATATAATTTCAATTTGTATTCACAGATTCTGATATGCCATCACCACAAAAGCAGCTGGAGAACAGCAGGTAGTGCACAAACATGATGAATCAGAGAGCTCTATTGTCACGTTCAACTCACCTGGCAAACGCAGAGTATTCGCCTGTCTGCCCGGGAGATATGTGAACGTGCAGGAGTAGCTGCACAACAAATTCGTCAATCTGCCGGGTGAACAGGCGGTCAACAGCCTGGAGAAAAAGAGTGCACACAGGAAACACAGCAGTGAGCTACAGTCTGCTAACAACATACATCATAGCAAGCAATAGAGGGTGTATAATAATTTGGACACTGTGGACACAATGGAACAAAATTATTCGTTGGAATTCCGAATTTGCACGCCAAAGGACGTATGCAATCATGCCAATGAGAACTGTCGGCCAGTGCATATGCACTACTATTCCCCAGTGTCACCAAACCATACATGCACACCCATGTACATAGAATAGTCCACTCACACCTACTACTACTAATAGAAGTACACGCATGTAGATGCGCATGTACCCCCCCCCCCCCCCCCCCCTGACAACAGCATGCATGTAGATATTCATTCATGCACGTACTGGTCCCTGCATACACAACAGCACGTGCACCCACTACTTGCACACCGGTAGCCCATACCTCTTTACTCAGCTTCTCGCGCAGAAAAGCGTCGGCCCGAATGGCTGCTTGGGAGACGTCGTCGTTCGCCTCAGCAGTGCTGCCGTCAGTGGCCTCGGCGGCAAAACACGGCAACGTCAACACGGTGAACTTGCCTATGTGAGGCTCCACCAGCTCAGGCCACTCACTGCCTAACTCCTGGGCGACTGCCGTCAATTCTCCCTCGTCACAGCGCACCAGTAGATGCAGCACAACTTGTGATAAGTGCTGCCGATAGAAGTCAAGGATCGACGACATTCCATACAGCTTGTAGGGGAACACGGACAGCTTCTGCTTCTCGCAGCGCCACTGATGTAGCAGATACTCGGTATGATGGCTGAGGTACTGAGATGTACTGCTGTGTCCCATCTGCTGCGATATCAGACCAAGGACCTGCAAGTACATGCACGCACATGTGCACACGCACGCAAGAGTCCTCAAAACCCTAGCACGCCCCCACCCAATAGTCCATTCAGCTGAAAAATTGAAATTTTCGAGTTGCACCTGCTTCTCCATACATTTGCCCTGGTATACCTGTCCTGATTTGGTAAAGCTGGGTCGAACATCTAACTCAGAGTGATCAGTCAGGGAACTCCTTGAGTCCTTATCATTTGACTCTTGCACCCTGAATTGTGGCAAGGAAAATCTGCACGGGCAATACAAGAGGGGGGGGGGGGGGGGGGGTTGTACCTACAATTATTCGTTCCAGACACCAAAAAGTTAGGATGCCAGTTTTGGGATGAATGGAGTGTACACGGTGGTCCTATGCGCACAGTAATGGGACTTATCAAGGCCCAGGCGACTGTCAGAAGTGTCCAGGTACGAACTCATCAGCACGGCAACCTACCTTGCATGGCACAATCTCCTCATCGTCCACACTACTTCTGAAGATGTACATGAGCGCTTGCTTCTCACACAGCGGGCTGCACACGGCAATCTGAGCGGCGGCGGCCAGTGAACTGCAGATGCGATTGACACCCTCGTCCTCGTAGATAGCATCCGGAAGACCGTCCATGCTTTGCTGTGTAGCCGCACAACACGGAGGGCAAGAGTGTCACACACAACACAGTGATCTCAGCAAAATCTGGCAGTGAGTTTGAGGTGTGCGGAAAGAGAGCAATTCACATCATTATGGGGAGGGGGCATATGTGTTGCTGTTGAACAGACACCCTGTGCAAGCAAGTGCAGGATTCCATCTACCAGTTCCTGAAAGCCTCAAATAATGATTCACACACATGGACACATACACGTACAAACACGAGCTCGCACAAACAAAAACACACACACACACACACACACGCGCGCGCGCAAGTTGCAATAATAATGACAAATTACCAACACCAGCAAATTCGCACACATACTGTGCATGTACATGTACTGTGTACGCAGTGTGCATTGTCTACTATAAGCGGCAACAGAGCACCTTACTAGGTCATCGTAGAGAACAGTGAGCGCTTCCTCGGCCAGCGCAAACACTTGCCGTTGCTGCTCCTTGCGGGCATTAACCAGGCAAGTGTCCCAGGTGGTGTGCTGTGGCAGCGCAAGCAGCTGTACTTTACGCTGCACGCCGGCGTACGGCAGTGCCAGCCGAGGCCAGGCTGCCGTGGTACTCGGGAGGAGGAACAGACGCGGCAGGATGGCCACCGCGTACATGCGCACGGCGTGATCGGTGTCGCTGAGCAGTCGGCACACGGCCGCGTCCAGGTGGAACGGGCTGTGCTGCCCACCTGACGTGATAGAAAAACACATGCACAAGATGGTGCGGCCGATATCTCCTATCAGATGGCCACAAGGTTGGGGGGGGGGGGGATGTGTGAAGAGAGGAATTCCCCAGCAAATAACATGTGACAGGCAGTCATCACAGGCATCTAAATACAGCCGCTTGATGTCATCATCTTTTTAGTTTCACCCCGGGAAATACTTTTCCCACGCTAGCAATATCGCCTGCGGTACCAAAATACTGGTGGTGAAGGTGATATTGACAGCTTACCGGAACGATTCTTGACTTTGATTTCCACCCAAGTTAGATGGGGATCGGCCTGTAATCAAACAAGCAAAAAGTCAAGGTATGGTAACACCAAGACGTGCATGAGCCATAATCAAATTGGGAAAAAAACTTCAAAAAAAAAGAGAACATTATTGCTGGTATAGCCATCATTCGTGGCAACAGGAAACGTGGACAATGAATGGTGCACCTGGAGATTCAGATGAAACTTGTTTGTAACACTTCCTGCAGGAGATGAAGGCCAAACTCAATTAACTTAGTCAGAAACTAACCTTGAGCAGTGCCTCTATGAAACTAGCCAGTTCCAGCTTCACAGCCGTAGCCAACATACCGTCTTCGTAGAGAGCCCTACATTATAGTACAGTACAGACACGCACACACGCACACACGCACACATTCACTCACACATGCATACACATGCACAGGCACACACAGGCATGCACACACGCACACGCACATGCACATACATACATGACCAACTTGTGAGTCTTGTTTGCAGCCTTAGACCATTGTTAACCTAAGGCTAAGTTGCATTAGACCCGCTCCTTTAAAAGTAGTATTAGACCCTCTCCCTATTAAACTGGCCTACGTAGTATTCCGCCTTCTCCCATAGCAGTATTAAACGGTAAAACCCTCTCCCTAAGTAGTATTAGACCCTTGTTAGTAGTTGCTACCCATAGTTGCACTAGACCTTACCCCATGGCATGGTAGGGAGGGTCTGTTTTCAGCCAATCAGGGCTCATTGAACCGGGATGATATTAGCCAATACAATCCCGCCCGGGATCGATATTCAATATCATCCTGGTTCATGTGTCCCGTAAAAACCCTGCATGTTAGTGCATGGCGCGGCATTCACCTACGCACCTCACCAGTACAGTACTGTGGAGTGCGCCTGGGCCCTTCGCCAGTACTGGTCGCCTGCTGACAGCATGTCCCATGGCTCTTCACGATGGGAGCAGGAGCAGTAGGCAACCAGTGCATGTACTGGTCCAAGGCCTGCACGGAGCACTAGACAGTACCGTCCTGATGAGCATGCTTGCACCAGGGATCGGAGTATATAACCCTCAAGAAATCTTACATCGAAGAACAATCAAGGTGGAGTGGATTCGGCAAGCAGTGAGTAAGAAGGTCGAATTGTCCATGCCACTCAAGTCAATGCCAGCAAACTGATCATTTCAAAATTGTCATCATCCTGCCCCGTCCTTTCCAGCAGCCACTCAAACATCCCTCCGCAGACACTTGGTACAACGGCAAACCACTTTGGCAAGAACAGAGTAAGCGGGTTCATGAAGACAAGCTCCTTCAAAGCTTCCCTTTCTCATACATACACCAACCACCGTGTTACAGCCACCTGGATCACCAACCTTGATCTGTCAATCCGTTCCTGACCATGTCATTGCAAGAACATCTAAACACCAGAACTTACAGTCACTGCAGTCCTACCATCAGCCTGCAGAAACCGACAAGTTCGCCACCGCTTGCCCCTTGGACAGTGCTCCAAAGACGTGCACAGAGCCATCTTGAACTGCCACAGCTACACCAGTTACCCCACAGCCAAGACCGGCTCACTGCTATGCCACAGCTGATGAGATCGGATTATTGAAAGAGGAACTAGCAGTAGTGGAGGAGGAAATGAATGCCATACATTACAAGCACGATGAGGTGGCACACCTGTACAATGCCATGACACATCCAATGGAAAGAACACCTCTCACGGTAAAGGTAGTCGATGACGGTACTCAGTCGCTCTGAAGAACATGGCAACGGCCATGGATCTCAGTTCACTTGGAAGGAAGCCTTCAGGGCTAACATTGCAATTCTTCTTGCTTCCAATTTCTAATACGCTGCTTTCTTGATAATCCTTTACACAGTTCCAGTTCGTGTTGTGAATTACAATTCTTAGATGAAGCTCTGTGTATGCTTGGCGTGACAAAGGCTGGGGTAAAGAAAAGATTCAGTGAGTGATTCAGTCCTACCATCAGCCTCCAGAAAACGATAAGCTTGCCACGGCCTGTCTTTTAGACAGTGCTACAAAGATGGGTGCAGATCCATCCTGTACTGCTTATTAGACCCGCTCCCATCAAACCCAGAGGTTGTATGCTGCGTTCGCGTACAGGGAAATGCGACGCAATGCCTAACTCAATGAAAAAGCTGATTTGAGTTCAACTTGTTTGGCTCATCATTGCGAAGCGTTTCCTGTACACGACATGCAGTATGAATCGGGTTTCAGGTAATTATGTTGTGCTGTACTCTGAATACCTATTGGGATACTAGTAAACTGTGCATTGTTGCATGTAGTATTGCACCTTGCTGTTGGACTTTCCTTGATAGTTGTACGATAAGCCTTTATTCTCTCCAGAGTTTCTCTCTAAAGTTGTACACTTCCTTGAGTCTATCCTTGCCTGTACTCAGACCCCTCCCCACCACCACCAGTGTGATGATGCATGTGCCCAGAGTAAACCAGATTTTGTACAAAGAGACTGATTGCAGTATAACATAAAGGCGTTCCATTCTTCCATCAACTAATGTGTGTTTGGGAAAGTGGGGTCCAGTGGGACCCCCACAGCATGAGTACTTGGGAGTCGTAGCATCTAGAGAGACCACATGGGATAACGGCTCCCGAAACAATGTGGGTTCCGACTCCGGATTTCGAAGTTCTACGTGACCCGTGGCCTACGCAACTCGTAATCGCGACTATGGCCTTGATGTGCTGTCCCCAAGCAAGGCCCAGACCAGCGATGCTAGATACAAGCGTGTAGAAATCAGCCCTACCCCACGGGCAACAGTAACGTTACCGTGGTCCGTGTCATCTTCCTAGACGTTACGACTCCCTCGTGAGCACCAACGTGACCCTGCTCCATGGCTTGGAAACTCTAGCAAACTGTACAATGCAGGCTAGTGCTGATAGGCATGTTCCCGTCAGATACGACGATGGTCTGCGTATCTGCCATAGTTTTCCCTTCACGCAAATTTACAAGCAAGACACAATGCTTGTCAGCCTAAGAGCTGTGTTTTCAAGATTCCTATTGCAAACACAAATCAAAAAGAAGGTTTGTGTAGGTACAGTGCCACTCAATACAATCCAATCGCGTGAGCGTTAGCTGCGCCCTGCATCAGTTCACATCCCAGTGCTCGCAGGTCTAGGACTGCACAGCGCCCGGCATGGCATTGACTCGCTTGTTCGGATTTCATTGAGCAGCACTATACTGTGTGTATATTTTTGGTGCAGAGTGGGAATATCTGAGAAAACACACCGAAGCTAGCTTTGCCAGGGCAAACAAGAGCCATGTACATGTACTACAGTGCTACAGTACCCTGGACAGGCACTGCACCCTTACCAGAAAGCATTCAGCAGATGAATGGTGGCCTGGTGGTCCTTGCCGAGCTGCTCGCCGCTGCCAAGACGGGTCAAGTGCGGCACGGTGAGCGCGAGCAGGTGGAGCACTTCAGCACTGACACGCTGATCACACCGATACTGGGACATGATGTTCCTGAAGATGAGCAACGAATGCAGTACCATTGTAAAGGAGATTGGATGAGGCACAATCATGCTGATACAGACACAGAATACAGCGGTAGATAGCCAAACAACACGACAGGAGTAAGACTCGACTCTGACGGATACTGGTTTTTTTTAGACGTTTCGACACTTGATGTCTTCCTCCGAATGATGATGATACAAAAATGGATACAAATCAGTCTACGGATAGCTCCCAATCTACTCTCATAGAGCCACCTGACCTGTGCCATGCAAACATTGGGTTTTCTCACTTCAGTGCAGCGCTCCCTGTGGAGCTAGTCCCGCCAACAGGATGGTCACTCTGTTAATTAAACACAGCATAGTGGTGTGCCATTGACAATGACAACTATTAGCCTATTACTCAACGCCGCATTTGCTAACACAACCTGATGGCTGGCTGAAGCGGAGCATGGCCAAGTCTGTACCAACCCATCCGGCTGCTATGTGACTACAAGTACGTCCATGCCGGCCAAATCTCCATCAACGCTGTAATACCTGAGTGAGTCCAGGAACAAACGCAGGACGTCCGTAGAGAGCTGTACGGATGAGACGACAAACTCGCGCATGATGACCAACGCCTGGAGCGAACGAAAGAAATGAAACCAACAACCAAAGGGAGCATTACTGTAACCACTGCAAGCACCCGGTGGGAGTATCATGATGAAGGAATAATGGCCACAGACCTACTACCGTAAAAGTCCGTAAATAAGTACGTATTTACTTTCGAATTTAGTGACCACGCCCGTACTAACTTTCGGGCGGGTACTGACTTTCGGGCACGAACTAACTTTCAGACCTGACTTGTGTGTAGTGGAGAAGTCATTTTCATGTCGATGTACATGCTACGTGCTGCATGTGCGCACCGTACCGGTACTTATTTCGGGCAGTATGTTTATCGGGCTTGACTTGACTTCAACAGACAGAGCCTAAAGAATGAAGGGGGTATTTCTTTCGGGCAGGTACATATTTACGGACTTTTACGGTATGTCTACTTCACAGCAGTAAAGATTTCCCGTGGCATTCAGATAGATTTTGATTTACTGTTCTTGCATTATAGCTGCAAGCACATACATGTACGGGTCTTAAAAGTAGAGATTTTCATCCAGTGAGCGTACACTCCGTAAGCTAGTCATATTCGAGTCATTGCTGCAAGTCAAAACTTCAATCACATTCGCATAGCACACATTAGAATAGTGTCAACCTAGAGTGAAAACGACAGTGCGAAACAGAAAAAATTGCCCTCGTGAATGAAACTACACCAGGCACCGCAAGGCTACAAACACTCGGCCGTGCATTCGAACATGGCACTGCTCCATTCACGAGAGCAATTTTCACTTGTCATAACTAATGAGAATATCATCTATACATTAGCAAACAATACAGCTCCTGTAGGCAAAATCCTGACTCGCACATTTGCCTTCCTGACGCTATCCTTCAATTCAGCATGACACTCCTAGTTGATCTCTTGCTATAAATACAAGTGCTACGTGCAGGCACAAAGCCCAAACCTGAACCAGCACTACAATGTAACAGTGCAACCAACCTGCTGGATATCCCATGGGTTCATGTAGTCAATATCCTGCACGGACAGGCAAAAGAAGGTATAGTAAAGTTACAGAATGGCAAAGCACCACACAGTGGTTGCCAGCTATTCTACTATTCACACACAAAAATAATCATGAAATACTACCCCCCCCCCAAAAGCTATCAACAGCTAGGAAACTGGGCCAAACACGTTGAAATAGAGACAGAGCATTCTGAAAAATTAATATAACCACAGCATAAACGAGACCTTGATAGCATTTGTGCTACACACAGTAGTACACGATGTGTCAGAGTGCTATACAGTATTATATATATAACACCATGACACCATGACACACAAAGGAGACAAGAACCACTCGGTTTAGTTGCAACTTGCAGTTTCAGGCCAAAGGCATTTAACTCCAAGTTGTAACCTGGCGGAGTGGTTTCTTGTTTTCTATGTAGGAGGGCTCTGTGCCCGGCGCATTGAGTACTGTTCTAGCATCTGCTGCTGCTACTTTCTAGAACTGCAGCACATACACCATGTGTACAGTACTACATGTACTTGCACTAACCTGCGATGCAAGCCAGGCGAAGAGATGCGTGCACACCGCGCTCTCCGTCTTCATCGAGTCCTCCGGTGTCGAGGTTGTACCCGACAGCGAGAGCTGCCCTCTGTTGGTGTGCAGCGACCTGCCGCTGCCTCTATTGGCCAGGAGTCCTGAACACGCCCAGCTGGAGAGAATGCGCGTGGCCAGTACCGCCAGGCGAGCTTGCGAAGACAGGAGACTTGGATGCAGAACATATGCTAGACAATCACACAGAAGAGTCACAAAGATGACCCAGTGTCAATTCAGTTAAACAGTGTCGTGTTGATTGCAGTATCTGAAGTTCTTCTATGGCACTGGACAGGCTATAATTATTCTGAAGGACTATAGACAGAAATCCATTAGTACAGTATAAGTATACGCTTCAGCCTGGAATTAACTTTCACTAATTCGCTGCATAACAAAGCTAACTAAAGTTCGCACAGAGCGAGCAACCCCCATGCTCTTGTGTAGTGAACATCCAAAGCAAATAGCATCAAAGGATCCGCTGAACCTATGTCCTGAGTACGAGCACTACGGATTGATAACCCCGAGGTTCAGCACACTCACAAGAAACGAAATGAAGTTCCGATGGTCGCAAACGTAGTACAGTGGAACTCTGATAATACGTACCCGCATGGGCAGCAGGAGAGTGTGCTCAGTGTCCGAGGTACTTGTACATATCCAAACATACCTCAGCATGGAGTCATACACCCGTACCCTGACAATGGCTGTACTAAGCACGTGTACGTCTTATCAAGGCACGTACTGTGAGTGAGTTGCACTGTAGAAGCAGCAGTGGCAGGCAGGGGACAGGTGCTATGAACATGCAACGTACAATGTCCTGAACACAGCTACCTGTAGACCAGACTCTACTCACTCTCTTTGCTTGCTGCGGCTGCTCGCGTGTTCTCGCTGCCCATCGAGACAGCAGTGGTTTCGTCCATGTCAAATTGGTCGTCCTCGTCAAAGGACGCATCCGCATTCGCGACTGTCCGAGACACACGGGGACTGCTTGGCTTGACAGACCGGCCACGGGCCGAATCAGCAGTCAGACCACGCGCAGGCGGCCACTGAGAACCATAGGTCAACACATGAGATATACACATCACGATGACATCACAATTGCATCGATATGACATTGCCATTACATCACAACGATGTCATTGTGTATGTCCCTCCCAATGTCAATAGGCATTTGGCAACAGGCAGTATGGTACACACAGGAAATTTAACTCGGTGAATAATTCATCCAACTGCAAAGAAAGTTCGTCTGGTCGGAAATTTTGCCCACGGGCCATAAAACATATGGGAAACCTGGGCTTATTGACAGTACTCCCTGCTTGGCGGTTAGCACAACACTGACCTGACATGTCGATATGCGATACAGCTGATCCAGTAAAGCATCTAGCTGCAAGTCATCCTGGAACAACTGGCACATGCCCACAATAAGCGGCATATCTCCGATGGGCTGTGAGGGAAACAAAGAATATGCAAGGAAGAGCAAAACTATGAAAACCAAAACATCGGTATTGAAATATAATATTTCAAAGCGCTGCCAAGCACAACACACAAGGTTTAATTTCCCATACATGTATGCAAAAGAGTGTTGCATAATCACTCAATCCAACGCTACCGCGCACACAGGCCACCAACACAGGCACTTGGTTGTGATTCTAACTAATTGAAAAAGGATACATAAACTAAGGGGAAAACAAATTAGACCAAAGGAAATAAACTCAGACACATGGAGACACAACTGCTCCTTGGCCAACTCCAAAAAAAGAAAGACAACTCCTGCGTGTACCTCTCTTGCTCCATAAACACATGCGAAAAAAACCAAGCATTCTCCGCATGTACACACTCACTGTACACATGTACACAACTTACTGGACACAATCAATGTACGCATGCATGCAAGTTGCAGATCAACATGCACGTGCAAATACATATTCGGACCGTGCAGTCCGGATATCAAATATCAAGAAACTAAGCACTACTTTAGAAGGGCGACTCTCCAAATACAGGCGATGCAAACAAATCAGAGAGTAGGTAAAGGAACATAAAAGGCGTATCAAGAATAGACTCGGATGGAGAGCCAAGGATAATTTATGAAATTTGTAGTTCCTTGGTCCTTTCTCTTTTCTATTAACGGCATATCGATAGTGATAATGATTAATGAGACATGTTGACATCATAATTATTAGACCATGCGATTCTATTTCAAGAGGCATTCGGAAAAGGGGTACTGATTTGGCTCATCCCCATTTGGGAAATGAGTATTCATTAGGCAAATACCCACCAGGCCAGGAGGTGCCATAAGGCATGCAAACGCTGGCTGAAGACAAGTTAGAATGCGAGCCGTGGAGCGACAACGGGTGTCTGCATCCACCTCCAGCAATGAAGAGTCCTTGAGACCATCAGCAACACTCTCGCCAAGTGCCTGAAGAAGAGAAAACAACAACATGAATATGAATACAGGATCAGCGAGGAGAGAGAGAGAGAGAGAGAGAGAGAGAGAGAGAGAGAGAGAGAGAGAGAGAGAGAGAGAGAGAGAGAGAGAGGGGGGGGGGAGGAGGAAGGCTGAGAGAGGGGAGAGGGAGGGGAGAGAGGCGACAGACAGACAGACAGACAGACAGAAAACACAGCAGTATAGAGAGAGAGCCAGTACAAGTACACTACAACGGATACACTCACTGTGAGATGAACTAGCAGTGGTGCATACACTCACTGTGAGATGAACTAGCAGTGGTGCATACACTCACTGTGAGATGAACTAGCAGTGGTGCATACACTCACTGTGAGATGAACTAGCAGTGGTGCATACACTCACTGTGAGATGAACTAGCAGTGGTGCATACACTCACTGTGAGATGAACTAGCAATGGTGCATACACTCACTGTGAGATGAACTAGCAGTGGTGCATCACGAATGTCATCGACCGTCATTGATGACGATAACACCAGCTGGCGGACAAGGTGAACGGAGAGGCTGATGAGTCGACACTCCCGCTCCAGTCTTGCTGACAACACATTGAGACGCTCTCTGCTCATCATAGTGCCCTGTGTGTGAATACCACAACCAACATAGAAGTGCATCATCATAATTATTACAGCCATGATGGGTGTGTACCGGTATAGTAGACACTCAGACTCTCGCACACTCGTCACTCCATGAGTCGATGGCAGAAAAACGTGAACAGCAGAGACCTGCACAACTGACCACTTCTTTGAGGTTGAAAGAGAGCTGTTGGTTATTGAAACGCATCTCCTTACCTCGCCATCAGCAGCTGCGCTCGGCACGGTGCCACACATCTGCACCAGTACAGTACATAAGTAGACTTGGAGTGAGGACAGGAATGCGCCATCACACCTGTCAGGCCAACACGTGTGCAAGCACACAGCCGCACACAGCCACATAACACATGCATGCATGCATGTAAGCACACACATACATGCACACACGCGCATACACGCATACACGCACACACACACACAAGCACAAACAAGCAAAAATCTATACGTGTACAATAATGTATGCGTCATCATGTATCTTGCAGTCACTGACGCCGCCTTTTTGTCATGATGTGCTTAATAGTATTGATGGTGAGTGACTGTGATATTTCAGCTCTCGCGTATGCACTTTTTTTTAAACCCATCTGAGCCCTGCGCGGCTTCCATCGCAGCTCCCCTTTTTCATTGGCACTCTGGCTTTCGGTTGTGTTGTTGCATTAGACGGAGTTAGAAGGAGGATTGTGCTCCCTGTGCTCCTGTTCGTTCTTTCAATCTGATCACTCGTGTAGTTTCTATTTATTATGATGGTTTAGTAATCTACTCTCTGCCGTGAAGTTGGACGTGAGTGTGTGGCATTTGGGAACAATCATTTAAAATTCTTACCGAGAATTTGAAATGTCTTCGACGTGATCATGAACTACTGCAAAGGGTGGCTGCATAAACAAAGAAGAATCAAAAAATAGTTTTTTAAAATACACAATGCAACTAATCCTGTTAGCCACAGATGACCATAGGTGCTGCAGTTATTCTACCAAAGGGCCAACCCAACCAAACATTGAATACGGGTCCATTACTACACTATTGGTTGTCAACATCATCCTGCGTCAGAACACAAATGGATTGCCCTCGGCTGAAGCAGCCAGAGCAGTTTTACTCTTTCACATTGAAACCGGGCGGGAACATCGATTTCGGTCCCAAATGACACACACACACACACACACACACACACACACACACACTCTCTCTCTCTCTCTCTCTCAAGACTCTCTTGCTGAAGTTTTGAGAGAGATTCTCTTGTTGAAGTTAAGTGGTCTCTCTCATGAGAACTCTTCCTGAAATTACTCTTTCTCTCTGTGACAAGAAATTTCTGGCACTCGCTTGCTCTCTTACTTGCTTTTACGTGTAAACTTTAAGTCATCCTTCAAAGAATCATAAGAGGTTCGAACCAATCAATCACACATGGGGGTCTTTGAATCTACGCACCGAGGGCTCTATCCTATTAGATGGGTGTCACCGCTTAGATTCCGTCCTCGGAACACCAACATTCTGTATGGCATAAGTGTCGGGCAAGGTAGACGAGCGGTGTCGTGAAGTGGATGTTCTGGCTGAGTTCGCCCGCACCCAACCACAAGTGGCATTTGCTGAGTTTGGCCAGGGAGTTTGCCACAAGTGGTCCTTCGTTGCCCGGCAGTGCCCAACACAGCCGATCTGTTTGCGCTGCTGGAGGACACTATCCGCAGCAAATACATTCCTGCTATCACCAACCGTGTCCCACCCGGAGACTTGAAGCGTGCCGTGCTGGCCCTACCGTGCAGGAATGGAGGGCTGGGAATCGTCGACCCACCCTCCTTTGCCTCCCAGTTCCAGGTCTCCATGCATATCAGCAAGCCTCTTGTGCAGAAGATCCTTCACCAAGATGAGTCCGCAGAAGGCATTCCGACTGCCATCATCACAGCTAGGGCAGAGATTGTGTCCCAACCACGGCGTCTCGCAAAGGAAGCTGTTGCCTCGGTCAATTGCCACCTCCACCAGCACTGCAGAGCGCACTCTGCACCTCGCAGCCGAAAAGGGCGCCTCCAGCTGGTTGACCTGTCGGCCCCATCACCAGTGTGGCTTCAACCTCCACAAGCAGGCCTTCTGGGAGGTTCTATGCCTACGTTATGGCTGGACCCCATCCAGGCTTGCCAACGGAATGTGTGTGTGGCGAAATGTTCTAACCTGAACATATCCTGTCTTGCGAAACTGGAGGCTACCCCGCCATGCGGCATAACGACCTAAGGGACCTCACCGCATCCCTCCTACGTCAAGTCGCCCATGATGTCCAGATCGAGCCGCATCTCCAACCGCTAACCGACGAGACCTTCCGCCACCGCTCCGCCATCTCAGAGGATGGTGCCCGCCTGGATGTGGCTGCGTCGGGTGTCTGGGGTGGACGGTTTGAACAGGCATTCCTGGACATTTACTAGTAGGTGTTCAAACCTCATGCCCGTTCCAACCTCATGCCCGTTCCAACCGCCAGCCGTCCCTAGCCGCAACATACAGGTGTTCAAACCTCATGCCCGTTCCAACCGCCAGCCGTCCCTAGCCGCAACATACAGGAAGCACGAGGCAGAGAAAAGGCGTGCCTAAGAAGAACGCGTCCGCAAAGTCGAACACGATTCACTTTCCCCCATCGCGTTCAGCGCTTCCGGCGGCTATGGCAAGTCCGACTCCGCTTTCTTAAAGCGCATTGCGTCCATGCTCGCCGACAAGAGAAAGGAGCCCTTCTCTTCACTCCTTGCCTTTATCAGGTCACAGGTATCCTGTCTTTTTGCTCTTGTCCGTGCATCCCATGCCAGCCTCCGAGGTCATCGCAGGCTACGATCACAAGATGCCCATCAGAGAGGCATCAATTCTGATGCTCGCCTGAGGTCCTCGCTGCTGCAGAGTGCTTTCGGTAACTATCAGCGGCATGCTTGGCTGCTGTCCTGTCCCCCCCCCCCCCCCTCCCTCGGATTGTGTATGTTATAATTTTCTCAGATTCCGGATTTCCCCCGTCCGTATGATTATGCGCAGTTTAGCTCTTTGAGGCTTATGCTTTCATTTTTCTTCTCTTCACTTTTAGCGCTTGACTGGTTATTAAATATTATTTCCCTTCTCTTTATTTTGCGCTACATATTATTGGTTGCGTCCACATTGCATATTGCTCTTACACGTAAAAAGAAGTGATCAAAGAAGAACTTGAAAAATACGGAACACGAAATCCGGGATCGAAAACGGAAAACTGGCTATGCGTTGTCGTGTAATCCATCGGAAACGCAGATCAATGCATGCTTGGCATTTTCAAATCTGTTCGATGTAGATCCAACACGGCAACGCAACTGTGCACGTGGTGACGTAGACTGTACGTGATCCTCGGGAAAAGCCCAGCAGCCGGGCTGGCCGTAGATCTACGCGTACAGCAACCATCCAACACTTTGAGTTTGATTCAAGTAAAATAATTCAAGTATAAAACAGTTCGAAGCTCCGTCTTGCATGGATGAAACAAAAGATTCGTTCGTAGGAGAGCGGCCTGGCAGGTTGGACGGAACATCCGTAGTTTGATGGAGCTGTACTACTGCTACTAGCTGCTCGTCGTTGCGTTGATCGGTTGTTTTTCGACTTGGTGATGGCGGTGGAAACTCCTCCTGCCAAGAGAAAAAGACTCTCATGGACAATCGATGAGAAGCTGAAAGTGCTCCAGGAGTTAGATGATGGCACAAAATTGACGGCGGCCAGTAACAAATATGGCATTCCCAAAAGCACGCTATCTTCTATGAAGAAGAATGCATCGTCCATTCGTTCGTTCAAAGCAGTAAGTCTTGAAATGGGAATGAACAGATCTCCAAAATCCACTCGGCTGGGCAATTTCGACAAACTGGAAAAAGCACTACATCTTTGGGTTACACAGAAAATGAGACTGGGGGAGGATGTGAGTGGCCCTGTCCTCTGGGACAAGGCTAGCTCACTTGCCAAGCGCTTGCACGGCGAGGACACACCATTCACTGCATCTGATGGCTGGAAATATCGCTTCTGCAAGCGTCATGGCCTGCGCATTGGACAGGGAGTGTGCAAACAGAAAACTACTGCTCGCCAAGAGCCAACGGCACTGGAGTTTGTAGACCTTGTCCAGAAGTTGGTCGAGGACGAAGGACTCTCCGGCGAGCAGCTATTTAACTGCACCAGAACTGGCCTGAGCTTCCGTCAGTTGCCCGTGCAGACCGCAGGCAGCGCAACGGCTAACGTGGCTGTATCGTACGCAGACAGTGAAGCGGAGAGAGTGACGCTGGCACTGTGCGCGAATGCGGCCGGTTCATGCAAGCTGCCCGTGCAGGTGTCTGGCAGTGCAGAGAAACCGGAGCTCCTGGCCGCCATTGGATCCAGCGATCCGACTATAGCGGCCGAGTACGGCAAGGAGGACACATTGATGCCGACCGCCACGCTGCGCAAGTGGTTCCACGGATCGTTCGTGCCACGTGTGCGCAAGCACTTGACCTCGCTTAGCTTGGAGCCCAGAGCGGTCTTACTACTGGACAGCAGTCGGGCGTACCCGAAGTGCACGGACTTAGCCAGTGATGACGGCCTCATAGTGGTGAATTATATACCAGCCGTGGACGATGATACTATCCAGCCGATGAGCCAGGGTGTTGCAGAGGCCGTGCACCAGCGGTACCGGCTGAAGCTGCTCCAGCGCTGTACGAGCACCGTGCCCCTGGAGCAATTCCTCAACTCGGTCGACATGGCACTGGTGGCCAGTTTGGCGGCGGAGTCATGGGCCGAGGTGACGCAACTCACCTTGCTCAAGTCTTGGCGCAACTTGATCCCGGTGCCAGGGTATGCCTCGACCAACGCTCTAGCGGACATAGCAGAAACCCAACAGCAAACCAAGCGGTTTGATGATGCGAGGACGTCGCTCGCCAATCTTGGCCTGGAGAACTCCAGTGCGGCAGTGACGCGTTTCCTCCACGTCGGCGACATTCAGCCGGCGTTCCACGTGCTGACGGAGGACGATATCTGCGACGTGGTGCTGAGCGGGACCGGTGAGTACGAAGCCTGCTATGCTCCTACTACCGGTACTGCTTCAAGTCAAGAGAAACACCACAAGACTCAGTCCCACAGCAGCAGCAGCACGAGTACCACAGGGGCGTTGGCTGCCAGCAATAGTGGTTGCAGCGACAACGCTCCGGCAGTTACTGTGGTAACGGATGAGTTAGATCAATCTGGTGCTGGCTCGCATGCGCACGGTCAACAGGCGCAAGGTACAGCGGCGGCATCGACGACATTGGCAACGGCGGCGGGCCCAATAGTATCGCACGAGGAGGCCGCACGCATGTTTGAGCAGTGCTTCCGCTGGTTGCAGCAACAGCCAGACTCCAGGGTCAGTGAAATAGCCGTGCTCTGCGAGCTGCGTGACAGTGCCTTGAAGAAGGCCGCCAACATCACCCATTGACCGAACCAGTCTGAATTTGACCCGAGTTCGGTTGTCTTTGTTTGTTTGCTCGTTGAGAACTTGAGTATAATTCGATATTACTACTGTATCTGCTTTTAATCAAGACTTAAGCTCACAAGCATCCCATCAGTGGGCACAATGTTGGGGCATTCAGGAGAAGTGTCCTGAGTTTTATGACTTGTAGGACACAGTGTCTTGAGTCCGATCCCTGTCTTCAGCGTCTTTACGACAGTGTGTGTTGCTCTCCTCAAGTGCTTCACAACTCCGGTTTTATCATTAGTTTTTAGCACGTTTAGTATTACCGCTGTTACCGTGTCATGTGTACGTGAACAGTCTCTGCTCGCTGCTTTTATTTTTGCGCCCAGAGCTATGAATAGCCCGTGCAAGTGTGTGCGTGTGTGTGTGCGCGCGTGTGTGTGTGTGGACGTTCTACCACTGTAGTACCAGTATACTTTGCCTCTCTATCAGTTTTAATTTCGTGTCATAGACCAGTGCATAGCTAGATTTGTCACTCATACCATAGAAAAGAAAAGCAATTACTTCACACAGTAGTGATGACTGTAACAAACAGACCGTGTGGAGTCATTGTTGAAAGTCGGGAGTCATAAAATACCAACTCTCTGGTTGAGAAGCCATGTGCCATGCAAATTCATGCATTGGAGTTGATGGATCCTTAGAAAATACCGCTGCATTGTGGATGTTTATTGGGCATGCATGTTTTAAGCTGTGACGGATGCATGCGTACAAACGTTCTATACGTACAACTGGTCTGAAACACCCTGGTCTCCCAACATTAACGTTACATCGACCAGAGTGCAGTAGGACATCTCGGGACCAAAGGGTGCCCACATCTCAGAATAATCCCTAATGGGCCATTCACACTACGCCCGGAACGTGGCGTACGTGACGTTTTCGTCCGGATAGCCATGACAACATGGAACGTGGCAGGAAATCGTACCCCTGATACGAAAACGTAGACGACGTATCCGGACCCCTGTACCGAGTTTTGTTCTGTCGTTCCCAGCAGTTTGTGTCAAAAGAAGCTGTACGAGCAGCGTGTGCTGGCCTGTGTGAATGCACCTGCATGAAAACGACGTCTGCCAGTATGTCGTATTCCAAAACGTGACGCGTATTGTAACGTAGTATGAATAGCCTATAACTCGGAAATACGAGTGTGCAGCGTTTGTTCATGTACTCTTGCTCCAGAATATGCTGGGCAAGAGGTCCCTACTCTGTGCACTGATGTACACGCTGCTTACGACAGTGCATGCTTTGCAGTGCACATCATTTTACCGTAAATTGCACCGCTTGGTGGCAAAGAAACCATTGCAATTTTGGCTGAAAGGGTGCCACAGATTTATTAGCATACTGCAAAATTAAACTTCATGTGAAGTTGTGTGTTCTGAATCGTGCCACCCTGCGCAAAATCAGTCGTTGAAATCTGCCAACTTAAAAAATCAACACTAGTAACTCAAATGATGAAAAGCTGATTTTTCAAAGTGCGAAGACTCCACTGTAGCCATCCGCTATACCCATACATCTTCACACGCTCTCCAACCGGTCTCTGGGCTACACCAATCACTAAAAGAAAAAGAGATCATCATTCGAATGATTATCTAAATAACCGACGAGGAGACAACAGCCGTAAAATAGCAGTGAATAAAACGAATGATTATCTCTTTTTCTTTTAGTGATTGGTGTAGGCCAGAGACCGTTCGGAAAGTGTTGTGAAGATGAATGGGTATGATGAGAAGCTGATATCACAAAATATAAATATTTGGCAGTTTACCGGGAGATGTCCTGATGTGCATGTGACAAAACCCGGCTGCTCGGTGTTGCAGTGCTGTGTGGATTAATATGGTGCTGTAATACAGGAAAAAGGACTTGGTCTGTGTGGTGTTGGACCTGTACAGAGAACCGTGTGGGGGAACAACATCACTCGGCGCTATCGTTTACAGGTGTGCTTAGTGATTCCAGCCATGGACAGATATTTGAGCATGGCAACGCTGACTGAAATCTCTGCGTGCAGCGGATTGATACTTCTCATCTTCCAAGTGCACAATGTAAGTAGAGATCGGCTACTAGTATAGGCTTGGTGGGTGTAGTAATATACCAAATATAATGTTATCAGCTTCAAAATTAGCAATGAAAAATATCAATTGTGCACTCATAATCATGTATAAACAATTAAAATGAAACAATTCCAGAACGTTTTCGTGTGACCATCATCAGTGGAACATCGTCACATAGCAAGAATCACTAAAACAACCAGTTATATAGCTAGAGTAACATGAAAAGAAGCGTGAGAATGCAGCACAGCTAGCGGTTATGCATAACGCGTGTAGTGTGAACCTTTGCAGTGTATCTGAGAATGGTAGCAGTAGATGAATGTGGCAGCTGTGAGTGCGTGTGAACAAAAACTGGTGAGTGTGTATTATTTAAAAAGTGTGAGTGCTACAACATTTTCTTTTTGCTTGCATAGAACAGACATCGACAAGAGCAAGTCTGCCATCTACAAGCATTTGGTGTCCAGTCCGGATTGTCGTAAGTTGTTTGACGATTCCTGGTTTAGTGTTATTTGTCGCGCGCGTTTCTTTAAGCAGTTGCAGGTGTTGGAAGCTGTATATATTCGCACACGTGACCCTGTTCTATGCAAGCAAAAAGAAAATGTTGTAGCACTCACACTTTTTAAATAATACACACTCACCAGTTTTTGTTCACACGCACTCACAGCTGCCACATTCATCTACTGCTACCATTCTCAGATACACTGCAAAGGTTCACACTACACGCGTTATGCATAACCGCTAGCTGTGCTGCATTCTCACGCTTCTTTTCATGTTACTCTAGCTATATAACTGGTTGTTTTAGTGATTCTTGCTATGTGACGATGTTCCACTGATGATGGTCACACGAAAACGTTCTGGAATTGTTTCATTTTAATTGTTTATACATGATTATGAGTGCACAATTGATATTTTTCATTGCTATTTTACGACTGTTGTCTCCTCGTCGGTTATTTAAATACTTTAAACGGAGATACACTCGCGATCAGACTGAATGTCTGAATAATGTGCTTCGCAAGCGTTATGTTTGTAGGTGCATTGCGTTTAATGTTGCTTTTCTCAAACAATGCTTGGAATTCGGCGTCTGTCCTGGCGCAATCCAGAAGAGGGTACAGCGGGCTAAAGCGTACCAGTCCCTTTCAATTGAAAGGACTTTCATCAAGGATGACATTGCGAGATCCATGGATACAATTGACAAAACACGAACTGCGTTTAAACACCTCTACCGCCAGGCGCGGGATTTCCTGTCACAACATGACTTTCTTCGTTTTTCCATGCTTATCTCGGAGAATGATGATAGGCTACATACTCGATTAGTCACCAAATACGATCAGAACATCAAGTGGCTTCGGAAGAAGCGCTTTGGCTCCATCACAATTGATACCAGCACAATAATTAACATGGCGAACATTCCACTTACGACTGTTCAAAAGGAGCTACTATCTAGAGGCGTAGATTTCGGCATACCACCAACATCAAACATGAGAGAGCGAGTACTATGTGATTTTGAATTATTCTATCGGAAATTGAGTGGTTTTGCACCGGTATCGGAATCAAAGAAAATGGTGTGTACGGCCACAGTGCGTGCTACAGCCGAGGAACACGCTGACAAACCCGCTGAACGGAGAACATTTTCACTATCCCGCGAACACATGAAAGCTCGTTCAGAGCTGAAAAAGAACAATGATATCATCATCACTCGGCCAGACAAAGGTCGGGCAACAGTTATCTTAACGCGAATGGAGTATAATACAAAGATGGCTACCATACTGGACGACGGGTGTAAATTTGTGGAACTCGGTCCGGTTTCAACACATGATAAAACATTGGCTCGGGAGAAGGAAATAGTAACCTATCTGAAGAAACTCCGAGCAGCAAAAGACATAACAGAATCCGAGTTTTTCCGAATCAAGCCTATCGGTTCGGTTCGTCCGCGCATGTACGGCCTCCCCAAGATACATAAACCATCCTGCCCGCTTAGACCAATACTCTCCATGATAGGATCGCCCCAATACGCTATATCCAAGTGGCTCTGCGGCATGATACAACCGGTATTAGAGCATTATTGTAAACACAACGTTAAGGACACGTTTGAATTCGTTGAAATCCTTCGTGACAACCCTATTCCGCCTACTGCCCATATGTGCTCTTTCGATGTTGTAAGCTTGTTTACAAACGTACCACTAGACGAGACAATAGATATCTGCGCGCGAAGACTATACCACAATGATGATGACATTGATCTTCCATGGTTACCGGAGACAGCATTTCGACGTTTGATGCTGATGGTGACGAGTGGCGTAGAGTTCTCGTTTGGTGATGTTATGTATAAGCAGACAGACGGTGTGGCGATGGGGTCTCCGTTGGGCCCGGTACTGGCAAATGTCTTCGTTGGATATTGCGAATCGAGAATGGACAAAATAAAGTGGCCTCAGTTGTACGTTCGATTTGTGGACGACTCATTTACCTATTTCGAAACAAGACGTGACAGTGAAGCCTTTCTAGATGAGTTGAATGATGTCCACCCTGCATTACGCTTCACATGTGAACACGAGGATTGCAACAAATTGTCGTTTTTAGATGTACTCGTGGAAAAGACATGTGAGGGTGTTGTGACATCGGTGTATCGTAAGCCTACATTCACTGGTCAGTATATTATGTACGATTCATATTGCTCTTCGCAATACAAGACCAATCTAGTCCGAAACTTAGCTGACAGGGCAAGACGCATTTGCTCCGAGAGTAAACTGCAAGCAGAACTTGATTTCCTTCGCTCTGTCTTTCTTAAGAACGGGTATCCAGGATCACTGTTAGCGAAACTACTCACGAACAATGCGCCCCGTAAGGAACTGACAATCGGCCCGGCTCCTTGTCGTGTCTTCCTGTGCCTGCCTTGGAAAGGCGCGGAGTCGACAAAGGTCAGTCGTATTGTCAAGTCTATTGTCCAGAAGACGTACTATGCAGTGAATGTAGTAACTGTCTTCACCACGATACGTTCGTTCACGGTGTTGAAGGACGTCCTGCCGACCCATCATTTGAGTCACCTCATTTATCATTTTGAATGCCGACAGTGCGGTAGTCGGTATGTTGGCAGGACGCTTCAACACTTGTCCGAACGTATCAAACAACACGTCCCATTGTCCTTGTTGTCAAAAGCGGCCAGGGCAGGCAGGCCAAAGCGTGGGAGGCCGAGAAAACACCCGTTGCCTACTACTACGCCTGTCAGTATTACAACACAACCGGAAACGGATACAACACCGGACTCAACAGTAGCGCAACACACGAATCTGGTGTCACTCTTGACGACAACAACACGGCATGGGAGACCACCGGACGATCGTTCGTTAACAAACCTGACGGCGGTAACGGAAAGATCACCAGGAGAACGAAATGAAAATGGAGGAAAAACGAATCTGAGGAGAAGCCAGAGACTAGCGGAGACACGACTGAGAAAAATGGAGAAGGCGGAACCAGTAGTGGCAGGTGAAAGTACGGGCGCAGCAGTGAACACGTCAAGGAGAAAGAAGCGATGGCATGAGGAGATGGAGATGGAGGATGATGATGGGGATGAACAGGATGGTCAGGAGGAAAGCAAGGGTGAGCGGGAGCAGGAAGTGGAGGATGAGAGTGATACGGACGAGGAGGAGTTCGACATCGACAAGAGCAAGTCTGCCATCTACAAGCATTTGGTGTCCAGTCCGGATTGTCGTAAGTTGTTTGACGATTCCTGGTTTAGTGTTATTTGTCGCGCGCGTTTCTTTAAGCAGTTGCAGGTGTTGGAAGCTGTATATATTCGCACACGTGACCCTGTTCTATGCAAGCAAAAAGAAAATGTTGTAGCACTCACACTTTTTAAATAATACACACTCACCAGTTTTTGTTCACACGCACTCACAGCTGCCACATTCATCTACTGCTACCATTCTCAGATACACTGCAAAGGTTCACACTACACGCGTTATGCATAACCGCTAGCTGTGCTGCATTCTCACGCTTCTTTTCATGTTACTCTAGCTATATAACTGGTTGTTTTAGTGATTCTTGCTATGTGACGATGTTCCACTGATGATGGTCACACGAAAACGTTCTGGAATTGTTTCATTTTAATTGTTTATACATGATTATGAGTGCACAATTGATATTTTTCATTGCTATTTTACGACTGTTGTCTCCTCGTCGGTTATTTAAAGCTTCAAAATTCAAAAGTAAAGTATTTTTTCCACTCACACTAAACCGGTTATAAGAGTGATCGGCTATAGCAATATATCGCCTAATGCGATCAAAATATCACTTCAAAATCACTCAATTGCATACACTATGGATCGTTTCTAGTAATTGATGGTACCAAGAGTACATAAACCAGAGTGTGCAACTGTGCATATCAGATCTGAAACAGCGTAGTTCGTGCACTACGTCACCCTGATGAGGTCAGCCAAGCCGCGACTTGCGTGCAGCTCAAATTTTCATGTTTCATAGCCCGGAAATCAGCCAAGTTTGCTTGACTTTAGATGTCCTGTTTCAGGATTTCGGTGTTTTGTGTGACTGTGTACGCTGCGTACATCCGCCGACAAGTAAAGCCACCATGCTATCCGTATCAAAAAACCGAAATCAGGACAAACTCTGTGACCTGCACCGCCGCGACTGGTTACGCAACTTTTCACCGTACCTGTGGCTTACCATGCCGTCAGAAATGACGTACTGCACGAATTACGCTCCCACAGGAACCATCCCGAGTTGCACACTCTGGTTTATGTACTCTTGATGGTACCTACAGGAAGCTTGGGGAAACTGAGATTGTGTAAATGGTGTGTAACTACCAGCAGTGTGGTCTTAGACTAGATGCAGTTTGTTGTTATTTTGTACTTTATACGTCTCGGTATGGTACTTACATGTATGATGCACGTCTGTTTGTGTATGTCATCATGACTAAGTCGTAAAGTTACCACTCACATACTTTGAAGTACTACCCTGTCCAATCGCATGTAGTAATAATTGTCTATAGCGATCACATCACACTTCTTCAAACACCAACGCTATAGTTCGGGATTTCAGGGGGTGTCGGCTGTTGGGCAGTTCAATAGCCAATTGAGTCATCTTTCCAAGATTCCTTTGGAGTCTCTCTCCCCTCTCCCGGGGAGACCCACGTGACCAGTTTTGGCAGTGAGTAAGTACAGTACAGTACAGTACAGTATGTGCGTGTGTGTGTGTGTGTGTGTGTGTGTGTGTGTGTGTGTGTGTGTGTGTGTGTGTGTGTGTGTGTGTGTGTGTGTGTGTGTGTGTGTGTGTGTGCATACAACCCCGGTGATTCTGTTCTGCTCTACAGCCCTGTCGTTCCCCAAGGCACATCAGCAAAACTCCACAGGTACTGGACTGGACCCTACCAGGTAACCCGTGTCATCGATGACATCACCATCCAAGTTCGGGATCCAAACACACTCCGTCGCCAGGTTGTACATGCTGACCGTCTCAAACGCTTTCTTCCACGTCCAGAACCACCGCCGAACCAAATTCAGTATGCGCCTGTCATCCACCCTCCAGATCACGATCAACCCGTTCTGTACTTACTGAGGTGTGGTGAGCCCATAAGTGGGATCATTTTCAAGTCCACCCAGAGTTTTGGGGATTTCAGGGGGTGTCGGCCGTTGGGCGGTTCAATAGCCAATTGAGTCATCTTTCCAAGATTCCTTTTGAGTCTCTCTCCCCTCTCCCGGGGAGACCCACGTGACCAGTTTTGGCAGTGTGCAACAAGTACAAGTACAAGTGTGTGTGTGTGTGTATGTATGTCTGTGTGTGTGTAAGCGATGCGAACATTGCAGGCACATTCCCTAGTTGCGCACCAGAGCAGCATAAAGCTGAGCGTGTCCCTTTTAAAGAACCATTGCTAAGTGCCGTTCATGAAGGCATATAATGTGATTCACTGCTGAATCAGGACAATGATTCCAGGATCCTGACTCAGAGTGAGACAACCATGGGTCCACGTACAGGCAAGACAATGTTTGCCGATCAGGACTATGATGTTTTTTGCAAGGATCTCATTTCTTAAACTTGTCACTGGCACCCTACTTGACCCCAAGTTTTCTGCATTTCACCTCTTCTCCCTTTGTTTCGGTTCCCGGCGGAGCTTGCGTGTGCATACATGCACCCATGTACGCGGTGCGCGCGCGTGCACACACACACACGCACACACACACAGCATAAAAATGGTCAAACAACAGTCACCAATCACCTTGTCAAATGTGGACTGGAGATGGTTGAGTTCGATTTGCGCTTGATCGGCCAGGAATGACTCCAGTGCCTCTGAACCGTCGTCGTCCAGCACAGAGAGACGTTTACTGCACACACCAAGTCATAAAACAAGCAAGCGTCCCTAATCAATCAAAATACAAACATCACAGTGCATTGTAGTAAAGGGAGCTGCACATTCAAGGAATACTGGATAAACAAGAAAAAGTAAAGATAAACGCAGGGGCGGATCCAGGAGGGGTTCCAGGGATTCCGCGGAACCCCCTAAATTTCGTAAATGTTCTACTGGCAACCATATGCGTGTCCATGCACATGTATCAGCTATTCAGTTTTGACTATAACTTTTTTACTATTATTTTTCTCACCCCACACCCCTCTACTCTGTTATCGGCCCTCTTAAGAGTTGTGTTCATCACTGTTGAGGCTTCCGATGGAAAATAAAAGAATACTACTACTATACTGGAACCCCCACCCCGTAGAGATCGCTGGATCCGCTACTGTAAAGGTGAAGTAGACACACTGGCCAATGCTATACTTCCTAGCCCAATCATCACACTGGCCACAATGCACATTGTGCCAAGGTGAGTGCATACTCTATAGTGATAGAATTCAAATGTGCACACACAAAACAGCTACCTTTTCGCGGAATCCTTGGCCAAGAGGTTCCAGAATGCATGGCATGATGACGGAGCACGATGTGTGAGTGCAACCAAGACGGTGGCCAGTACTTGCGGAGCAACCCTGGTTGTAACAAGTGGCCAGCAGGAGCAAAACGAAAAACATGACTATACGCGTCAATCGGCATAGCGCACGCACGCACGCACACACACACACACACACGCGCGCACACACACACACACACTGGTATGATCTGGTTGACTTCAGAGGCTGAATTCAGTGAATACAATAAAGAGGCATGCAGCAGCAGAGAGGACCTGGCAAGCATCAGCAGCAGCCACACAGTACACCATTGCAGGGCAGGGGTGCATCACTGTACATTGAAAGTACAACCTCAACTCTACAAGCACACACACACACATACAAGAACTAAGCTTGCTGCTGCCTCACTCACCTCCGTCCTTCACCCTTTGCCGCCGCCGTCACAGAGGCGATGACGCCGGACGGCGCAAACGTCGACGTCAGCACGTTCGTGTGCTGCATGCTGAGCGCGGACGTGCTGCCAAAGCTGCTGAGCAGCCACTGCACGAGGCGAAAGCGCAGCGGGTACGACGACTGTACGTCCTCGGCGCTGCCGGGCTCAGGCGGTTCACTGCCGCGCACACCGGCCAGGGCAAAGCCGCGCCGCAACTGCATATCGTCCGGCAGGTCGTAGTGCTGTAAGTAGCAAGCCAGGAAGTTGACTGCGTTCCTACATGTCCAGACGGTGCAAACAGAGAAGAATCCAGGTACAAGGGAAGTATTCATACAACATCCACAAGTAGAGATTTACGTAGTTGAAAGAAGACAAATTAACACCCGCAGAGAAATAACACTACACGCAGGTCAAGCTGAGAGCAGAGCGAATGACCAGTGCAGCCGTTGTGTCTAATTACAAGTAGACCGGAATACCCATCATGTCTAAATTCTCTAAATGCATGTTACTCAAAGCACTGCCTACATGATTGTATTCTATAGCAGACTTACGATGCTGGATAGCATCCACCCTCTGCGGAGAACACCTGCCATGGTTCATAGTCCGGCTCAACAAGTTTGTTCTGCCGACAACACAACAGCACACCGATAGCTCCAGTCAGAGTATTGCAAAGCACTGGTCGAGGTGCCGCGAGACCAGCACCAGTAAGTTAGCAAACACACCATGCCCATTGTAACCAAAATACAATGTTATACTTCAGTACAATATACGGGCACTCATGCACGAACAAAGCATCTGCAAAAAAAAGTGCACAGGGATGCATGCACTGCCCAGCAATAGACCGGGTTGGCATTTTACGCTTTACACTATTCGCGACGGTCACCTGATAACGGCGTGACTTGGGAATTCAAATTATTTACTGCTCTCACACAATGATCAGCAATGGACCAGGGTGCCCTGGAAGCGAGGAATATCATGCGGAAAAGCTTGATACACGTCACACTGCACTCACCTGATTTCGGCCAAAAGAGTATTAAATGCTCTTGATATCGCTTACCGTACTTTACCGGTTCTAAGTCGACCCCGGTTATAGGTCGACCCCCGTATCCGGAGGTCTCAATTCTGCGTTTTAAAGTTTTCACCCAACGAAGCACTACCAACCACGCCCTGCTACTACAGCTGTAACACATCAACAAATCATGTAAACATTCCTTATTGGAGGGTATAACGTCCCAATCCTTGAAAAAAGGCCAATAAACTGGCAAACATGTGTTCACATGGTGCACTCATGCATGCAGGGCAGGTCATTTTTTGTAAGATTCTGATAGTTCCCGGTTATAAGTTGAATCCCGGTTGTAAGTCGACCCCCACCCTTTCTCCTTCTATTTTCAGTCGTAAAAGGTCGACTTACAACCGGAAAAATATGGTATTAAATTTTAATAAGCGATATCAAGTTTACCGTATTTCATGTGGTATAAGTACCTTTTTTAACCAGTGTGAAAGCTAAGCTGCAAAACACATGCCTACTCATGCCTACACATTCAAGCTTTCACAATGGACCAACCTCGACCATGGCAGTCAGCAAAGAGAAGCACTGATCCTCAGCGTGATGCACGCTGATCGATCTGCAAGCACACGCACATGGGTTACAAGCAACAGCACATATCACGGACCAAGCATGCTTGTATTGCGCATGCTCCGTTTTGATTGTTGTTGCTTCACGTCAGAGGACAAAACAGTTTTTTCCCCTGACATTGAGTTTGAATGACTATCAACGAACGGACTGCAATGCCCTCCAACAGATCTGTGTATCCATCCACCATACAGAAAGGAAGGCATATCAAAGCAGAAGGAGTATACATCATTGGACAAACACTACCACTGCTTATCACGTCCACTAACCTCCACGCAGATGACCAAACTTTCTTCCACACATTGGTTTTCGCACCGCCCGTGGAAAGGCTCACCGTCTGCGATGGTTTGCCTATGCGCGCAAATACACCAACACCAGACAATGAAAAGAAAACACAGACTCCCCAGTGCATGCACATCATGATACGTGCCAAATTTAAAGTCAAGAATACTGAGTGTGATGCTGAATCGCATTGCAATATAGACCAAAAGCATACAGGTGTCAAAGGTCTTTGAGTGGTTTCAAGACAAAACACAGAGTAAGAGAGAGAGAGAGAGAGAGAGAGAGAGAGAGAGAGAGCGAGAGAGAGAGAGAGAGAGAGAGAGAGAGACGTGCTCCGCACTGGTATACCAGCGTACGGGCAAAACAACTCTCTCTTTCTCTCTCTCTCTCTCTCTCTCTCTCTCTCTCTCTCTTTCAAAACAACTCACATTTTTTGGCGATGGGGACCAGCGCTGTCAGGCATTTTACAGTCCACACCAATGGATCCAGTCTACAAAAAGCAAAACAAAACAACAAAGTAACACACTAGTTGACAAACACATGGAACAGTATCCCCCGCCATCTCCCTTCCAAAACACTCATCATACAATATAAATCACATCACAGCCTTCCGCTGGCACATGAAGTCAGTCAGCTACCGTAGCGTATGCACCCGCTTCACATACTGCTAGCAATAAGAACTCAGATGGTGAGCCAAGGAAAAATTGTAGCATGGAAACATCTGGTTTAGTTGGCGGACTCGACCGCATAACCTGTGCCCACATTCTCCTGTGGTACTACTAGCAATGCACATACTTTTTGGTGTCGGTCTGCAGCTGATGAAGATGCTCCAAGGTTGGGATGACATCCTCGTCTGGCATTGAGCCAGGGTGTGTCTCCAGTAAGGTGGTGGCGATTTGCAACCTGCACACGGAGGCATGACAGAGCATACACAATGGCACACAGGTCCTCTACTGGTTTGGTATCATTCACGAGAAGGGTATTTCCCCTTCTTGCCCAGGATACGGCGCACCTGCAGCATGGGTTGATGGATTGCGCCGCCCAGAGGTACGGCAAGTGTGGGACCTGTTCTGGTAGTACCCCTTCTTCCTCCCCCCCCCCCCCCCTCATACATACACACACATACACACACATACACACACACACACACACACACACACACACACACACACACACACACACATACATTGTGTCGACATACAGACTCGAGGCACTTTGTAGTTCCTTTGGCAGTGCAGTGTGTGGAGGGGATGATTTTCCAGTAAAATACCAGCAAGCAAGAGGTGAGTAGCATGCAGAACACAGCCAATACTCAACTAGTCCCCAATTGGCAAACATCAGTCAGTGACTACGGGAACGTATACTTACCATGGAACGGCATTGACGGACATCATCTCGCAAAGTGACTGCCAGTTTGCAGGGGGCCCGACGAGACTGGCTGCAACAAGACCAGGCGCCGACCACACATGCACCATACACAATGTGTTACGCAACAAGTCGATTCACAACTATCTGGCAGCTTCGGCATTCATACAGCTCTCGAGGAGAGCAGAAATAATTTGAGTATAAATTTGAGTACGCACTAGAACACAGAGATCAAAGAAGTACATGTACACATGAGGCTGCGACGGCATCCACTCACTGTAATCATTACATCACATCATGTGAGTGCTCTACCCAGCATATGTACCAATATCAGCAGAACAGAGTACAACAACACGCCTGTCACAATGGAAACCGGAAACTTGCGGAAAGTTTAACATTTTTGTAATTCTGGCATGACGACGTGCAGAAAGTTTAACGATGGCTACCTGGCTACCCATCTGTATGCGCATCTTTATTCTTTACACAGACATTTCAAACCGGGTTCGCGATAACGTTTCTTCAAATAATGAAAAAATTGGTCGTTAAAACGTTCGACTTTGTAACTCGTTAGACTTTCTGCTTTTACAGTATGCAGGCACTCACCTTGACTTCGGCCATGTCTCTCCTGCAGAAACATCTATACAAGTAAGGCATGAACACACGCGCACAAAAATCGCACACGTACACATATACACATGTGTATGTACGCACGAACACACGCACACACACACGCACACACACACGCACACACACACACACACAAGTCACTAGGAGTCAAGCTGCTCGCTGAGGCAAAGAGCTGGAAACTATTCGTAACCAGTCGAGAATCCCCAACACACACACACACACACACACACACACACACACACACACGCATGCACACACACACATCAATCACCTGATGGAAGACATCTACGAACAGGATGATGAAGAGCGGCTTCTGACCAGTATCCTTCTTCCTACAAAGCCAGAGGAGCACATAAAGACGGCTAGGTTAAATTAAGCATCAGGTACTAGAAACACAATCAACCAATACACCAGTAGCAATGTTTGTGACATGCATACCACATACATGTATGGTGTAAACAAGGCTTCAGTCTAGAGTGGAACCTGTGCATTCAACATGCCCTACAAGTATTAATTTGTCGATATAACCAGGCAAACAAGTCAGTGTTTCACGTGAGGAGTAGTGTTTCCCTCCAGTTCTGCAGCTGTATTTCTTCCATATCGTGCTGCCCAGCATCAATGCTATAATGTCGGCCATCACAGTAATCTGTGTGTCAGCGCGCGCATGCACACACGCGCACACACACACACACACACACACACACACACACACACACACACACTACAGAACATGGACACTCACTTCAGACGGCGGTTTTCACTCTCCAGCTCTGACAGCAGCCAGGCATACAGGCTAGCCAGGTTTTTCTGCATGCAACAACACGGGCGACAAGAAGCAGAAGAAGAAAAGACACTCGCTTACACTCTACCAGTCTTGTAAACAGAAGACGAACTACTGAGGCAACTTGCCAACTTTCTAGACACAAGCGGATGGGTAACGTGAAACATAGTCACAAGTCGCCTTACCCGCCACATTCGTTCGTTTGCCGCCCAGCCACCGCTGTCCTCGCGGAAGCAGCCCTGCGGATGATGAGCACGGAGCTGGATCACCAGGAAGCGTAGAAGCGGGTCCTGTCCAACAACAACATGAAAAGAAGAAGAAAAAAGACAATAATGAAAAGCAAGCAGTTAAATGTGGGCATGTGAAATTGTAACAAAGGTGCTGTGACTAACAATATGCAATGTATGACAGGCGGGCTAGTAGTGTGAGAGCATGGTGGACATGTTGCATGTGTAACTAGGGGGGGGGGAGCAAAACATACAATTACTGTGCTGTGCTATATTCAAAAGTGCGAGTGCTATGAGATTTGTGATGTACTCCGCAGTCAAACCAACCTGATCATGACTTTCAACTTGCAGTATACTTCGAAGTACAATGTTCCGATTTTCTTTTTCTTGACATAATATATTATCAAAATTCAAGTATAATATATTATAAGTATAATATATTATGCTTTCTGAATGCATGAGTCTGGTCTGTGCCTGTGAACGTATGCAGGTTTTTAAGATATTGAAGTGATGGGAATTACGAGCGAAACAAAGCCATGCTAAACCAATACAGATCACAAGCCAATGTCACAGCACTCACACCTCTACAGAGCTCACACAGTTATTGTTTGCTTGCTCTGCCCCCCTCCCCCCTCCTGCTAGAGAAATAATTGTCCCAGCAATGAGAAGGTGAAGAGAGGTTCACATCAGTACACCCCGACTGACATGCTACATCATTCACAATGGACACACGCAAGCATCAGTTGCGTTGCTCCCTCACCCGCAGTGTCGGCGCAGGCTTTTTCAGCAGCTTGAGGACCTCGCTCCACGCGCTCTCCCCAAGCCGGCATAGGTAGCCCCGGACGTTCATCGAGGACGTCACAGCCAGGATGTTGAACGCGGAGAGGACATCGCCGAGAATGCCCGTTTGATCGCTCCTGCACGCATGAAGACATAGGCATGCAGGTATTGGAACACGGACTGTCAGCACATATCACCATTTGCAGCAGCATTTTTTAAAATATGCTGAGAAGGCATCTGCACGCACTGCAGCCGTTGCATTTCCTCGTACACGAGGGCTAGTGTCACCCTGGTTACTCATCATGAATGGGCCCGTTTGCCCCGTACATGCAACTCATGGTTACACGGTTACCATGGCTACGTTGTTACACACCAGTACTGGGGGGGGGGGGGGGGGATAGACAGAGAGAGAACACATGTCACGCAAGATCCTTACTGGGCTACGAGTTCCTACAGTACAATAGCCCTTGGCGGATAATGCCAGCAGAAAAATTGGCATAATTCGGTACTTTTTCTGGTATGTTTCATGCATGTTTGGTATGTGGGTAAAGAAATGGAGCAGAATTCAAGGAAGTGCCTGCCATAACTTCATAAGGCTTGTATGGTTCTGCCAATTCCACTGGTTTTCAAGCAGAATCTGCCAATTCCACTGGTTTTCAAGCAGAATCTGCCAATTTCACTGGTTTTCGAGCAGAATCTCCCATTTTTCGAGCACTACCCGCCAAGGGCTGCAGTACATTGGACGACCCACAACAACGACGACGACGACAAGAAGCGGTGCATGTGCAAAGCACTTACGCCGACTTCAGCATGGTGTCGAAGAAGGGCATGACGGTCTTGATGATCCTGATGTTATGGCCGCACTGGACGGACGCATGCTCGATGAGAAGATGCAAAAGGCGGGCCAGCACGTTCCTGTCAAAGTGCGGCGAGCGGTCCGATAGAAACCCGGTCACCCTTTCGAGAAGATCTATTGGCGAACAAAATAGCAACAACACATGCAAGCATATGAGCAGCGGGAAAGACTCCAACATACACTGAATACCGTATTTTCCGGAGTATAAGCCGCCCTTTAAACACCAGTATTTCACCCAGAAAAAGTCAGTGCTGCGGCTTACACTACCATGATGACAAATAGAGTAGATGTGTATATTTTGTGACCAAAAATCTGGGTGCGGCTTATACTCCGGAAAGTATGGTATGTGCGCTGACAGGAAAATTGGATGCAGCACAATTCGTACTGCCGTGGAGTTCGATGTTGGATGTTGGATGCAACACCACTGTGGAGTGTCATCACCACCCCCACCACGGGCTGACGATCACACAATAAGACAACAAATGTGCTCACGTTCTATGGTTTGGGTCTCGTCATACTATTCGCTGGCTGGTTTTGCTTCTTTTGATCCGGGCAATACTTCCCCACAGTACTCAGCAACCTGTTTACCATGGACTACAGTGTAGTGGGTATATGCCACTGTTCAAATACAACATGACTTACCGCACCACATAGCTGTGGTGACCTCGCAGTGATAACGCCGCACTGGTAACAGGTCTCGCAGCAACACCGCCGCGTAGTCGGCGCCGAACGCGGCACAGAGGTTGTCATCCTTGAAGATGGTCAGGACGTGATGGAAGACCTCTTTGCAATTCAGCCGCGGACCATCTAGGGCAAGTGCGCACACACACGCGCACACACGCACACACACACACACACACACACACACACACACACACACACACACAAGCACGCACACCCGACACACATATCACAGAAAGCGGTACCCTTATAACAGGATTTTCCTGAGCGAAATGTTTGATTGTACTTGCCCAACAATCCATACATTACCAGACACTATAGGACACACAGGACATACTGCTAGTTCAAGAAAATCCCAAAAAGAACATATCATTTTGACCTGAAATCCCCCAAAAGTTACTCTGTGAATTCTGAATATTTAGGCAGCATACCATTCTAGAACTAAACACTTTGGTTTCAGGAACAAGTAAGACTTACTGCGGTCTGCCTTGCGCACGACCTGCTTGAACAGCTTTACCGCATCCTACCATGGCATGCACACAAGCAAATGCATAACAGATACAGATACAGACACAGATACGCGCACAGATACACGTACACAGATAGATAGACACACACACACACACACACACACACACACACACACACATCAAAATTCATGCTTTCTGCCAGTGTGTGTGTGTGTGCGTTTGTGTGTGTGTGTGTGTGGGTGGGTGTGGGTGGGTGTAGGGATTCACTGGCCAGAAAAAGTCACTTCATAGCTGTGTGGTGTAGACCAGGCTGAATAGTGGCGGTCAATTCTTCAGCCTTGCAAGCTGTGAAACGGTGCAATCCCAGCACAAGTTGCTATGGCTTCTGCTGTAGCATCACTATCATCGCCTCCGGCGATGGGCGTCAATTGGTCAAATGGTGTGGCGTGTGTGTGCGTACGTGTGTGTGAATAAACCACAGATTGTACAGGAGCATTTTTTCCACCAGGCACTCAGATAGACCAGTACAGCCAGATGACGTAGATGAGGAATTTTGATGAAAGCCTGCCCAGCTGAGTTCCACACTCCCTCAGAAAGGGGGATTACGTATTCTGGACCATCTTAAAACTAAGTGACAGTGACTCATGAGCCCCCACCCCCCCCCCTCCTCCCCCCCCCCCCTCCAGTGGCAGCACGTACATATCGCTTTGCATTCCTTCCAGCAGTGCTGGGACGACCTCGTGACGTTGTCGGCTCGGCCTCCTTCAGGACAAACTTGCGCACACGAGCCAGCAAGCGGTCCCAAGTAAGCTCTCCTCCGCCACTACTCCCATCGCTCTCCAAACTGGATTGCACATCTGAGCGGTCGAGTAACTCATACACACGCTGGGCAGCCGCCTGCAAAGAGACAAAGGCAAAGACACACAGCCATCATTGCATAAGCAAACGGTGCACATCCTGTCGCCACATATTCAACTCTCGACCAAGGTGTTCATTCTGTAGCTGGGTCAGTCGGGCAAGAAAAGTGGGGTGAGTGGTCGGGGCAGAGGGTAAGTCCCTGGGTTAGAAGTTGAGTACAGCAAAACCTGTCTAAGACGACCGCTCAAGGGACCTTCAAAACGTGGTCTTTGTTGCCAGTTGGTCTCCTTATCCAGGGTCATTTGACAGGCAAGAGCATCTCTTGGTCCTGGTTGCAGTGGTCTTCCGGGGCAGGTGGTCGCTTTATCCGAGCGGTTGCCTAGACAGGTTTTACTGTGCATGTTACATTGTAACGTGACAACAACTGCTATGTGTGGCAGCCACAGTACATGCATTTTCCATCAACTACCACAGTTTTCAGGGTCAAAGCCATACTGGAATGGCGCCGTTAGATTACAACAGGTAGAGTTCTAGTTCCGAAGCCACATCAATTGTCACTTCAGGTAGAGATTCTACGCCGTGACATGCTGCTTCTGCATGCATAGCACTGGCTTTCGGCTGTGAATGTAAAAAGCCCCCAGGGGTACGTAGGCACACCAACATATCAGTACAATCATACCTCGGTTATCCGGACCCGACGTTACGGGCACTTCTGTTTACCGGGCACCCTTTGGGCAACTTTCAGTGGAAATATTACTAGTCTTTTGTCACTTTTTGTGTAAATAGTGACGTCACATGCCATATCTACGGCATTTCCCCATCAAAATGTATGTAACTAGGAGTTTACGGACATTTCAAAGTTACTGGCAGGGTCCGGTCCCGAACCGCTCGGATAAACGAGGTATGAGTGTACGTGGAATATGACATGCGGACTCGAACAACATAAGTCTGCACACCTTCTCACAAAGACCGGATCATACTTGTACTCTGGAGTGGTGTGGCCAATTCATCATACTGTGAAGCGCATGCTGCTGGGCCCCTTGACAAGGGGGCAGGGGACGTGTGACCAAATGGCAGTGCTACCAAGGATCAAGGTGTGCATGTGCAGAGAGGGAATGCCTGTGATGACCCTGTTGTGTATGATGCACTGCATGCATAATTGCTCAGACCGCTGATCAACGGTTAATTAATATTTACGTGTAACAAAGCTGAGAGAAGGGAGGAAAATTTAATGTCCATTGCTACCCCGAGTTTCATGATTATACGATCAAACATTGCTAAATAAAATTAGCCTATATTTTGCCTTCAGTTCTGAACTCGCACTAACACACACATACACACACACACACACACACACACACACACACACGCACGCGCACACACACAAACACACACTGTCTGAAATTTTTACACGCACACACACACACGCACACACACGCGCGCACACTGTCTGAAAATTTGAAATAAGGTGATATGAGAAAAGTTGGGATTTCAAGACTGTGGCTCCTTACTCTTCTTTCATTCACTTTGCCAGATTCCAATCGTATGCAATTGGTCTTGAAATCAAGCACGGCTTCACTCTCCATTCTACTGCCCGGCAACTCGCATCGTTACTTCAGCCTCGTGGCATCAAGCTCTAACTAATTACTTTGACGCACTTGATATCTTCCACATGAATCCCATGGCTTGATCCAATGATTATGATTGTGCTTTCCAAAGTCTCCTTTCGAATTTCCCACATGCAAATCCGAGATTTGACTTTTTGTTTCGAGGATTATCTCGCGCCAAATGAAAAGAACCCGATTTATTCGCATAATTTCCACAACACACTCAGAGCTAGCTAGCTAGCAGGGAGTCGTAAAATACCCGGTATTTTACGACTCCCTGCTAGCTAGCTAGCTAGCGAGTAGCGTGATCGTGTTGCTAGGGCTGCAGCGGCTAGCGACGAGAAAGTAACTACCATGGTAGTTAGCTGCAAACGCATCCTGCGAAAAGCACAGCCGCTGGATCAGTCGAGTCTGTGTAGACGACCTATGCCTATGGCTAGCTAGCTATGCAGGCTATGGCCTAGCCGAGAGCGGGAAGATCTTTGCGTTGACTTGAAAAGAAAAATGCCTATTACTTATTAGCTTGCATCTCCAACCACTAGGCGGTGACCAAAGATCACCAGACTTCATACCGGTGTGAATGGACATGACCGTCGATTGTAATGCTTCAGTCTTGTATTGTTGGACGGTCCGACCTGATCGACACATTGGCCAGCTGTTATGAATGCATGCGTCCAATCTGCCTTGTGCCGGACCCGGCGATATTATTATTATTGAACGAGTGAAATAGGACTTCAAAGGATCAGGCCAAATGGAGACGTGCGTGAGATTCTTGCTGGTGGGAATCGCAGAGCGGGTGGAGTTCCAACAGGTCGAGGCATTCATGACACGCCTGGAAAGCCTGCCGGACTTCAGCAAGCGGGTCGAGGCCGTCCCGGCGGACCAGTGGAGCGACTGGCTGACGGAGAAGATCGGAAAGGAGAGGTGGCAGCACCACAAGTATGAAGGCGATCTGTTGGTCGTGCGTGAGGTGGCACTGCGTGGCGGTGACTGTCTGTTTGTAGGTGGTGCTAGGGAGTTTTACATGTACGCTAAGCGCTATTACGAGGCAGTGCCAACGTGCACCGTGGAACATGCCCAGTTCCTAGTCGAAGAGCATGTAGAGAATGCCAAGCGCATCGCGCAGCTCAAGCAGGAGCTCGCCGACAGCAAGCCAACGCCAATCGTGGTATGCGTGACGGACCCGACGTCGGACATAGCGCAAGGTGTGCTGGCCAACTTACTGAGCGATGGCATGTTCCCACCTGGCAAGCACTTTGCCTTGAACCTTCTCGTTGACAAGTTGGATGGCATGGAGGCGGTGACGCAGGATGTGGAAGACTGTGCGTTGGCCAATCTTCAGTCCATCAACGTCACCACAAACCTTGGCGAGGCGTTTGGAAATGCCGACGTCGTAATTGTGTGCGAGCAGCCGAGCGCACCCTGTACAACCCAGGATGGCGAGGTGTTTACACTGAAGGATTCTCTGAGTGAGCACCGAGAACTACTAGTCCACTTTGCCGAGGCTATGTGCAAGGTGGGCAAGGAAAGGCTGCGTGTGGTCGTCACAGGCCCACATGGCAACATCGGCACGTCGTCAATACATCAAGTGTTCCGTTCGCGCCAGCATGCCGGCAGCGACCGGCGGGTGACATCGCAGGCCAGCCTTTGTGAGCGCTACGCCAAGATGTTGATCGCAAAGGCAGTGGGCACCAGAGCGGTGAACATCACCAACGTTGTCGCCTGGGGTAAGCTGAACCGCCCCTGCTTGATATCAGCTTCTAGTCTTACCAGAGTGCATCGGCATGGTGGCGCCATCTACGGCGGACCGGATGGCTACACGCGCCCACTGCACGAAGTACTCCACAACAAGAGTTTCCTGGCACGTGACCTGCAGCAGAAGGTGCGCGAGCATGCACTGACGGACGGTGGCGTGAATGCGGTGGGCAAGGCGGTCGCCGATGTCGTCCAGCCGTACTTCTGGTGGCCGTCAGCACCGCCAGTGGTCTTTAAAAACCAGTTTACGACCGTAGGTCTTGCCGATGTCAGCTGTCTGAATCTTGACATACCCGAAGGCATCACTTTCGCCTGTCCTGCACGCTTTGATATGGCGATCGGCGCTTGGGTTGCAGTTCCTGATCTGCCGATTTCACCCGACGAGCATGCAGCAATTTCGAAAGGAGTGATAAAATTGTCCGAGTACTTCAGCAAGTGTGGCTTAGGTGGTTCTGAAACTTCTGATCCTAGCAAATCTGATGAGAACACGGAATCGTAATCGAGTTAGCTTTGGAAGCCTTGAAAATTCCCTGGATATCACTCAAGTTCTCCTGCAGGGTGTTATAATTGGTAAGCTTCCAGTTGCAAGGAAGTCCGACTGGTACATGTACGGTAGCAGTACTAAGCTGTGCACATTTTCACCGTGCGCCATTCTGCCTTCAAAGTGCATGACCGTGTTGCGTTCGTCAGTTTGAGTGTTGATCGGAAAATGTAACGTTGCTGAGACCAAAGTGCGGTGTCGTGCATTTCACATTGTGTGTGAGAGAGAGAGAGAGAGAGAGAGAGAGAGAGAGAGAGAGAGAGAGAGAGAGAGAGAGAGAGAGAGAAAGAGAGAGAGAGAGAGAGAGAGAGAGAGAGAGAGAGAGATAACTGTTAGCCTAGTGCTCTACAACAATAATTCCAAAAGGAACTGTGACGCATCCACATCCTTTTTTGCACTTGACAAAAGCTGTATAGGAATTTGATTGGGACATCATGGACTTAATTCGCCCTCGTTGTGTTGAACTCTTGATCTGTCGAACGCTTTCTTCTGTTTGCTGTTTTGCTACATGTTGCATACTGTATTGAGTCTATTGAGCATGCTGCTGTAAGATGTATGCTCATCATGACATGTGAAGTTGATGTGTACATGCAAAAATCAGTCAAGCATCTGTTATACTGTATCGGAATTACAGTGGCAGACGTCCTTTTTTTTTGTGCGGCTGGGGAAGGACTGATGAAGCCTTGAAAGGGTGCCACACTTTATTAAACGAAGCCAACACTATAGGGCTTGAAAGTGCTACGTCACAGCATAGCAACAATTTCAAAAATTCAAAAACTGGATCCACTTGGATCCAGTTTTTGTATGGATCCAAGCACATTTCAAGCGGTCTTACCCACAGCATGGTGATGTAGCCAGTGAAACTGACTGATTTGGCTACTGGGGGCGGGGTTACAACTGGTGGCGAAATAAAAGTCACACCTGCATGCGACATGAGTGGGTTGCTATGCACCCACATACTTAGGCAATAGCAAAGTCACACCTTAGTGGATCCAAAAATAGAAATCTGATGTCAACTTACTTACTCCCTGGCCGTTTTGACGTCATCACTTTCAAGCCCTATAACCAGACAACTGAAGGGTACACAACAACTGATAATGATGTCATGCTACTGTGCCTACACTCTAAGTGTCTGCAATGAATCTACTCAGACAGACGTTCCACCGGTCGGCAAGGGTACCGGATCGATAAACTGTGTACTACTGTGTATTTTAAAGCAATATCTGACTGTCAATGTACTACGATCAAGCCGTCAGTCATACCACTGATTTGTGCCGATCGGTGAGTGGATTATATAAACCATGACATGACATTGATTTAGAAGCCAGGCTGTCGGCATGGGATCACTGAAACCTGCCATGTCCGAGCACAACAATATACATATGCCCCCCCCCCCCCCCCCCTGTCTACAGCAGACGCAAGGCCAAAGAACACAAACAGGCTAACAATGAGTACCCATCTCGGCATTGTGTATGTGGATGCTTTAAAAAAAAACAGGCAACATCCACATACATGAGATATGAATGAAGTTAGAAAATTAATAAAGCAGGCTCTGATACCATCCTCACAGTATGTCGAGTAATAAAAGTTTAAAAAACCACAGCTAGGGACCGTGGAAGAAAAGCCACCATGCAGTCAACACATACTAAAGCAACAAAATTTCAAAACACAGGCAACCTCAATGAATACGGGCCGATCCTAAACGACAATCCTAAATAATATTGATATGTGCAATGGATGAGAGGAAGAGAGAGAGACAGAGAGACAGAGAGACAGAGAGACAGAGAGAGAGAGAGAGAGAGAGAGAGAGAGAGAGAGAGAGAGAGAGAGAGAGAGAGAGAGAGAGAGAGAGAGAGAGAGAGAGAGAGAGAGAGGGAGAGAGTCGGAGAGAGAGCGAGAGCTGCCATAGGCTCTCCGAATTTCTCTAATCTGAATGCGAGGCTTCTGAAATAGCATGTCATGTCACAGGTTCCATAGTGCAGGTATAAGGAGAAGGATAGATATCTAGTATGTACATAGAGACAGAGCTAAAAATATACAGCCATGGCCAGCGCACTTTACACTTGAAGTTGAAAATCAAGCAAGGAAGCTGTGGTGGACTAGCGGCGTGGCTTTCCACGGCCACCGCCCGATGCTTTTGCTTTCTTGGCAGGAGTACCCTTGGCAGCCGCAGCCTGAGAAGCGATACAACAAAGTGCACAAGGTCAAACAGAACAATGAATAGAAAGATGTAATTAATGTAGAGTCTTTAGTCTTGAATAAGAATGATTAGACTAAAACTTTCTAAAAGCACGGAACTTCCAAGAGTATGTCGACGAACAACCATGAGAGAGGAGGAGGAGGAGAGAGAGAGAGAGAGAGAGAGAGGGGGGGGGGGGAGACAGGGAGTGAACGTAAGAGGGAGAGAGAGACTTGAACCGCGGATAGTGTGACATGCCTGTAAATATGACTTACTGGTCGCTTGACAGCCGACGGTGCAGCAGGTTTGACTGTGAAGAAGCTGTCCAGCCGTCCCTGCGTTGCTCCTGTGCGAGCCTTTGCAAGCTTCCTTATACCATTTCGAATACGTTCCTCACTGCCAATTTAGAGAGACAAGACAAGGAAAGAGACATATGTTTTACCAAGAGTGTGCAACTCCTATCTTGAGCTGTGGTGGGTTTACCCACGGCGGAATTTTTTTATTGCATCATTCTATGGCAGAATTATGATGAAGTGGGTATGCTTTCCCGTGCTTGTTTTGTAGATACGGTGAGAGTTCATCAGGTTCAAGACACATCGATCTATCGTCCGTTGTTCTGCTTTGACTACCGTAGCTGTAATGTACACATTATTTGTACTTTGATCTCTGGCTACGCATGATGGCATCAGTGAGCCAAACCGCCGCCAAAGACTGATGTCATAAAAAAATTCCGCCGTGGGCTGGGGGATCGTCGAGTTGCACACTCTTGGTTATGTACTCTTGGTTTTACGAACTGTACAGACACAAAAAATGCACCCTTTCCAGAAATTCCACCAAAAAATCCACATAGAATTATGCTTTCTGAACCATGGTTTTCATCCAGTTCTCGTTTTCAACAGAATCAGAAAAACCCCGTAAATGACAAAGAAGCAAGAGGACAGGGCGTATCACATCGTACTTAGTGTAAACCATGGTACTTGAGCAACAGGGAGCAGTGAGTGTGCATCACAGAAATTACTTGAGCAACGGTTCCATCATGCGACGGACTATACTGGAAAACAATGGATTAGTGCCAGGCAAACTCACTTGAAGCCTTTTTCCGTCACCATAAACTGAACGAGCGCCTCCTCATCCGGCGCCGTCCATTTCAGCTGCAATGAAAACAACCCGCGGACACACATTGCTTAAGTCAGCAACTGCCAGCAAACAATTCATCACCATAGAACCGAGTCCTGATCTTTTTGAGCGAGGTTACGACAACCAGTGTGGTGCAATAGCCAGCACCAGTACAGATACACACTGGGGTCTTAAACTAGAGGTGAGTTCCATTCGCTTGCCCGCAATCATAAAAAGGAACAAGACTATGACACTCAGCAAACATGCATGTAAGATTAAAATGCCACTGGGGATATAGCGTGTACGTCATCAGCCGCAGCAGCAGCAGCAGCAGAAGCAAAAGCATACCTCGATCTCAGCCGCGTCGCTGACTTCGGGATCCAAGAAGAGCTGCCGGGCTTCCTATCAGCACAGTAAATAGAACCCGTGGGAGCACAGACAGTTAATCACAAGTGCTGATGGTTAATACGACATCATCATAGAAAAAGTCAGCCCATCTGTGAAAGTGACCCAACCATTTCTAGTACTTTGAAGTAAATCGTACCATCCTGAGAGTGTGCAGACTCCACTGTAGCAGCCACTTCATGTTTCACACAGTTATGCACCACTACTCAAAAATGGTCTTTCGGCTACAAATTCTTCCAAAAATAATAAAATCCAAATTTTCGGGCCAGGCCCATCTTCAGCAGACTACTGTTAGGACCAGGAGAGTTAAAAAACAAAGCATGTTACCTTGTACAGCCAGTTCTCAGGAACAGTATATTTCTACAGAACAGAAGCCAAAACACACACACACACGTACACACACACACACACACACATCCATCCAGAGAAATAGCTGTGGATAAAACAAAAGCAGCCGCCAAAAGAGACAAAAAAGCCACCACCCGGATTCGAACCGGGGATCTCCTGTTTACTAGACAGGCGCTTTAACCCCTAAGCCATGGCGGCACACACACGTGTAGCAGACGAATAAATTTCTTCTTGGATGCTGAGCAAAGCCTGGGTCATTCACAAACATGAACGTCACCCTGACATGGCTGCTTTCTTACGCGATTTTCGCCCAACAAAATGGCGTCGGTTTAGGTCAATATCTACTGCGGTGAATCTGAGAAGCCCAACTAGTTTACTTGAAACAATTTCATGGTTTGCGTGAGACTCGGTCAAAGGCCGAGTTTTCCGCATCTGCAGGAACGCCACCACCCTCTTGGATCAAGGCGCAGATGCAGCTCCTAAGCGGTGGGAGGTGAGTAGGTCAGACCCACCACAAAGTGGTCAAAGACCGAAAATCCCATTCACTGCATCCGTGTTTCCCTCATGCCAGGACACGAGTTCCCAATTAACTGTGTCCACTTGAAACAACGAACGGAAATTGAGAAATGTGGGAAACACTTTCTTTGCCATATTTCAGCTTCACTTGAATCATTTATTTATTTATTTTATTCCAAGCAATACATGGCTGGGGTAGCCAATGACCACTTTGCGTGGCAATTGCAAGGTTTTTATAGCCAACCACGGCTAACAAGGAAAAGAGTAGGAAGTCAAAAAGAAAAGGGAAAGAAGAAAGAAGCAAATATGGACTAAAATTGTGGTCTATTGGTAAAGCAAGGCGTTCCTGAATGCTTTTAAAGTAGAAAGACCCTTTGTCTCCTGGAGAGAGTTCATAGCATGAATATATCCGAAGATGACCCCGAAATTCACCCACCACACATATGCGTACTATGTCAAAGGACAATGAAAAGGGACACAAGGCAAAGCAACACGCTGTGGTGGTGACTTGGGTGGCTCAATCCACCACCGCACCAAGTGCAGCTTCTGTAACAGTCACACACAGAAGGGAAGACCCAAAAAGAAGCCTATGCCCGCGGCTTATGTAGCGGCCGCGCCATCGTCACATGCACCCAGTTCAGGCAGCATGCATGCAAAATCTGACGCCCATCAGCCAACAGCACACAGTAGTACACCGCATGTTAGTGGTATGGATATATCAATAGAAGAAGTGCACTTCTTCGACGGCGTGGGCCGTCCAGACCAAGGCCGTCACATCCGGAAGCTAAAGGACGACCTGGAGTTCTTAGCCCAGATTGCCTTTTGTATCTTGGGGCGGCATGCTCACAATGAGGAGGAGAAGGAGGAACCGCCGAGAAAGAAAACTCGTAGAAACGTCCCGTAAGCCGAAGAAGGATACCCCGCCAAAGCCAGCTGCTGAAGCGCTGGCGGACGTCCCCGCACAGGACAAATAATCGTATTGATCCATATTTAAATTTGATTCAATAAAGATGGCTTTACACCTAACCTATTTGCGCTCTGATCGCATGTATGGTGAGGAGTGGAGGCTGGGACCAAAACCCATAGGGTAGTCTCATATCTTGAGGTTTTTCTTGTCGACAACCTGGCGGGTTGAAGACGGAGTCGGAGAGGAAAGCTAGGGCCTTCATCGCTAGCACCATCCCGCTGTACAACAGCAAACTGGTCCCAATGACATCAAAGGCTGGCGATGTGAAGATGGTGCCAATTATCTACTTTCCCAGCCTGACCGATGTCGTCATGATCTACCTGAACTGATACGCAGAGCATGGCAAGATGGCAGAGCACTCCATCCCCAATGGTGAAGTCTGGCTGAAACTTGGAGGCGAACGCGGCGGCACATTTAAATTCGTGATGCAGGTTGCCAATATGCAGCATCCAAACTCGCCGTTCAACAATTCCAATTTGCGTGTTCGATGCACAAGACACACCAGCAAACCTGGAGATAGCACTGGCACCATACCGCAATGAAGTGAACGAACTGCGAACGACAGCTAGATGGCACGACAGGTCGTTTAGAGTTTTTCTCTTTGGAGATTACGACTAGCAGACCAAAGCATACGGCCTCTCTGGATCAAGTGGTGCCCGACCATGCCTTCACTGCCTCTGCCAGAAGAAGGTCATGGACCTCGTCACCACGCTTCCACAGCACGAGGCACTTCGCCCAGTCTACAAGGAAAGGAAAGCATCCAACCAGGACTAGTGACTAGCCGGGTTCGCCTCGAAGTAAGAGTTAACTCACACTGTCTTTCACCAACGTAATATCTATTTTAATTTTGCAACACATCGTAAATAGCAACTATTGCCTTCGCTGCAGTAACAGAAAACGCGATACTACTTGAGCTTTTTGTCCAGTAACCGTATAAAGAATTCGTACCATCTGAAAAGAACACCTAAAACTATGAGGGCAATCATGCAAGGTTGATAACACTAGTCACAGGACTAAGAAGCTAGCTCGCTTCTTTCTTGATTTCCGACAACTACTTGTAGCAAATCTTCTTCTTCTTCAACTAAAGCCCGTTTTCAAATGTTTGAATACAATCCGCGTTTGCCATAGTTCTTCGGTGCTTATCTGTGAATACGAATCGGATTGTACAAAAACAAAAAGAATTACACTAAAACTCAGTTTCGTGTGGTGCGCATGATCAGATGTCACTATAATGGTAGGTGACTGCAGCGAAATAGCTGTGCAGACGGTGTCCGTCCTGGTGGCTTTTCTTCGGGATTCGGTACGGGGGTGCAGTTTAGATCATGACCGGAGCACGGTCTCTCCCACATGCCGTACTCACAAGCCGGTAGGAAACATACATACTGCAAGTAATGGATACTTGTTGGACCCGCGTGAGGTAGCATTGTGTGAAGGTGGCACCGATACAGTGTTCACCTTATGCAGAAGTGATCAAGTCTGCACAGTAATTTCAAATAGGATCAGCCTGATCGGACTACATGGAACATGGGAAGCAACGAGAGGTACAAACTCCAAGCCTATAACAGACATCAACACCGTGCTTACTTTCGTGTCAAGGTTTTCTAGGATTGCCTCGATCGTGTGGTACTGTCGAATGAGTGCCAATGCGCGCTGTGGCCCAATACCTGTGTTGCAAAGAAAGGAAGAAAATGTTAGGGAGATAGTAGAGTAGTTCCCATAACTGCTCCCATCAACGCATTGGACACACATGGAAGGGGTGCATAACTGCCAAAAGAGCTCAAGACGACTTCACGCCGGATAGCAAAAAGAAGAAAACAAGAGAAGAGACAGCAAACAAAAAGCTATGTTAGTCATCACCCATCGTGATACCAACCGGTGTGCATACACTCTATTAGTCGAGTAAGACTACATGTATTAAGACTGTTACTTAATAGTCAACCTTCACTGCTCACACACTGCTCACACACTGCTCAATACCCGGGCCAGAGCTTTCCAAGTTTCTAGCATAGCAGTCAGAACACATTACCAGCATCACTACTTCATAGTTCTGCACAAATCATCTTTTCTGTAATGCCCTGCAATGCAACATGCAGGTAAACAATCATCACTGCAAAGCTTACCACGAATGGAATCACAGTAGTCGCATCCGAGGAGAATGCAAAGATCGATGAACTGCAATGAGCACATGAACAAGAACACTGTGCTCAACATCCACTCAGTATACACTACACATGGATATTCCCCGTAGACTGGCCGATACGCTTAGCTAGAGAAAGCACCACAACACGCATATCCATATCAGCCCTGTATGTTGCGTGGCACACCGGAGGCTTCTTTCTTATGAGAGAGAGAGAGAGAGAGAGAGAGAGAGAGAGAGAGAGAGAGAGAGAGAGGTCTAATTCGAATTTAGTGCCAAAGCTATCATCAGACAATTGATACCGAAACATGGGGAATGATTAATACACTACAATCTATACTCTTGCCGCTGTGTGGCCAAGGCATCTCCAACAGCTGGAAAAAGTCGGCACAATACCTGCAGTGTCTACCCATGAGCTTCCCCAGGAAAAGTAAGGCGCATATAGCTGAGCTTATGAACATCGTGTCCTCCTCAGGATTTATACGGCTCCCTGGTTGCATCGCAGCCATTTATCTTTTCGCATCACTCCACTCCTACCTCTTCCTTCGTGAGCTCCATTTCAGCCAGGGCACGATCTAGTTGTACCTCGCGGATCGGCATCTTCCTGCACGAACACACAGACGTGGTGACAACAGCGCACACACAGCACAAATGGTCAATCCGATCCAGGGCAGAGAGGATCAGTGCCGTGCTCTGAGCATGACATCAGGATCAGTGCTGTGCTCTGAGCATGACATCAGCCAAAGCACACAGGATTGTACAGGATACAGCTGCCACCTGGACATGGTCCAATACTATGACATCATGTCAAACACTCCTGTTCGTGATAGGTTGCTGTGACCGGTCGCGTGGCCCAACGGATAAGGCGCCTGACTACGAATCAGGAGATTCCAGGTTCGAATCCTGGCGTGATCGAAATTTTTTGACTTTGGAATCTTTCAAGGAAAAATTCTTCCACTCAATGGCTGTGTTTTATATACATGAGGCGTTTCAACCTGGGTCAAGTTTCAACCGGCCATGAACACAGATTGACTGGCGAGTTTACAAGCCGCATTGCGCTTGATCTGGGTTGAAATTTCGCCCCAGGTTGATTTCAACCCCCCTCTTGGGAGAAGGTTGAAATCGAGAAATCGTACTACCGTACTTATGTGCGTATCTCGCGCCAGGTTTGAAAAGCATTGCACAGGCAAATTTCGCGCAAAAATATTCGCGTGACCATACAGGACTCTAGAAGTGGACTTTTGGCAGCATATCAGTAATTGACCCAGGTCAACTGTCGTCATGTAAACACCCACCCATTTTTTTCAGCGTACAGACTTTCCACCCGGGCTGAACTCGACCCAGGGTGAAATTCTCGTGTAAACACAGCAAAAAGTACTGAAATCCCGTTTTTGTGAAGTTTGAATCAGTATCCACTGTGAGTGTGCAGTTGCCAGGGGTATGGTGCATGTTCTGAGGTTCAATTGACTTCAAACTGCCATGTTTCGGAGCTACTCTTTCACGAATGCAGACTGTTTGGTACTATGAAGGCATAGTTTGTGGAAAAACAGTAATTTTGCACAGAATTCTGACACTATTTGGTAACGATTATAATCGATTACTCGATCGTTAAGCTAAAGAGTAATCGATAGGTGAAAATCCACGATCGTTTCAGCCCTAGCGATTTGTAAAAAAAACCATGGCATATTACAATTGGACGAAATAGAGGTTGCGACTTCGGCGATGATTTTGTTTAGGAATGGGTTTGCTCCCACACTGGAGCTCGCGCTATTCCGCCGCCGACGACTTGACACTTGACTGACTCACGACTGCCATCCAGAGAACACGAGAAGTCCATCCATATTACAATTGGAGTAATAGTATTGTCGAGGACGATTCCTTCCTTCCGGTGTAGTGTTTTTACTTCCTCCGTATACAAAAACTTCGTGACTTTTTTTGAAGGCTGCGCATAGCTCTGGAATTGTTCCGTTTGACTTGGAATAACACTCGTGGCATTGTCTAACCAGTTTATAAGCTATATACAAAGACAAAAGCAACTCAGACGAATGAGATTGAGTTTATTCAGAGTCTTCGTCGCTCCTGTCATAATCACCTGACGACGCTGACTCCGCATCGCCAAAAGTCGCTGCTTCGCTCGCATTTCGTTCAGATTCTTTTCAGCTGCAATGATGATCCGACGCGGGACTTTGGCTAGCGTACTCTTCATTTCCAGAGCTGTGTACGAATCGGTGTCGACTATATTCAGTCGTTCCAATCCGCGACCTCCATTATGCCGTGAAACGAGTCGCTCAAGCACATCCACACGCTTCGCATTTTCTCGGCAGGAGAATCCTCCCAGCATTCTACAACGGCTTCGACGAGGTCCCTGCGATTCCCCTCCTAGGCCACAACGGAGACGTCTGACTGGAGTGGAGAGAGGCGAAGAAAGCCAGGTCGTCGACATTCTGATCCGGAGTCTGCGCTGGTTGCACGATGACTGAAATGTTTCATCTTTCTGTGCGAGCGGAACCGACTTATGTTCTCACGCTGCGTATGGGGCTGCGCACCGCAAGTACGAGCAACGCCAGTTTCAGGGCAGCGAGGGCAGCGTGAGTCGTGACTCCGTGCTCCAGACGCGAGCTCCACTTCGTCACGGTGTCAGTTTCGAGCAAGTAAGTGTAAGTGTTTTTGTTATTTGAACGTGAGTTCCTGTCGGCAACGTCCTCACACGCATGGCTTCCGTGGAGAATCTGTTCGAGATCAACCAAACCTACCTCAACATGAATGTGCGTTGTCGATGACAGCCTTTGGCGCGGTTCGTTGAGCAGGTTCTTGCTCAAAAATACCGTTGAAAAAAAGTCACGAAGTTTTTGTATACGGAGGAAGTATCAGTTTGACAGAGTAGTGAGTTTATAAGTATCAGCAGCGTTTTGCGACATCGTTTCGTTCCGCCGTACTGTGAGTCGTCAATGATGGATTGCCACTCGTGATTTTTGTTATCAATGCAGTAAAATATCTCTCAATGGAGACTGGAAGGACGTCTGAGCGCCCGCAGGCGTGTCCTACGGCAGGCCAGACCCCTGAGCTGGTCCCTGAGGTCGACACTGAGCCGGCCACGCGATCAGAGTAGGGATATCAGTCACGTGACAAAAGCGGCTGTTTCGACCTGGATGGTGACGCGTTCAAAAAGGATCTACGTCATGGCACAGTGAAGTGCACGGACTTCTTTCTTGCTTTTGTTTGAATTTCTACATTTTCAGCGAGGAAGAAGACTTTTATCTGTCAGCTGAGGTTTCGAGCTTTCGTTTGGTGTGTCTCACATAGTAGTGCGTAGGATTTTCAGCTGTTTGTCGTCGTCGTGAAATATTCAGGTGCTGTTTTCCGCCGTAACGGCCCGTTTCTGGTAAGTCCTCGCTCTAGCAGCATCGAAAATCGTAATCTACGACCTCGATTTTACAAAGAATGACTGTTCCTGTCCCTCCGCAGGACGGCGGTTCTTAGCGGAATTTATTTTCCCAGTACTGACCAGTGTAGTCATGGAAGAATTTGTTGGCCCCCACTGCAAGGAGCTTGGAATCAACCGAAAAGCGCTGGATGATGCCCTCGCTGACAATCGTAACCTCTCAGCTCTCTGTCGACGTGATAAATTGTCAAATGGCATCGTGTTTGAACTCATGGACTACAAGCGAAGTCAGAATCTAAGCTTGGATTCCATCATTCAGGTGGTGGCTGCAGTGGATGGTGTGGAGCAGGAGACTGTGAATGTGAAGGGTGCTGGTGCGAAGATCAGATGTATATGCACTGTCGAAAGCTGGCAAGGTACACTCCATCGAGTGCTTGGTCTCAAAACTTGCTACACTGCTTCGCTCTGAATCGGATGACACCACAGCGAGTGATGATAATGCTGCTTCAGACCAGGGAGTAGTACAATACCAATATGTATTGTACTACTCCCTGCTTCAGACATCAGTGCTGCTGCCGAACCCCTGGCAAAGCGGCTGCTACATTCTAGCAGCGACACCTGATGCCGAACCCCTGACCAAGCGTAGCGTGCTAGCTAATTGATCTTGGGCGGGTCCGTTAAATAATGTTTTTGTTTCTATTCATGTCTATTGTGCTTCTTTCCTTTCTTTATTACCTCTTCTCAGTTTTTACATAAAGGAAGCTCTATTGTTCATTATGTTGTTGGTTATTTGGGCTGATTTTGCACTGATAAGCACCGTTGCTATGGATCTGGATTTCCGGATTGTGCCATTGCCCATGTATGGTCTGTACACAACTATTGTACAGGTTGGTTGCAGGTATTCCTTGACCTATACCTTCAGTTTTACTGCTCCGAATTGCTTCAAATTTTCTGTATAGCTTCCTCTCACCCTGGTCTTTCACATTGCACAACAAAATTCTGTGAAAACCCAAGTTGTAAGAATCACCTGAAATCTCTAATCAGAGGGAGCAGGAAGAACGAAGAGACTGGCCAAAGGTGAAGGTCAGAAAACTGCAATTTTGGCTGTACGTGCATTTCGTTCTCCAATCACAAAAAGGTAATTTTAAATCGAAGGCCGGTGCTGCTGCTGCTGCTGCTTATGGAATTAGCTAACAGCTTTACAGAAGGCATGGTAGCCAGTGGAATAGCTGTGCCAAATGAGTCCTTAAAGGCTTTGACCCTGACTTGCTGTACAATACCATGTTCACCATCACTGACCCGGACATGGTATATGAATGGGATCAAACAGGCTTCTCAATAGACCAAACTGAAGATAGCGAGGGGCCAACGGAGAAGACCGTGACCATCGATGAAGACGATGTTGGTGAGTGCGTGGCAAACAAATCAAACGTCAGATGGCCTTTGACCGGAGAGTCCTTCCTCACTGGAGATTGGCTACTTGGGTGTACCATTCCTGGAGCACAGGGTGTCAAGCTCTCCCTCCTAAAGGATTCGTCCCTTTCAACCATCATTCACCCAGCCACCAGAAAAGACTAGACATGTTAAGTTTCTGTCACGCATCGCTTCTTCTTGCTCTACTGCTGCACTGAACGTTGTTCGGGTTCATTTATTTATTATTTGGCCCACGTTTTCAACATCGTCAGTTTTGTTTTGCAGGTATTGTCTATAGTGTTTATATATTTCTGCGTTGTTCTCTTTCTCTGTCGTTCTCTGCGCTCCGTGGGGGCCCGGGAGTAGCCAATTCTACCCTCATCAGTCAGGTGGATTTTCATACGACCTTGCACCTCTCTGGATGACGAATGTGGTCGGTCCAAGTCTACGGAGGAAGGAAGGAAAGCGGGCATATGGCTTGTGGGATCCAAGTCTACGGAGGAAGGAAGGAAAGTGGGCATATGGCCTGTGCAATGGCTATGGGGCCCTTGCCACACTACCGATGGTGCTGGCAGCGGAAAAGGTAAATTCAGATTTGCAACTCCGTATGCCGCACACCTGCCATGTTTCGCAGGCTGCAGACATTGCAAATTCCCCCCTATTCAAGAGGAAGTCGAAGCAGGCCAAATCAGACCTGCTTGTAACAAAGGTCATGGAAGGGAAGGCACCACGGCTGACATCTGACGACATGTCTGTCATCATCAAGAAGCCGTGGAAAGAAGCATTCCATCCTGACGCCAGTCGGAAGGGTTGGCGAGAGATTGGGTTTGACCCTGCCACCAAGTCTTGCAATCGTAAACTATGCTGGGATCTGAAGACCAAGGAGGATGCAGTTGCCAATGCCTTTGCTATTGCCCTTGCTACAATCCATTCATAAAAAGATGGGTCCTGGCTCTGGCGAGCTCCCGTATTTGGCGATTTTTCGTGATTTCATCGTACACAGTGCAGTGCTGCGAACTTTGAAATTTGAAAAAGGGTCCAAAAAGGGTGCCAGAACTGGGGTTCGAACCGCAGAATGCACTGTTGCAGGCGGGGTCAAACGGCCTGGATTTTGATGGTTTTTCCCAATTCAGTGCTTTTGGGGCAAAACCTGGCCGAAATCCTATTCTTGCTATGGCTTGCTTTTTGGACAAAAAAACTTCAGAAACATAATTGGAAGAGGATTCCATATGGGATTGCAGAAAAAAATTCTAAAAAAACTCAACGTTTGACCCATTTATGGCCAAAAGCTAGAAGTTCATTTTTTTCTGAATGGACTGTAGTACTCTTGCCCTTATCAAATATTACACCTTTTCACAGTTTATAACCTATTCACTGAGTTGTGACTCAGAGCATAACCTATTCACTAGATTATTTTATACTGAAAACCAGAAAAAAACTAGTTGTGTTATTGTGAGTCGTGTAGGGCATACTGTAAAACGACAAACTTTCGCGGCGGCTAAATTTAGCGTTTTAGGCAATTAATTTTAGCAATTTTTACCTTCCACCGAAAATGAATTTTATTTTACGAAGCCTCGGAGTGCAGAGTGCATGAAGAATGAGAGAAGAAACCAAAGAATGAAAGAAAGAATCAAGCCACTGCGATACTCATCGCGATAAAATTCAGAAGACTTCTTCGAGCAGTACAACACTAAAATCTACGCAACAGCAAGCTGGCCAAACGCTCCAAGAAGTTCAACAACACTCTCCACAACACTGAGACATTCTCCAGTCGATCGTTTTATTCTCTTCTGGTTCAAGTCGCCGTACTCCAACGACAACTAATGTTTGTTACTTGCAAGACTGGTGTTGGTACGTAACCCGTCGTTGCAACAGCTGCGCTCTTTGGTTGGACATAGCCGGCCGTGCAAGCATCGATCAGCGCTGTGAATGTACAGTCAGTGCAGTGAGTGATGCATGCGCATGTACGAGTCGTAGATCTACTGTACAGATCTGTTGCAAAACGATCGATCATCGACGCATCGCGTAGTACGTAATAGTACAAATTTCATATTCGCGTGTCAAACTTTCGCGATTCGACCCTGCTCGCGAAAGTCGCGAAAGTTAATCGCTCGCGAAAGTTTGTCGTTTTACAGTAATCTATTCGCCAGCATTGATTTACTTGTCAATACCGTAAAGTACCGTTGATCCACCCCCTCTCTAATTCCCGCCCCCTGTCAATTGTCTACCTGCGAAGCGACTTCGGCGTATACAACGAAATACGATGTTGAACCGACGCATGCACTGCTGTACACAATACGTGCCAATCCAGGATGAAAATGTGCACAATCCAGCACATCGAGTCTGATCCTCCACGTTGTTGTACATCGTACTGCACTTGACAGCCTTGATCTAATTCCCGCCCCCCTGCCCAAAACCTAGCTGGGAAGTGACATGGCGTGGGGGCGGATCAACGGTACTTTACGGTAGTGATTGGCCCTCCTCCCTAGAATTGATAAGCATGGCGCGCTCTCTTGGCATTTTTCACATTTTCTGCTGCAATACAGCACAGCATAGTGGCCATATTTGCTAATGACTTTGGAAGTTGATATTGCCCTTGCTAGTGCCCTTGCGCCGTGCAGCCCCCCCCCCCCCCCCTAACTTATTTGTTGATTTTTGTGTCTTTTCATGCCATTCAACGAAATTGCAGTCTCTAGTCACTACTAGAGGGTTCACAACGGCACATTTGTGTGGAGTGAAGTCGGGGTTTGCCCCAGAACGTTGCATTTGGCAGGCAAGACACTTTTAGAAAACGGAACAATGGGTTACGGGGTAACTGTTTCCCCTGCCCCCCCCCCCCCCCACTATTTTTACCTGGCTAGAACCCTGGACAATGAGTACATACTTTGCTTCGCTGAAGGTCAGATGTCGCAGCAACACCGTAGAGCCGAACGTCAGTGCATCCATGTCCTCGGTGGCCGTAGCAAAAACCTACAGTGGGAAACAATCCAATGGAGACAAAACTGTTGATTCTCACCAACATGCAATCGGGCAGCGGGTTTCTGAACTTCACTCATCCCAAGTGTCAATTGACCAAACAACTCGCCGAAGGAGAATTGTACAATATCTGCTGAAAGTGCTTCACATACATGTATTAGCATTGTCCTGCCTGTGGCATTGTGCATGAGATCCAGCGCAGAGTTAGTGCGCCAGCGCAGCATACTTGTCAAGGTTCGACTGCAGTGAAATAGAGATGACTTATTCGAAAACGTCTGAACTGCATACTGTGCACCGCTGTAAATGGGATACAGTAAGCGTTGAATTTCTAACGGGGCACACAGTCCAACGTTTCAACGAGAAAAGAATCCATCGCTAACTCAAGAAACAATACTAGTATGCTATTCCTTCTCTTCTCTGCACTAGAGGAATATAAGATGGTAGGGTAACGGCAGGGTCGTTAAACTTTGTGCCCGCTATCAAGTGGAAAAGAATGCAGATTGTTATACTTTAGACTGGTCACAGTTTCAACTCCTGCAGTAACTACTTGAAGTAAGCTTTAAAAAATTATCTGAATTGTTGACTTTATCCAACCTGGAGCACCAGGGACTGGCTCTAAAGTGTCTGGATAACTGACATGACACTACTAGTACATGTCATGTAAATGATAAAGTGTGCTCACTGACCTTGCCTGCCCTGACCAAAGCAGCACACTGAGCCTCAGCTTCACATGGCGCCTACAGCAGAACACAGCACATTAAGTACACGGTGGACATGTGGGGGGGGGGGGGGGGGGGGGGGGGCGAGAGCTGCCAAAGAAACAGACTGTGCAAGCATCAGCATGGGTACTGCACATAATCAATAGCATACATGTGTGAGTGTGTTACCACGTGAGCGAGTAAGCAGACACACAGACCGACACACAGACACACACACTGTGACTTACTGAGACGACAGGAATACCCATCAAGGTCAGGAGTTTCTTGCACTCCTCGTTGTGCTGCGGTGTCACTTTCACCTGCATGCCATGGAAGACACACAAGCAAAGTCCCCTACCGATCGAATAGTGCTCAACACCGCAAGGTGGGTCCGTACACACAGTAGGAGAGAGGAAAATTATAATACAGCTCACGGCTTTACGCTCTGAGTTGAATCTATAAATTTCCTCTTTCCCTATTGCTTGCCATGGAAAAAACACGGGTGAAATTACAAAGGATATTCAGATGACATTGGCAAGTACTACAGCTTCATATCACTATGCGAGTGCTGTAGAACCTGTGAAAAAGATCCACAACACGAAATGTTCTCAATGACATTTATAAAAGATAGGGGAAACACCTCTGGGCTGTTTGCAGGCACAGCAACTGGCAGTGATACATTCGGTGAGGTATGGAGAACACTCCCTTGAATGTTTGGCGCCCTTCCGCAAAGGGATAAGCAACAAGGAGCTCAATTACCCACAACTACCGTAAAAGTCCGTAAACAAGTACGCACTTATTTCAAATTTAGTGGTCATACCCGTACTAACTTTCGCGCGGGTACTGACGTTAGGCGAGACCAAAAAAATAGAGATTCCCGGGCCCTCCCGCACCAAAATCGAGACCAAAAAAATAGAGATTCCCGGGCCCTCCCGCACCAAAATCGAGCCAAAGCCATTTTTTTTAACAGTTCATACATGTACAGTACTGATCATGTGAGTAGATCTGTGACGTGGAGTCACACAACCCCGGGCTTGTAGTTGTACGACTCCCTGATGTACAGATCAGGGCCATCGTTGGCCGAAATATGGAAAAATTGAACGGGTAAATCGCGTACCTGTTGTCTGTAAAAAAATTGAATAAAAATTACCGGAAAATGCTGTAAAAAAAGTTCAACATGGCATGTACATGTACATACATGGGAAAAAATAAAATTTGCCCGCCCGCACCAATTTCACATGGGTCCTGCCCGGGAATCTCGATTTTATTTTGGTCTCGCCTTAGGGACTGACTTGTGCGTAACGGAGAAGTCATTTATCACTTCGGTGTTACATAATACTATTTTGTCATGTCGATGTACATGCTACATACTGCATGTGCGAACCGTACCGGTACTTATTTCAGGCAGTATGTTTATCGGGCTGAACTTGACTTCAACAGACAAGAGTCAAGAGGATGATGGGGTATTTATTTCGGACAGGTACTTATTTACAGGGTTTTACGGTAGTATAACAAACCACTCAAAAGTTCAAACAATCTACATTGCAAACGTACGTTTTTTTGGCGGGTGAGGCCCTAAATGCATCCAGTTCTGGTACGTGAACAGGTCTACCTAGATTTCCGATGTTGAGATATCGCATCCACTCCATCAAATTGCTTGCTATTGCGTACAATTCGGGGGCTGAGATGCATTCTGGAACCCATCTGGTCTGTAACATTACTTCCTCCAGTTTCTGTGCACTATATTGTACGATCCGGAGAAATTTGGAGCTATGCATTGAGCTTGAACTCCAGTACTGCTACGAACGAACAGTTTCAACCAGGGAAGCACAGCACCATGATACCTGATACAGAACATTCGACACACAGCGAGCGGTGAATACATACCAATCGTCGTTGATATCGTTCAATGTTCTCTTGATCGCCTGAAATCAAAACGGGATAGAACAAAGCAAATCCACAGTCACCAGAGATACGTTACTGCAATGTACCGTATTTTCCGGAGTATAAGCCGCACTTTGAACACTCAAAACTCACAGCAAAAATGGAGTACGAACAGCTGCTACACAGCCTACACAAACACTTCCACGTCAACTTTTCACCCAGTTTCTAGCGATTCCTTTTCACCCAGTTTCTAGCGATTCCTCTTCAATCGAACATTTTTTTTAAATTTTTTATGAACCAAGGCTATGGATCGTTTGGTCGGATCCAGATCCAGATCCAAATCTCAGATCCGTCGGATCCTTCAGAATCAACTAGTGCTGAAACGAGTACTCTATAAGCTATCGAGCGAGTACTGTCACTATCGAGTCGAGTATCGAGTACTCTATAAGCACACATGCGCATATATTATGTCAGTACCACATACCCATTTTTAGCACACCATTTACGCAATTCGATATCCTTCAATAAACACAAATTTAAAAAAGCCACATGGACGACGGACGTGTACCATGGTGTACGTCGCTATCAAGTTTTTTTAGTTTTTTATTTTATTTATTCATTTATCGAGTATCGAGTCCTTTTTTGATATCGAGTCGAGTACTCAACGAGCGGGTACTCGAGTACTCGGCGTACTCGTTTCAGCACTAGAATCAACCGAACACTTTTTTGGACCTTGGCTGTTGCCATGTTGACAAAGTAAAAAATGGCGCTGACAGGTCACCCAAAAAGGCAAAAGTCGTACTGATCGCGCGCGCGAGTCGTACGAAAAGTCCACTAGACGTACGACAATGAGTACAAAAATGATTTTTACCCGCCATATACGCACAGAGGTCACATTTGGATCCGATGGATCCAGTCAACCCTGCTCCCGGGGCAGGGTTGCTCGGATCCAACTCCGGAGGATCTGGATCCGGATTCGACCAATCGATCATTGCAGATCCAGTGGATCCAATGGATCTGGATCTGGATCCGACCAAACGATCACAGCCCAAGCCTCTTGTACGGGCAAAATAAACACAAGCGCGACCTCAACATTTGGTGAAGATGCATCATTATTATCACACTTGAGCAGATCTAGTCTACAGCTCATCTTTCGGCCTGAGCAGCCTAGCAAAAGGCGCATGTGATTACAGGACCTGAGGTCGAACCGCCTATGCCTACCCTCATTACATCACAGACATATTCAAACGCGTCCCATCACATGCGTGACGAACAGATCAGCAAGCAGAAACACACACGCATACACACACACACACACACACACACACACACACACACACGCACGCACGCACGCACACACACACGCATGCGCGTGCACACAGCTCACATACCAGCATCTTCAGCCTGCTTGAGCTCTGCCTCGGCTTCCTTGCGACGCTCAGTTCTCTTTTGCAGCTACAATCCAACAAAAAGAAATGACGACAATGAGAAGTGCAAAGAGCAAGGCAAACAGAAAGGCTAGACTTCTGGAAGTAGTGCACTGATCCTGCGGTGACTCACATGTAGTGCAACAGGAATAAATGAAGCTTATGAATCTCTACTTACGCAAGAGGTACGCAAAAGGAAGTAAAATAGGGCTGTTTCGTGTGACGAAACAGCCCTATTTTACTTCCGTTTGTGTACCTCTTGCGTACTACGCTCTGCCCATTCCGGGCATTTGAGCAATATTGCAGGTTAAGGCGCACTGCCTCTGTGAATCTCTACTTATGATATCGACCAATACTGCAGTAGTACGGAACATGTAATCCTACACAGATGATCGATCAAACGATGAAGGGGGTCAAAAGCCATGGACCATCGGTACACAGAGTTGGTATAATACAATGTGCACAGTCAGTGCACTGTGCAAGGCGTGGGTGTAACACGATGCGAATAGTCAGTGCACTGTGCAAGGCGTGGGTGTAACACGATGCGAATAGTCAGTGCACTGTGCAGGTGTACAAACAGTCATGGTGATTAGGTGACAAACTCTTACCTCACCAGACTTCAAGTTTGGTGGCTTGCCATCAAACACGTACCTTTGATATACAAGCGGCACATAGACAGGAACATGGAAAAACAGTGTTTAAAACATCAAAAACATTTACACTTTATGTCTCATACAACTTGGAGAAAGAAATGTCAAAGAGAGAGAGAGAGAGAGAGAGAGAGAGAGAGAGAGAGAGAGAGAGAGAGAGAGAGAGAGAGAGAGAGAGAGAGAGAGAGAGAGAGAGAGAGATTGATATGCATGTACTTACGCTGGCTTGAGACCGTTGTCAACCATACGGATTGTGCGATAGAACATGCCCATCAAGTGACTGTGCGACGACAAAAAAAAACAAAAAAAGAGGCAGGCATTGATATGCAAGCATGTGACTATGATACCTGTATAAGAGCAAACACTCAGCCACAAGGACCAGAAGCAGGTAAAGAAAGAAATATAACAGATCCGCCTGACAAGCAGGTCAAGAACTAGCTTTCCCGTTTCCGTGGGACGCCATCGCCCCATGACCAGGTGTCCGATGCATTTCCTAAACCTTGGGAGGGAGGGGGGATAGAAAAGAGAGAGAGAGAGAGAGAGAGAGAGAGAGAGAGAGAGAGAGAGAGAGAGAGAGAGAGAGAGAGAGAGAGAGAGACAGAGAGAGAGAGAGAGAGAGAGAGAGAGAGAGAGAGAGAGAGAGAAAGAGAGAGACAGACAGAGAGCAGATCCACCAACCAGAGGCCTACAGCTGAAATTCCATTTGCCACATTCATCCTACCCTTGTGCCAGGCCACAAGTTCCCAAGACACTGTGTGTCACAGCACCACTGGGAATATCTACTTTCTTCCAAGCCAGACCGGAAGCATGGTGAAGAGGAAAGGTCTTGGTACAACTTGTGGGTTTGATGTTGTCAGTGTTGTCCACCCGCTTACTGTTCCGGTTATATTTTCACGCGATTCTGCGTCTTTCTATTTGTAAATGCGTTGTTGTCCCCTGGTGTGATGTTCGCTCGCCACTGTTGTGCTTCTCACATTCTTGCTCATTTTAGTGCTTTTCTAGTTGCTTTGCTCTCTATTTCGTTTTTCGCACCTCTTTCTGTTCCTTATAATAGTGTCTGAGTTAGTATTCCATCCATACTTACGTACGTTCACTGAAGATCGTAACGAGAAAACTGTTCTGAACACTTCTTCTTCTTTTTACATGTACATTTCACATTCACATTTCTCTCGCATGTTTGTTACTATTGTAATAAAGCATGGTCACCGCACAGTTAGTACTCTTGATTGCCATATTAAATTCAATTATTATTTTCAAATAGAGCAAACCTAGTCGTCTCGCCTTGCTCATCAGTCAACTGACTTCCATCAGAGCGAACTGCGATCAGAAACTGGTACAAGCTCATGGAAGCATCGATGGCCACCTTTCTCCCTGTCCGACAAAAACAACGCGAATCAATAGCAAGTGCAGTGGTGTTAACAAACAATAATGTGCCCCGGTATTAGATATTCGTTCTCAATCACATACCGAAGTAGGCTTTAATTTCATGATCTTTCATCGATCCTGGAGCATGATCACCCAACACTTTAGAAAGTTGGTGAATTCCCATCGTTGAAAATAAGGAAGAAGTGAGGAGTTCAAATTTGTGAAGTTAGAACTACAGAGAACTCCCTCGAGAACAAACAAAGTTCTCCTGATTCAGAAATCGAGATTCTTTAGAATCTCAACTCGATCATCGACAACAACGATCAAGAAAGAAAACAATGTAAAAGTCGCTCCTCTCTCGCCGAAACTGTGGAAGACGTGTGTCCATTTGAAAAACACGTGAAAGTTCTTAGATTTCCCGCGCTTGAAAGAAAATGACGTTATCAATCAGACAATCACAGACTTCGTGGTGTACTACGTCATTGAAACAAGACAGTACCGGTACATACGAAAAAAACTCCCATGATTTTTTGGTGAATTATTTTTGGTTACTCACTGCACCATGTGCACTGATCACTGGTATTGATTTTGAAAACATTGTTTGAGTAAAAGCTGGAGCACTATCTTATCTGCTAATATTTCCACAACTACTTCTGGTGGTACATGTAGTTCTAGGGAATAATTACCCTCCGCATGTGGTGAGTTCCCTATGTTTCGTCTTCTGCGCTCTCGTGGTTGCATTTTCAGTGGCGTAACACAGAACATTCGGTTTCGTGCCACCGTGAGAAATGAAGTCCCCAAAGTCTCCACTGCCCCTCAGCAGGAGGACAAGCATTCCGGCCACGACCCATCTTGGAGTCGAGATTATGTGCGGCTGGAAAGGTTGTTTGAAGTCAGGGAGCTGAATCGAGAGCAAGAGTTCGCTATGCAGGCTGCTGGTGCTGAGGAGCCCAGCCCAGAAGTCGACGAGGGGGGAAAAGTGAAGGATGAAGCAGTTCAACAGCTTGAAGATATGGCTGAGCAGTGTCGTGAATTTGAGAGTGTGTGCCTGGATGCTCATCCCGAGGTTCTGCTGGATAAGCTGCAGACGATACGAGGGAAACAGCTAGTGCCCTTCACTGTGGAACTGCATTCTAGTCGACGATTGGCCTCTCTGGACTCCAAATCTAGAGCCCGTTTACTACAAGCACTGGGAATGCGTTTACAGCGATCTGATTATCAACATGTGCTGAGTATCATGGAAGACTTTGCTACTCACCTTCTGAAGACTGCCAGTGACTTCCACCGACACGAGTACCTGGCAGCAGTGTTTGGTCTATCGTCTATCAGGAACTTGGATTGCTCGGCTTTGGTATCACTTATGTATGAGCGCATTCAGCCAGAGCATGTACAGACGCTAAGCCATCAGGAATTTGACTGGTTTTGCTATATCGTGCGAACATACGCTAAGTCAGCTCCACACAGGCTGGTGCAATCCATCGCCTCTCATTTCAAAACCTCGCTCAACGATCTCCCGCCGAACATCCTTGTCCAAGTCGCTTTCGCCACCTATCACATTCAAAAGAAACCGTTCGATGCCAGACTGCTGGAAAGGCTGGAGAGTCGCCTGGCATCTGACTTTGGCTCACTCTCCATACAGGCGCAGGCCAACATTGCACAGCTGTTCATTGAGCATCGCAAGCATGGCTACGTTCCATCGAAGATTGACTTTGGTGGGGTGTTACTGGAGCGCATGGACCGTCTGAAAGACTGGCAGCTGGTCATGCTGGCACGCTGCCTGATATTGAGCAGCCAGATGACAAGTGAGATCATGCAAGCGATTATACAATTTATGAAAAGTATGAACAGGCCACAATATTTCGAGAATCTCCAGACCCTTTCGTACTTTTTAACTGCTCTTCTACACCGAGGATTCGAGCTACCAGAGAAGAAGGAGCTAGCTGAACTCTTGGCAGCTCGGGTTAACCCTCGCTTGTTCGTTTTCAGCTTTCGCGACGCCATCTTCCTTATGCGCTGTTTGCTACTGCTGGATGCAGTCAGGAAGAAAGACCTGGTATCTCTCTTCAACTACAGTGTCAGTGGCATGAAAAATTGGCGCGTCATTGATGCTTGCACGCTGCTCGAATCGCTACACCTGCTTCAGCAGAAGGGCTGGCGGGGTGAATACCGCCGCTTCAGTGAGTTCCTGCTGGTGCACCAGAACAGCTTCAGCCCGACACCAGCACCAGACATTGCGGTGTCTGTGATGATCACTTGCAATTACATAGCACGCATGCGTTGGACACGCTGCACCTGGCTAGACGTCCTCGTTCCATATCTTGTCCTAAACCTGGAGGCAATGCTCAATCAAACCTCGACAGAGATGGCAAGCCACTTCTTTCAGCACCTGGCCAACACCGGACAGAACTGGTCGGAGCTGTTTGTGCCACTTTGCGCACTGATAGAGCAACAGGGTGCGGAGACCTACTTTCCGATGGAGCACCAGCGGGTGCGTGTATTGTGGGCGTGCATGTTGCAGGATGCACTGCCTATGCAGCCTATGCAGTTGTTACTGGACAACTGCTCCTATTCTGCCTCTCTGAGGAAGAATGACTGCCTCGCTCTGTGCTCACAAATGGAAGCCACTGCTTTGTTGCTTGCCGGCAGGCCCGTCTCGGAGAGGCTGGCTGATAGGCTCATTACCCAGCACCCGTTCCATCGCAGCCACTTGAAGTTTGTTGAGCACCTCACCGAGCTTCTCGGTCCTGACCGTATCCGGACACAGCAGGTCACACGAGAAGGTCTCCTGGCCCCGGTGTGTATCATTCTGGACACAGTTGGTTGTCCTGTTGCTTGGCCAAAGGACAATGGAAACAAGTCCCTGTCGGGCAGTGAGCTCAAGGATGCCGGCTTCGAGCCTGTGGTGATACTGCCGCTCGGCGAGAGGGATCATAGCATTGACCTGAAAGACGTGATGGCACACGTTGACTGCCAGATGCGGCTACTGGAAAAAACTGGCTGGCGCGCCGTCCTGCTTTCACTACCTGGCCTGCGAGTTGCATCCGCTACAACCAACGCCAAGGAAGCACGGGACTTCGACGCCAGGGACAAGAGGGTGAAACATGCCCTGAAGCGTAAGCTTGAAGATAGTAACATTTCAATGCCTGTCTAGGCTTCACTTTTCCTTGCTTGTCGTTGGCAGGGCTCGGAAGGACTTTCCTTTGCGAAAAGGCTCTTTTTTATGTGCAAGTTTTAGGGAAGCATTGTGTTGTTTGCTTCCCCTTGCCGCTTAGCATCACCTTGTTGCATATTTTGAGAAACTATTTAACTATTTTGCATGGTATAGGGTAGAGTAGGTATGTCCTGTTTGGAGTAGGGACTAATTCCGCGTTTCTGGCTTCGTGCCACGACTCCCTCCTAACGTTAGCTTGACAAGTCCACGAAGAACGTGTGCATTTGCCACCCCAAGGGCATGCAAATCTGGATACCCTTTCCATGGACTATGGGATCTGCCAACGGTGAAACTTGCCATCATAAATCGTACTCGTCGTGTACAGTCGTAGGGTAGTACAGGTGCGTTGATTTGTTCCTTTTTTTAGTGTTGGCACAACCCCGGCGCTCCGGCTCCCTGCATCACGCTGGCATTGCACCACCATAATTCCATTTTTCCGGCAACATCGCATATTTTTTGGCCGCGGCAGGAAACGGTTCTGATTCGCAGTAGTACGGGGAACAACAATCGCATGCCATGTAAAAAAAACATACTTTGAAGCATTTATACATATCTGTGTATAGTCTATTTTAGTTAGTGTGCTCGGACCACATGGCTTCTAATCATACAACTGCTTTTGAGAGCCCTTACTCTTGTTCCCGCTTGAAAGCATGCCCTGGATCAGTGCAGGTCTGGGATTGTTTGTCACACGATGTGTGTATGTATGCCTTTTGACGGCTCACATGCCAGTCTTCTCCCCTCACCCTAGGTGTCATGAGCAATGTACAATGTATTATATACCTCCAAACGTTTCTAAGCACTTGCAGACTCCATTGCAGCCACTCATACAAGTTGACAAACATTAGTTGAATGTTTTTACCCTGAGGATGGGCCATGCCCGAAAATTTGGTGAATTCAATTATTATTGATTTATTTTGAAGTGATGTGTGCAGCGAAGAGACCGTATTTGGAAAGTTCGAGTTGAGTTGAGGTACCCTATTATACCTGCAAGTACTTGTATAATATTATGGAAGCCAACATAATTATGCTCCCATGAAGATGATCCTGTTTTCTGAAGTACTGATTTCAATTGTCTTGATGAGAAATGGACCCTCTTGCCGATGGACAGGTATTGTGTTGAAACTTCAATAGAGAATTTTGATTTTAGTGGCGTTCTTTTCTTTTCAAACGTGCAATCTGTATGAAAGGCATTGGACTTAGAGGGGAGGGCAACATCAGTTGTACCATCTGTGTGGCCACGTGACTTTTCCTGTACCAGTAGTGAACTTTCCAGACCGCAGGGGCGTCGGACGGTATTCGGCATTGGCGTGGCCGCATGAGTATGTATGGGGAGGGGGAGGTCTCCCCCAGGGAGATTTTTTTGGGAAATTGGGCCCAAATAGCCCATATTTCATTGCTTCAAAAGTCACAAGATGAAATTATTGGTGCGGCTTTGGCCAGACCTGCCGCACCGGTTCCGACGCCCCTGTGGCCTGTTTCTGGGAGGAATACATCACCCAGAGTCTGCACCTCTGCATAATTATGCAGTCTGTCCAGCGGAATTTGTCATTGTGAATGAGTCGTGCAAGCTGCAATTACTGATTGTGCTATGTACTGTTCTGTCCCCGGGGAAAATTGCGGAAAAAAATCGCAAAAAAACGCGGGGAAAAACGCGGCATAATATGGCATAATTTGCGGTGAATTTGCGGTAAATATGCGGTGAATAATATTGATGTGCGGCAATTTTCAGTGAGTATGTAGTGAAATCAATCAGTTACAAGTCTCTGGTGTAAGCACTCGTCATATTTGAGTAAAAAGCCGCCACGATGAGACGTTGCTGACCGAACAGTACACTGTGTGTACGTGTAGTGCAACAAAAAAGTTCAAAAAACGCGGGAAAATCGCGGAAAACGCGGTCTTTTAAAAAATCGCAAAAATCGCGGAAAAAAACGCGGCCACGGAATTGCAATTTTCCCCGGGGACAGACTGTTGCACTGTGTCAATACGATCTGTGACATCAGTGTTGCCACATGCATTGACATCAATGAATAATCATGCAGATTGCAGAATGATGTAAGCAACAAACTGCGCCGCTTTCCCCACGGCTGACAGACTTGCAAACTCTGGTGGATGTATCCTCCTGCATGTAGCCAGTACCCTGTGTTGCAACTTGCTGTAGCAAAGTGGGCGAGAGGAGGCAATGCACACTTCAAACCGATCAAACGAGTCGTGTAGCATCAATTTATGATCCTCACTGGTGGATTTTATGACTTCCATTGGGTTTGTACTAGTCTGTATGCTGTGACATAGCACTATTCTCAATCATCATTCACCGGTCACGTGACAAGTCGCTGCAGCTGCAGGCATATACAACCAGGGTGCAGCAAAAAGGGCCGGTTTCAGCTCTCTCTGCATACACCTAATGCCCTGTCTTTGTAAGCAAATACATGTCGATCTCATGTAGTAAGGCAACACTGCCTGTTTGTTCTTTGACATTAAATAAACCAATCCATGTGCCGTGCCCTGACAATACGCACATGCTGCACATACATGTGCATAATGATACCAGTTCAGGTTAGCACAATCATGTTGCGCCCACATTTGATGAAGATATAATTGACGAGTAGACATCTCTCTATTGTTGTAATAATGCCAGGGTAAAAATGAATGGGCCATGACACTGGTTTCATAAGACCGTTTTCTAACTTTCCACCATAAAGTATTTCGTGAATTGACAAATTTCCAGACATGTACGGTCTCATATTGGCAAGAAATGGGTGCTACCTGCAAAGGGCGGATGATGATCAACGTTGCCGGGCCAGCAAGGATGTGATATCAAGATCAAGGCTTCCAAGGGAAAGACTATAATAGGGAAGTGTGTAGGGCGAAATCAGTGTGGAAATACACTCTCAAGGGAAACCCATCAGCGAAAAGCCACCTCCATGGATATGATACTAAAATTTAATAGAGAGTGGGGGAGGGGGGGGGGGAGAGAGAAGGTGGATACAATCCATATTGTCGATGTCTGCATGCAGCCACTAATCAGCTGCCACGTTCTCAGGCGAGTCTGAAACATCCCTCAAATGGGTCGAGTCACGGTCAAAGATTGCCAATGGCGGCCCGATGTACACAGTTTCACAACTTATACCCCGTGCCTTTGTCACCTCCTCCTGTGAATGTTGCCTTGTTGGGCGGCGTACCACTTGATCAGTATGCTCCCCCGGCGCGCACACGGAAGAATCACTCAGCAAGCTGACCTCATCCAAGTCCAACGTGTCGTCCGGCAACAGTCTTGCCCGATTACTGAGACTATTCACCTTGCTCATGTAGCTACGTCGATCTGGCACACTGTTAGAGCGACTCAGGCGAACGACCCGATCCCTGCTCTCATCCATGTCATCGATGCTCTCAATAATATTCGTGGATGAGATACTCCGTTGTTTGGGCGGCAGTGGCAACGTCAGGCACTTCCCAGCGTTAGATGTAGCCATTCGAAATCGCCGCATCTCGGGGTGGCTAGGCAGCTGGGCAGCATCGGGAATTTCAGCAAACTCCACAAATGCTGATGGTTTCATGTCCGTCATTTCCCCAAAGTCGTCATCATTCAACAAGTTGTCACTCAGCAGCTGTGAAGGACTATTGCGGCCAGGTTTAGGAGGTCGGACCGGTGGTCCGTGCGAGATACCTGCTACCGGTGTGCCTTCCTGTTGTCCGGGGGTTCCATCAAGTTCCAACGTATTACCTGGTGTTGCCAGAACTGTTGGTGTGTCTGGTCCCGCTGGTAAGAACACGCTGCTGCTATTAGAATAGGCCAGGTCATCAGGCGGACCATCAATGCTGGAATATGGTGTTAGCATTCGGTCATGGCCTTCGACCGATACCACTGAGCCGGACCATTCAACAGCTGACCCATTTCCACTGGCTGGAGTTGGTGATGGGACGATGTGCAAACTGGATCTCTCCGGTACCAACGAATCCCGCCGATGAGGTTCTCCATCCGGGTTGGAACCTTCAAGCAGTGCACAGTGGCAAATGGAGCAGGCAAAACACAAACAATAAATGGGCACAAATTCAGCAAAACCCTTGGTGTGTACCAGATATACGTGTACACTTCAATCTGTCCTGTCCCGTCCCATCCACCTCATACCAACCCATACTCATTCACATGCATGTGTCAGGGTTCTAGCCAGGTAAAAATAGCAGGGGGGGGGGGGCATGGGAAACAGTTACCTTGTAACCCATTTTTGCATTTTCCAAAATTGTCTTGTCTTGCCATGCAAAATGCAATGCATGGGGCGAACCCCCGACTTCACCAGTAGTGACTATCGACTGCTTTTTTGTTGTTGAATGTCATGAAGAAACACAAAATCGACAAATGAGTAGGGGGGGGGGGGGCACTTTCTCACAGAGGGGCGCTCGATCAGAGCAGGAGGGCGCGCCCCCCCCCCCCCCTCCCCTGCCCTCCTTTGGCTAGACTGACCCTGTGTGTGCTACAGCAATGTACCAGAACATGCACCATGCACAGGAACGTGCACAGACGGTCACGTACTGATGGATGACGGCGCTCTCTGTCTACTGTGATGAATGAACGTGCTGGTGGTGTTGGTGACAATTTCTTCGCCCCAGTCCAGGTTGTAGTGCAGTGCTGCCTTGATAGCCTTCACCAGCAGTCCAACACACTGGCAGTGCAGGCTCAGATCGATCGACATGCCCAGCGGTGACTGGGGCGATTGGGCAATGGACAGCCACAGCTGTTTGACGTCGAAGCGTTGACCTATGGAGTAGATACTGGTCAGTGTGACCTGGTCCACACAGCACGGACACCGCAAACAATCAGAAGTAACAATCCGTGATTGTGGAAACAGAACAGATATGCATCATATGCTTGTGGAGAGAGGGGGGGGGGGGTGAGAGAGAGAGAGAGAGAGAGAGAGAGATAGAGAGAGGGGTGGGGAGGAAGAGAGAGGGGAGATCGAGAGGGAGAGGGAGAGAGAGGAGGGGGGGGGGGTGAGGAGAGAGAAAGAAAGCGGCTGTAATGCCGGGCCATGGCTGTCAACCTCAACGTTTCTCTCAAGTAATTTTGCCACTTGTTTCCAAATTTCCATGTTAAATTTATTGAAGGACTGAACTTGACGGGCTCGGGGTTAACCAACGATACGCATGCTAGGACTAACGCATGCACCAGCTACCTACCTCATACAAGGGAACCATGCTTAGCGGATGCAGGAGCCGGATGCACAGTGGACGGGGCTTTGCCGGCGTAATTACCAGAAGGGCATGTTGTTGTGCAACAACTCGCTGGTGAGATGGTACTCGGACGTGATAGAGACTTGGAATTTCTCCATCTAGCGGCAGCAACAAAAGATAATAATTTGCCGGGGTTAGATGGGGGTCATGAACTCTTGGAAACCGCTGCGCAACAAGGTTTCAAGGAAAGTACTATGCCAGTCATTCGACTCAGCACTGCGCAAAGGATTCACCAGTACTCATGGCTAATAGCTGTACTTTCATAGACCGGCAAAAGAGCAGTGGTTTGCCCACAGGTCTGGACTGAATGTACTGGACCTGAACTCTACTGATCTGCCAACCACGGGGATACGATATGGGTCATGGTATTAAAAAAAAAAAAGATACCAGAGTAGTGGCCAAGCAACTCACCGTTACAAAGGCATAGTGCAAGAGCAGACTTCAATGTGGCCACCCACTCGACTAGGTCCTCACTGTACACGAACCGTATGCACTGCTTGACGAGGCGTTGTGCGGCAAAGAACAGCGACTGGCTTTTCACCAATGCTTCGATCACACATGCATACGTTGTGTGCTGGCCCCTAGACTCCAGGACCCGCTCGTTAACTTGCTGGATAGCAGTAATATCCTCCAGATTGATAACTGCTGGTGGTAAACTGTCTTCGGAGATCCTCCGCTTGCCCTGGGTGAGAGACTTGCGATCGAGCTGCGTCACAAGCACATAAGGTCGTTGTTGGGTCGGCCTGTCTTCCAGATCTGAAAACAAAGGGGAAAGCAGGAAAGGAAATCAGTATACAGAAAACTGAGGAACTCCTGCGTGTACTGTCCCAGCAGCACCCCCCCCCCCCCCCCCCCGCCCTGCAACTTACTGTCTACCAAAGCATGGCATATCCTGGTACATGTGTACACATTGATCAGTCTTATCCGTAGAAACTGAGTACGGTAATGCACAAGGTGTGAGTTTCCATGCATCTCAAGTTCTTAGTATTCCTCTACCATAGCGACGACAGCATGCACAACAGGAGCATGCAATCTGTTTCATCCAACTACAAGTATTAGTTGGCTCATACCTGTGAATCCTAAGTCACTGCCAACTCTCTCCAGGGAGAGCGTACACTTTTCTCGCCATAGGCAATCCTGAAGTACCGCTGTGTAAGGTGCCTGTGGTCACAGTTAGACATATGGGTCACAAGGCAGCACCACAGGTCAGCTAACAATGACAGCATATGAGCCATACTCACTGTGACAGCATATGAGCCATACTCACTGTGACTCGCCATGACTCGCCACGGATGTAATATCAATGGGGACACAGCAGTAACCTATTTCACCCAGCCACAGAGGCCATAATATGCATAGGGGACGGAACTCCACATACCCCCCCCCCCCCCCCCCAACACACACACACGCACCCCCCCCCCCCCCCCCCCCGACGCACATGTGCCACGTGAACTCGCTACTTTTACTTCACTCAGTCAGTCTCGATGGACTCTTTGGGCAACTGGTTTTAGAATGTCAAGTCAGTTCGGTGGCTGTACCGCTTACCATTGCATCACTCGGCAGCATGAGGATATCAACTGTAACCTGGTGGATGCATTGCTGCTGGATGGGCTTGAGTGGCGAGCCGTCGTCAGTACTCATCTGCCAACACCAGTTAGTGCACACGCATAGTATAGTATACATGGATCAGTCACTTCCTACCATAGCCGGTTCCAGCTCACGTACCGGTATGTACTGTACTCATTCAGGGCCGTAGCACCCAATCCGGCCAATTCGGCCATGCAGCAATTCGATAAGGGCTCCCCCATTTGGCTGGATCACCTGAAATCCCAGTGCTACAGCCCGATCATTTCACCTACTCGACTTGAAGACATAACATTGCCAACACTATTATTTTTATAAGTGATTCAGTGTGTGTGTGTGGGGGGGGGGGGGGGGGGAGGTATCATCAACGAGCTAAAATCCATAGGAGAGTGCATTGTTTAATTTGTTAGTTAGGCCGATGAATCGCATGGCTCTCAACAAGCACTAGTTTCTGCCTGGGAATTATCTGTGCGTACATGAAGCTCTGGATATGTTCAACGTGTCCGCCACCCCAAGTAATAGTTATGTGTGTTTTCGTCCATCAACATGGAACTAATTACTTATGTACCAGTACTTGGACGTACATGCACATGTATGCCAAACCAGCCTATGGCGAACAAAATTGTTGACAGCCCCAACTCATCTGGAGTACAGAAAGAAAGAACTAAAACACGAATATGGATCCAGATCCACTACAATAACTGCAGTAGCGTACAGCCATGCAGCGATCAGTACATTCTACATGACAGTGTAGTGTGCAAACCTTCGCTTCAGCAAAACCCCAAAGCCAATCTCCCAAAGGCATTTTTCAGGAGAGTTGTTCGCCTAGCGGTACACCAGGTGCACTGACTGTCGTGTACAGTGCAGCACGAGTACGGGCAATGCTTATCCATGCACGACGTGACAAGGCAATGGGTTCTGACTTACCGGTGAACTACTGATTCCAAGGCTGTTGGTCAAAGACTTCTGCAATTTGGAGGCCCAAGAAACTCGGCTGTTGGTACTGCAGGAGAGAGATGATGGGTTGGTCGGTGTGGAACCCACCGCCGGTACCTGGCTTTCGCGCCTGGTAGTACTAGTAGTGACATTGCGGAGTGGAGGCGTAGTAGTTGCATTCATTCCACTTTTAGTTTTACGGCCTAGCTGTTGCCTTGGCACGATCGAGTGAGCGCGTGCCGGGGGTGAGCCCTACTGCTTGCGCGCTAGTGCAGTGGCGCGTGTACGGGTGCGGACAGAGCTGCTCGATCTAGAACTAGAAGGCTGTGACTGTGTGGAATGGGTAGGGACGAAGCTCAGCAGCGAGGGATGGGTGTTCCAGTGCAGTGCGTCTAAACAGTAGCAAGTGTGAAGAGGGTACAGACCGCCGAATCTTGTTCAAGACCACTTCAACTCCAAGGGTATCTTGATGACAAACATCGCTTCCACTCACGCTACAATCCAGCCAGCGAGATCCATGTAGATGGTCGCCCTGTTTTCTTCACCTCCAGACTCAATCTTCATCATTCTTTATTATCTTGGTAGCCAAAGCCAGACCTAAAGACGACTGGACAAGGCGCTAGTGAGGTTTGGTCCAAAAGCGGTGCACCGGTGGAGTCTACGGTCATGGATCACAAAGCACTGAGGAGTAGATCTACTGCACTGGTAATACGTCGTGTGCTGCCCAAGCAGGGAATGGACGGCTGAATACCAGACTTCCACAACTAACTACTTCACAGGGGATACAAAACAGTACAGCCATGTAATGTTCCTTGTTTGTGCCTGTGGCCTGCGAACCTTGGAGTAGTGAGCTCCTGGTCGACCGGTCGGGTCCCGTGATGTTGAGAATCGCAAAGAATGTCATAGCTGACATTGACAGTCGGCTACATGACTTGTAGTCTTGTTACATCTCCGGACCGTATTCAAGGTATTACCACCATTGCGGGCACCATGATTACCGTGATCGATCAGCTCAGCAGCCAGTGCCACGACAGTGACGACACATGCCACAGCCTAGGCACGAGCAGTGCAGATCCGATTCTAGCTCCGTCAGATCATGCAGACGCCAAGGCAAGATTATCGGATCCAGTGCCACCATACACGTGCGAAACTCCTTCAATCGATCAGGATACCGGTACCGGTATGATTCTATGACAGTATGAGTATGAATGCCAAGTGTATTTTAAAAAGGAATTATTTCGACCTATGCTGGACCTTGGGCTGTTGGAGAGCTAGCGCTAGGGTGCTGGGGTAGACCGTCTACGGCTCCCTGTACTGCTGCTGTACTGGCCTGGACACACAGACGATGCCTAGACATTGCAGAACTGAGAAGAATCGCACTCTTTATCGTCCCTCACGTTCGAAGCACAATATCAATGAACGACAGCTTCGAGCTCATGAGTCATGTGTCGGTCCTTGCCTACAGCTACCCACACATACAATTGTGGATAGCTGATCATCTTCAATCCGAGCGGTAACAAAAGATATGTGACCGTGTGCGGGAGTCAGCTTCCCTGATCAGCATGATTATGGCACCGCTACTGGCGCTAGGTGGTACAGTCCTGCTAGGAGCTAGCTACTGCCCCCCCCCCCCAAACTAGGGCTCATGCGTAGCCTGATTAGATGGGAGGATACGTGGGACGGAGTGCCGTTTGCTAGGAGAAAATAGCAATCCTGTATCCGGGATCCACAGCTGACATTGCACATGTTTTCAAGACACACAGAGTGACACATGCGCTGAAGAAGCCGAACTTCCGGAGTTCCGCCATACCACTGAGAAACCGTGCTTGGTCCAACACTGAGTACTGGCAGTGACGCAGATCAGATAGACATAACTAACGTGACACACACAATCACAGTCGTGTAGGATTGTAGCCTCCTAGCCTTGTACTCTGTTACCATGGTTACTGTAGCCTGGCCCTAGCCTAGGGCCAGTAGGGGCTAGGCTGGGGACTCAGTTATAAGTGGGGAGTTCCTCCCCACAGTGCGTGGTGGGCCCATGCCATACCATGCATGGGGTAGACTGGAGGAAATGGACAAGGAGGAAGCCTTCGGAAACGGCAGACGCAGCAACCAGAGAATCAAGAGAAGGAAAACTGCCCCCCCCCCCCCCCCCCCCCACTTGCCCAAGCCACCGGTAAACACACATGAGAAAACTAACGGTCATTAGTCGAAGAGTGTGAAGTAAGTTCAATAGTCCATAATTATGGACTATTGGTAAGTAACTTGCATGCTACTACAGTAGGCACCAAAGTTAGGATTTTCAGCCAGGGAGGCGTTGTCCAACGCACACCGCAACTCCACCCAATGTCTGTTGTTGTCGGATAACATCAAGACTCAAGAGTATACTTTGCATTGCATGTGCAAAAAAATGCAAGCGACAGTGCTCAGCTGTATACATGTACTTGACTCCTGGTCCACGTAGGGACTGGACATAATTAATATTTATTTACACAAACGGTTCATTTTTTCCTGACTCAACATGAACTTTGAGAAACAAAGAATATCAACACGCACGGATAACAAACAGGACTAGAAAGGAGTACTAGTACATGCACCGTAAAAAGAAAGCAAAGAACAAGGTGACCAGCACCTTGGTCCAGCAGTGGCAGCAGGACGCAGACATGACAGAATAATAACAATAGAAAGGCTACCTAAAGCTGCAGCGCACTACCACCCTATCCTAAAAATAAATACTGAGTGTGGCAACGAAACAACCCAAACCATCATGAATCAAATAAGAAAGAGTGCTCGCCGGGATAACATAATTTTTGACCACCAGGCAAACATGCAGCCAGGCGAGCAACAAGAAATACGGATCTCAAATTTCAAGTCACATGGATGTGATAATAGAAGAGTACTATATTACTGTGATAAATTAATACGGATGGAAACATTTTTATGAACGTGACTAGCACCAGGGCTGAGGCAGCACAATATGAAAGGCTGGCCAGTGAGGCAGTAAGTTGCGTGCAGTACTAACAGGCAAACGTACCAGTACTGGTAAGACGACGTGTCACCTATAGCGAAGACTGTGCAGTGTTGCCACATCATTATAGCCAAATATCAGTAGGATGAAAAAATAAAAATGCATCATCCGGGGGCTTTGCCCCCGGACCCCCCCCCCCCCCCCCTCCTTCATAGTAACCCCAATACACAGATACACAGACACACACGGGCGCGAAACTGTTAAGAAAACCTTTCACGGCTTTGCATGAGACTCAGGCTGAGTTTGCCGATTTTCCCCAGGCAGCTGATGATTCGCTTAGCACCTTAGGAGAGAGCTATGGAAACACGCGTGATGAGCAGTAATAGCCAAAAATCTGGACCATGACTTCTAAACCAAGCACAAGGGCAAACTTGGATACTTTCATGGCTGTTGTCAGCAGGAGAAGGTCAATTGTCAGCAGGTCATTACAGGCCTCAAAAATCGGCAGGCTACTGACATGTCGGCAGGTGTGGCGACACAGACTGTGTCACATCAACCTGGCGACAGTGTTCGTTTACAACTTGATTGAAGCCATCGAATCCGTACACATGGTGGTTGGCATCAGGTAAAACAGTCACATCCACACGACTCTTCCCTAGAATCTCACGTGTCTTCTCGCCCGGTACACTGTCGTTCCAGGATCGCTCGCCGTAGATGAACGAGACATTGAGGCCGTCGGGCACGTCGCCGATGCGCTCTAGCATTGGGTTGGTCGCAAAGCCCATGTTCTTGCTCATCAGGCTCTTCATGGCGAGCTCGCCGCTTGGCTGCTGGGCATTGCAGTGGTACATGTACTCCAGCATGGTAGTGTCAGGGTACAAGTCGGAGAAGACGCGCTGCAAGTCGGGACGGGCGCGTTGCATCAAACCAGGACCTGCCGGCAATCAAAAGAAAGAACATAGCACTGATTTAGAAACATCTCTCTCAGAGAGTACACATGAGACACTAACAAAACGACCGACTACAGTCCCACAAAGTCAAGATAATTTGCTACGTCCTCTGCTATAGTTATGTCTGTACCATGAATGGTGATCGCCAGGCTGCCCGTACATGGTTTCATTCACGACAAGAAGCTGTACTATACTAGTAGACTGGGGAAATTCCAGCAGCAATGCACACTAACAGCACACAGCACTACTACGACATACAACAATCAGCTTGGACTCACCGAAAGGGCCAGCTGCACGTAGAATGCCAAGCGGGCTGACCCGAGCGCCAACGAACGAAAAGAACTTGTAACGGATTGGATAGGTCCGCTCAAATTCGGTGCCCTCAACAGGCCGCACAGCCATTCCCCACGGATCAGCCAGAATTAGATGCTTGACGAACCCAGGATACTTGAAGGTATACGAGAGTGAAATGAAACCACCTAGGCTGTGGCCGAGCAGGATGAACGAGTCGAGCTCCATCTTAGCTCGCCATTGCTCTAGATTCTCAACAAACTGCTCTTCTGCCTCGTCCGGCTCGGTACTGAACTCTGGTCGATCACTACGGCCGAAACCAACCTGGTCTAGAGCATACACTGTTCTCTTCTCAGCTAGCTCGTCAATGTTTTTAGCCCAGGTGCCGATGGCTGCTGCAAAGCCATGCACAAGAACAAGTGGCTCCTTGTCGGGAAACTGGCCACGGTTCACAACCATTGTGCGCACACGATGACCATTGTCCAGTTCCACAAAGGACACCTCCACGTCAGACTTCAGCACTGCAGGGAACAGATAGACATGAAGGATACAACATATTCAAATCCATCTCCATTTCTCATGCTTGTTCGACCCTCAGGATTGCAGTGGGTGTGCATCCATCTTGAAGCTACACTTATTACTTCAAAGTTCAACATAGTGTGCCACATAAAATAAACATTACCCAGAGAAGAAAGGCTAAGCTACATGTCTTGCCTGTGGAGCTGGACCACAACAGTGTACATGACTGTACTACATATCCATGCAGCACAGGGGACCCACTAAATACTGCAGAACATGTAATTCTAGGAACTTAGAAGTTGCGACTTCGGCGGTATTAGTCATGAAGTCGGTTGCTCCAACGAGGAACACACGCTTCTTGCCGAACTTGACACTTGACTGACTCACGACTGTTCGGTAAGAAGCGTGTGTTCCTCGTTGGAGCAACCAACTTCATGTAATCTTAGGTGTGCTAAAATTTCGGTGTCAGGGCCCTGCCAGGTTTCAGGTGTAATGTAAAATTAGGTGACCAGCCCACCCTTCATATACAGTGCATACGCTAGCGCCTTTTAGGTGGAATCTAAATTTAGGTGCCTGGTTTCTCTACGAAATTAAAGTTACACCGAAAATAAAGGTGTTATACAGTAATGGGACATGGAGAAATGCTAGGGAAGTGCCATCTGCTTGACGCTGACCAAAGCTGCACTACACTTAGTTTAGATAACAGCGATCTCCAACATAACTAGGTCATAGTCACTCATACTAGTACTAGTACTACATGAAGTAGATGTAGTACTGGTGGCCAGCAACACGATTAGCACTGTAGAATCAACAAGGATACCAACACCCACCCTGTACACAGTAACAGTTGCCACCAGCAAACAATTTTTAAATTATGCATCAGCATGAGTGCAGACTGGGTCTGGGACAGGCTGACATAGTCATTGTCAATTTGTACACTGCTGTTCCTGCCTGTTACAGTACAAGTGGCCACTTTCCCCACACAATCAGCACGTGCCCAGTGTCAAGTGCACACACTGCAGGTCACATCCAAGGATTGCCCATGATAATGGAGCCTCCAGTGGAATGGAGGGACTCGTCGTACGGAATTCTTGCACGTTTACTGCTGTGAGAAGCAGCAAGATGCATTTGCCTGCATACCGTAGCACTGCTGCGCACACTTGTATAGTACTGCAGTCCATAATTATTTATTTTCACATTATCATATCAGTCCAACTGCATAACTGCGTGTAAACTCTAACCAGCAGAGAGAGAGAGAGAGAGAGAGAGAGAGAGACAAGGGGCGGGGGTTGTAGCAATGAAGCACAGCACGCTAAACGTCCGTTTGCCCTTACCAGATAGAACCTTGTGCTCAGCGTCCTCTAGATGACCGTCTGAGGAGGGCACCCACCATCCACCAGTTCTCGTGCCGCTATTCGAAGATGACGACATACTGCCGAGTCCAATCGCCGCTAACGCACTAGCGGCCACCAACAGACCTGAAAGGGAACCAGCAAAACACGAAAGTAACAATTGCTTGGGCTGTCAGCATATTTACACTCAGTTACAAAACACATGACTGTAATGAATGATTGACTGATATGCAGCCCACTGAGTGCCAGGACCGAGAACAGACCTGCTTGAAAAAGGACGTTCCCCAGACTACAGTACAAGTTCTGTACCTATGAGTCTATGCCTTTGATCTGACCAGGGAGTTAAAGGGGAAGTTAAGGCAAAAATTAAAATTTCACCAGTTGTAGTCTTCGGGGTGCTGAGTCGAATGGTCTTGGTCCGAGGAAGCTGAGACGCTCCCTTCCTACTTGAATCCCAATCGAACTCGCGCACTTCCACCGAAACTGGGTGACTGCGCCCTACTAGATGGGGATTTGTATGCAAAATGTCACTAAAAGCGCCATTTCGTTCTTATAAAAGCACGGATGACCGCGATTGGCCCATATGTTGTAGTCTTTTGGACGCTGAGTCGACTGGTTTTGGTCCGAAAAGGCTGCGATGCGGCGTTCCTCCTTTATTCCCAATCGAACATGGTTGAAGAAGCGGTCACGTGCTCCTGCGTACACCAGTCAGCTGGTCACCGTGCCTGCAGGGTACAACTTACTAGCCTGTTTGACCTTTTTTGGGTGCAGTCCTGTCACTCGAGTTGAACTCGAGTTGAACCTTGGTGTGAAAGTTGTCACCTGCTGGCGTGGTGACCAGGTGATTTGGGCACCCAGGACCACGTGACCGCTTCTTCAACCATGTTCGATTGGGAATAAAGGAGGAACGCTGCATCGCAGCCTTTTCGGACCAAAACCAGTCGACTCAGCGTCCAAAAGACTACAACATATGGGCCAATCGCGGTCATCCGTGCTTTTATAAGAACGAAATGGCGCTTTTAGTGACATTTTGCATACAAATCCCCATCTAGTAGGGCGCAGTCACCCAGTTTCGGTGGAAGTGCGCGAGTTCGATTGGGATTCAAGTAGGAAGGGAGCGTCTCAGCTTCCTCGGACCAAGACCATTCGACTCAGCACCCCGAAGACTACAACTGGTGAAATTTTAATTTTTGCCTTAACTTCCCCTTTAATACATGTACCGAGTCCCTGGATCCATGACCATACCAGGTCACTTCCAAAAAACCTTGGCATCGTACGACACCGTACATGATTTACACACAGAACCAAAACAGCACGACGTCATGTCCTCACACTCACGAAACTGCTATACTAGCCAGCACTAAAAGAAAGTTTCTGAAAATCTTGCGTAGAGCCTACTGCTCAGCTAGCTCACTCACCAGAACGAAGAATTTTCTTTTTCGGTGCCACGGACGCACTCGTATGTGGTGCGTGCCGAGGAGGGAAGTTAGAGCTAACTACTGGCCGTTCGGCTACCTTTCGACTTGAAACGCTGCTCGCTGTTCTGCACTGGAGCACTGATCCAGTTGCGGAAACAATCCTTAGTGTTCGTCTCATCAGACACACCTCTACAAAGTCTTCTACTTCTGCACCAAAACAAGTTCCTTGGAAGAGTTTTATAAGACTTGCTGGATCGAGACATGTGATATTTTGTCACGAATTGAGCGGTCCTAGGCATCCACTACATCTGTCCTGTCCATCAAAAGAATGTCTGCGGCCTCTCCCGGGCAAGTGGCATCCATCCCCTATTTCACACACAACTAAAGTAACCGATCGTCTAGAATATTCGATAATAATCATGATACATTATGCATCAGCATGCGTTACGAAATTCGAAACTTCGAGACTACCGGTAATCACTACGTCACAGCTCGTGCCGTGTGAATCGTGACGTAATTGTGACGTGTTTGACATGTCGATATGCAGCTGAGCTCGTCTCACTCTCAGCACGACACTCGAGTCTCGAGTCGATGTAACGATGTTCAATCAAACTCAAAGACGATCATGCAGTTCTGCCCTCCAGCTCGAGTACTTATCATGCAGACCAGGGACTCGGTCTAGTAATCAAGACAAGAGTACATAACATGATGTACTCTTGACGTACAGCCTCATCTCAGTACAGGTCAGACCTCAATAACGTACGAAATGTGAATGTCCCTGCCGAAACCGCATAACTTCTGTACAAAATCTCCTCGCTATTATCATGATTATAACATAATACGCAAAACAGCGGAGGCCAGTTTCTCGCACTAGTAAGTAAGCATTTCCCCAAGAACGCCAAACTGCGAAAGCTCTTCAACAGAAACACCTTGAAAGTCGGCTATAGCTGCATGCCTAATATGGAAACGTGGATCAACGGCCACAACAAGAAAATAATGCAACCGAAGCACGAGAGAGTCCCCTGCAACTGCCGAGTCGCCGCATCTTGTCCACTGAAAGGTGAATGCAAGTCGACCAATGTGGTGTATGAGGCTGAAATAACGTCGGACAGTGCCCTGAAGACATACACCGGAATGTCGGCACCGGATTTCAAGTCCAGGTATGGCAACCATATGACGTCGCTGCGCCACGAGCGGTACGCAGCAAATATGGAGCTGGCAAAGTATGTCTGGAGCCTAAAATGCCAGAATAAGGCCTACAAGATTGGCTGGTCCATCAAGGAACGTGCACGGGCTTACACCAATGTCACCAAACGTTGCAACTAATTACTTATGTATCGCGGAGAAATACCGCTTCAGCATATCCAATCGCAGCACCTCCCTCAACAAGCGAACGGAGCTCGTGTCAAAGTGTAGGCACTCTGCCAATTTCCTGCTTGGTAGGCACGGAGTCACGTGACTTGCAACCACATGGCACGCGACAGCTATTTGCACCCGTCTGCAGCCCTTCTGATTATGGGTGTAGTATCTTGCACATAGCCTCGCTTGACGTCGCGTCATCATGGTCATTTCATCTCCTCACCTATTCTAAAGCACCTATAGCCACCACAGCGCGTAGAAATTTGCACCTTGCACCTGTTTGTTGGTACATTGAAGGGCATCTCCCCTCCTCCAACTTATTTGAAGCGCTTACCAAAGTGTGCGGCATCTTGCACCTGCATGATTGTGATTGCAGGCAAGCCACGTTATCATTCTTTCACACAGCCTTGCTTGCCTTCCTGCCATATCATATTTCTTTTCTCACTCACAGACTATGGGAGTTTGGCACATTTTCCCTCCAGGACTTTTTGCACCCACCAGACCTCAAACCTTCACAGATTCCTTCCTATGCCACTGTATAAATACCATACTAGCTGTGCATCCTGTTATCAGTTGTCTGAAGATTGCCATCTGGCATGAAACTATTATTGTAGTGACAACAATCCAGACGCGTGGTACTCAGTGACTCGTGTGTTACCATGGTTACTGCTCTGCTTCCGCATTGAGCACTCGATCGAACCGGAGGACTCCGCTCTCTGCAATCCGCTATAGCGTAAGTTTCGCTATAACGCACTGTTTGCTGGGTCCCGGGCGCACGGACACCTCAGCATAACGTAAAAAGTCGTATAAAAATGACGTTTAGGCTGCCACTGCACTATGTAGGTAAAAATATACGCATGTACTATAAATGCCGCTTTTTGGTATAAGTCGTCAAGGACACATATGGGAAATCTAATACGATCCATATACATGTATGTTTCAGCAAGTCGCGGACCCTGTACATGTATACGGTATGTATAAGCAGCTTTTTCCTTCTGTACCGTATCTTTTGAATTTCATGCACCTCACCTCATATGACGTGTTTTGGCGGTTGGGCTGGAAAATGCATATACACGTACAACTTGCAGTGTGGCTGCTGGCTGTAATAATTATACAGTACACATATTTTCACCTTTTACACGTACATATACATGCGTATATTTTTCACCTAGTGCGGTTGGAGCCTTAGGCCGTCATCACACTGCGTTCTCTGACTTCCGTTCACGTCTACGTCTATGGAGAAAAATCCAAAACGGGTGGTCGTGTCATCAAGCAGGCACAGTTCTTGACCCGTACACGCGGTCACATTTTTCGAGAAATTTGAAGATTCATGCGCAAGTACATGTATGAGGTTGCTTGGAAAAAGACTGGGGGAGATACGCACGTTCATCCCCCCCCCCCCCCCCCCCTCCCTACCACGTCTACGTTTCCTATGCTCCCGTTTTCACCCCGTACATGGATCATCATGACAACCGACCAAAAACTCCTTATAGGCGATTCACACGACAGTCAAATCCACGTGCACCGGACCGTTGCTATGGTATTTCACCTGTGAACGAGAAAAGTGGCTTGCCAAAGTCTCAGCGTGAATCATTCATGCATACTTTACATCTTTCAAAGCATTCATCTAGGGATTGAGTTGAATCTTTTACACAACCTTGTTACATCTGCCTTGAGTTTCTTTGGATTAGACTTTTTTCCAATTTTCATTTTGATTTCATCGTCGAGTTTCATCCCTGTATCTTTGGTGTTCTTCCTTCTTTCCTTGTCGTATTGTTTGAATAAACCCGTTTTGACTATCAGAAAAGTGGCTGAAAAGTGCAAGCGAGCAGGGCCCACTTTCACGATAATCGTGGCATGCACGAGTACATTTACACCAAAAAAGCGCGAAACAAGACTTTGATTTTTTACGCGGCTCTTTTCAACATGATTATTATGGTATGCATGTTTTGAAAATTTGAAAGACCCATGGCTACTGGTGGGTGAAGCATTCAAAAATGCAAACGTACCTGTCGTCGAGTGCAGCCACCAAGAAGTGGCACTTGCACGTTTTACAGGGAGTGATATACGAGAAAAGTGACTGTGTGGATTCACACGGCTGCACTTGACGACAGGCACGTTTGCATTTTTGAATGCTTCACCGACCAGTAGCCACGGGTATTTCAAATTTTCAAAACACGCATACAATAATTATCATGTTCTAAAGAGCCGCGTAAAAAATCAAGTCTTGTTTCGCGCTTTTTGGTGTAAATGTACTCGTGCACGCCACAATTATCGTGAAAGTGGGCCCCCTGCTCGCTTGCACTTTTCAGCCACTTTCAGCCACTTTTCTCGTTCACAGGTAAAATACCATAGCAACTTTCCGGTGCACGTGGATTTGCCTGTCGTGTGAATACCCTATTACAGTCGTGTGTGACATCCTACTCATGTGAATTCCGATATGTTTAAACAATTATGGCTCAAACCTGAAAATAGTGGTGTGATTTATAATCGAGTGTGACTTATAATCAGGGAAATACGGTAGTCAATTTTTTTCATTAGACATGGTTAGCATTTTACCGTTTTATTCCGGGGCGTAGCACCCGCTACGACTGGTACGACCATGGCCGTACCACTTTTCGAAATGTGTGCTCCGTCTGGAACGTGCAAAACCGTAATAAAGAAATCGGGACCCGTCAGATCTTCGACTTTTGTTTGAGTTTGACTCATACTCGACTCGACACGGCTATTAGGTACACTTGGTTCACGGCAACTTAGTTTTCTGCACGTGAACCATCAAATTCTATGACTAAAAATTAGTAAAAATGGGCCAAAAGTAGTAAGGCACAAAATCCTGTGTTCTGGGTACTTTTAAAGTACCCAGAACACAGGATTTTGTCCCTTTTTACAAAATTTTCCCGGGGGAAGACCCTTCACAGCCCGCTCCGTCCTTAATTAACGGTACTCGTACCCAGCACCCAAAATACGGTCGGTTTGGTATCGTTTCGACGATAGAAGGCTCTGTTTACAAGGAGAATGAAATGGTAAGATTCCAACTAGGGTGACGTCACAAGCTGATCGTTGTGTTAGAAACGGTAATGCTAGTAATGTCTTGTACACACACAAAAACACGGTACAGGCCGACGGTCGAAGTCATCGTGAACGGTAAAATGCTATAACCATGTCTACTACTACTATCCGAACCCCTCCGGATAGTACAGTCTGCAGCGCAGACGGGTTCGGATAGTCAACGCTCTACTGTGCACAACCATGCCACATGCCGGGTTTGAGGGTTGATGTCATTCAACATCATGTGCACTGCTTTACCAAAGCAAAAAAAGTGTGTCCTTACCTGACCTGCACTGCATGATGAAGTGGTTGAATAGAAACAGTTGACAGCACTGCAGCACCAGTACTTTGTAAATTACTACATACTAGTACTACACAATTATACTGTACTAAACTAGTGAATTACTAAGTACTGTATTAAAGTACAGTCATGTAGTTACTTGCCTGACAACACACACTGGTCTTACTTAGCTCTGACACACTTGTCTTGACTCAGTCTGTCACTCACAATATTCGCCAGAAAATGCGACTGCCTGGCCTCGTACATGGTTATTACAAATATTAGGGAGTCATGTAGATTCTACATAATTATGAAAAACTAATTACTAAAATAATTACTGCACTGCTGGGCAGAAGATCTACATGTGTATAATCTATGGCCTACTAGATCAATGCGAGTACATAATTGTGAAGTGGGGACATGGGTAGATCTACCTACCGCAGTACCGGGTAGATCTACCGGGTGCACTCACTGCACTGTGACCAGGTGACTGCATGCACCCCCAACTGGCAACTGGCCCAAGTCCTGATATCGCGATCGCATGGCCTTGTACGTCCGGCCGTATCGTAGAAGGTCGTGTTGGCGTCTTTACGAACTCTTGACTTGTTCCACCCTGGCTGTACCAGCAACATGCGATGCCTGCGCTGCCAAGAGATACATGACGATTGTTGAGAAGTCAAACAGCCTGATTTTTATGAGAAGAAGGAAACAATGTCATGTGTTGATTCATAGATTTCTTTCTTAGTTTCGAGCTCTTGCCCTTGCCAGGGTTTGACGAGCCATGGCACACACAGCGCAGTCATGGCAGGAGCTGATACCCGATGTTTTCTGCCCTCACATCGCGGTGATGTGCACCAAGGATGCAGAGGCTGCTTGCAAGAAAAATAACCTAACATTTGTGGAAATGATGCGACCTTTTTGTCAACTAACATGTGAAGGTAGGAGAGATAAAATGCGTAGAGTAGGTGGACAGAATTTAATCTAACTAAATTGGATTTAGGTGTTTTCTTTTTCCGTAGTATTGTGCTCAATAAATACATGTACTACAATTCACTACAATTGTTTTATTTGAGAATATTTCTGTTTGTCCTTATTCTTGTCAGCGCACGTTCGTGATGCTCACAATCAGCCGCATGTAGTGAAGAATCTTCGCTTGAGGTTCTCGGAGCCAAGCTCGGAAGTTCCGTCGATGGGTGCCACGAAACAAACGATGCATAACACAGTACTAAAGGCGCAGCCAAGTGGCGCCATTGTGCCTGGATCAACGTTGCAAGTTGGAAATTTAACGTTGAATGGTATGGATTTAGGGTAGCAGCTAATAACAGGAACTACTGGATATGTGTCTATGGGTTTGAAAGGGGCCTTTGGATTTTTTCTTCTTCTTGAGGATAGCAGAAACCCCACTAATCTATAGAGTTGATTCGACTTCAATTGTATTAATTGCTGACGGTTTTCTCCAGGGAGTACGAGTCCAAACCCCGGGGGCCCCGCATATGAGTACATTGTACCTTAAAATTTTGGCCAAGCACCCACCCTGGTATGCATGGAATTTTCCGTATTTGGAGATAATGCAAAGCTATCGATACACGCTTGTACAGTCCTATCTTACCAGTAAGCAGCGGGGTTTGCGTTGAGGCACCCATTCAACTGTGTTCAAGTGGACATATGTCTACACGAGATTTGGTGTGGAAGCTTATAGTTATGGTATTCACACTATGGGAAAGTACAGTCATTCCATACTGCATGGCGCACTGTTGACCCCATGAGCAGAGGAAGTGTTTTTCGATTTTCAGGGACAACAGATCCACGTGGATTTTGCAAGACACGTTGCTTCGGCCGAAAGAATGGGCCAGGGGGAGAAGGGGACTGGAAGTAATGCGACATACGGTATGTTCTACTAGAGATGGCGATTCACGCCCAGCCTTGGGCCGCAAGGTCACGGCCAAGCGTTCCCGGCAAACTGAAGGTTATGCGTCAAATCAAATGCCTTGCATTTAATGTGGTCTGTTTTTTCCTTTGCAGTGTTGACACCCTGGTTTGAATCTTACCGCAAGCAGTACATACAGCTGATGCGAGTTTCGGACCACGAGTACTTGCGTCACTACGTGGGCTGTATCCTCCTATGTTCACCCCATGTGCATGCATGTACAGTGTACCATTGTGATACGTTTCTCACCAACATACAGCTGGAGATTGATCACACTTTGCACTACATGGCTGTAGCTAGAACGTTTTCCTTGACATTGTTCTTGATCAGGCTTATTTGTGGTCTCCACGTCACATGCTCGGCCGATGGATGCATTCATTGACTTGCAGAAGAAGCAGCAGGACATGGCAAAGGAGAAAACCTATCCCAAGTGGCTGACACCGTATGTGTTCAACTACTACTTGCTGTTGCATGACTCGTCTCGAGGGGAGGAGGACAAGTATGTTGCAGTATACTAGTATTTTATGTGTGTGTGTGTGTGTGTGTGTGTGTGTGTGTGCACATGCGTGTGTGCGTGCGTGCGCGCGCCCGCCCGTGGGTGTGTGTGTGTGTGTGTGCAGCCTTGCAAGCTGTTCAATGGTGTAATCCCAGCACAAGTTGCTATGTCCAACATACTAGTAGCTGTTCGCTATCATCGCTTCTGCGATGGGCATATCTGATTCTGTGTGTGTGTGTGTGTGTGTGTGTGTGTGTGTGTGTGTGTGTGTGTGTCGGCAGTATCCTCAGGTGTCAGTAGCTTCAGGATTGTTGCTGGATGATCGTTGTACTTTGTAGTGCGTGGAACTCTGTCTCTCTGTCTCTCTGTCTCTCTCTCTCTCTCTCTCTCTCTCTCTCTCTCTCTCTCTCTCTCTCTCTCTCTCTCTCTCTCTCTCTCTCTCTCTCTCTCTCTCTCTCTCTCTCTCTCTCTCTCTCTCTCTCTCTCTCTCTCTCTCTCTCTCTCTCTCTCTCTCTCTCTCTCTCTCTCTCTCTCTCTCTCTCTCTCTCTCTCTCTCTCTCTCTCTCTCTCTCTCTCTCTCTCTCTCTCTCTCTCTCTCTCTCTCTCTCTCTCTCTCTCTCTCTCTCTCTCTCTCTCTCTCTCTCTCTCTCTCTCTCTCTCTCTCTCTCTCCCCTCTCCCCCCCCCCCCCCATGTGGCTTATACCCTGAATGAACATCCATTTTCATAAAATGCAATAACACCTGATTGTGACATTTTGTTTCCGAGAGAGGGATATGTCTCTCACCCCAGAATGTATTATGGTATGTCTGGTACCAGAAGCTGCTAGCTGACTCAGGCTGGTATCATGTACCGATGAGTGTCTTAACACACCTCTGCTTCATTCCCCTTGTCTCTTTTGGCTTCTTTTCTGTGTCAGTTGATGTTCGTACCTCGATGATCATTCAGGCATGTATTGTATTTTATTCTCTTTTCCTTCCCCTGACTACAGTGCTCACAGTATATTCCAGAGTATGAAGGCAGCATTTGGCCAGTTCAATTCCCACCTGTTGAGGATCAACTCGCGTAGCCCGGATGCCAGCATGCCGGATGGTATGCCCGATCCGTGGGGACAGTATGTCAACCGATCAGATAGCACTGCTGCGGTCAGTATTAATTCCTTTACTTGTGTAGCACGTTCTGTGCTTTCTTCAGTTGTTACTCAAGCATATGGGTCTTCTATGCCGTGCCGCCATTGACTGTCCATAGCTTACAAATCGTAGAAGAATTGTGGCGAGTATGGCAGTGTTTGCGTTTGGTGCTTGCTTGTGCTTTTGGCACTTACGCAAGCTAATCATTGATGGGCCATGGATCTTACCAAGACTGCAAGGCTGCATAGTAGCTACCATGAGTCTTGAAATGACACCCTTTTCTTTAATGGCTGGCCTTTCCAGTGCCATCATGTGTGGAACTTGACATTCTTGTTTGTGTGTTCTTTCTCATAGTATATGGCTTGTGTGGAGGATCGTTGGGATATCGAGGATTATACGTTGGGTACTTGTCAGAGTTGCTGTGCAGCGTTGTATTCAGACCTATCTGTCGATGGCTCTCTGCTCTGTAGGGAGATGAATTGGCCGACAATGATCTGTCAAGAGGCGGCTCATCCCTAACCAACCACAATGATGCATCAGCCCCAGCCAGCGTTGCTGGCACTCCAAACCATGCGACGCTGGAGGACATTTCCAAGGCTGATGCTGACGATACCCTGACCGGCAGCTCGGCCATGTCTGATCCGCTGTCGCAGGCTCTGGCTGATCCACTCTCTGCGCAAGCACCGGCCGTTGATACTGCAGATGATTCACCTATCTCTGTGCAAGGCACCCATGTAAGTGTTGCAGTGTGACACGTACATTGTAGCACTGTGATGTCCTACAGTCCCATAGCGTGTGATTCCCGTATGCGTGTCCGCATACATGCTGTATTGTGCAGATGTTGATCCGGGAGAACAGTCTCTCTACCTGCCCTGTCAGCTGTTGCCCTATAGAGCTGAAACTGTGACCTTCGATGTGGTGATGTTATTGTACTCCACATGTGTATACTATAATATTATGTATGTGTGTGCATGTGTGTGTGTGGTGTGTGTGTGTGTGTGTGTGTGTGTGTGTGTGTGTGTGTGTGTGTGTATGTGCATCTAGTGTCTGCTTTTATCAAAGCAGCGTGCTGTCTATACTGGTTACCCCAGCAAGTGTAGGTTGTGCATAGGTAACTGTCTTGGCCGTCCTATTCCGATGTACTCCGTGTGGTGTAGACCAGGTGTGCATTGGGGGGTCGATTCACATGGCTTCGCCAGTTGTGTGGATTAGACAGCTATCTGGCGCTTGTCTTGATCTGTTTCGATCAGAATCAGATCCGCTATCGTTGCTATAAGAGAAAATCTGTGGGTGCACATCCAGTGCATTTGCAGATTTGCGTGCTTCTCTTGCGACGGGCGTATACATGGTACATGTGTGTGTTCCTATGCTTGTGTGGGTGCGTCCCTAAACCTGCAGATTAACGTTCGAGTTTCATCATCTGCAGTACCCACCAACTTTGAACTGCATGGCCAGTTTCTCACCGTTAGCGATCACGACAGGCTACGCATATTCGTGAACGAGTTCGCAGTCCGAGGCTTGATTCCTCACATTGAGCGCTCTATCAGGGCACTCACCGACCAGGTCAACTCCAAGAAGGGCATCCAGCGTACACTCTACAGTGCCACGAAGAAATGGTTTGGCAGTACCAACAAGCCGGTCATAATGCAGGGCCAGAGGTGAGACTGTGCTCTGTGTACTTCAAGTATCACTATGTACGAGGAACCTGGAGCTTGTACATGCTCTGAAGTTTGATGTTGGCCACGCATCTTGCTAAGGTTTTCAGCAGAGCTGAAATGAACCCTGAAGTGAAGAAAGCGAGCGAAACATTCTCTCTACTACCAAGACTGTAAGATGCGTGACCTCATGCCCATAAAAGGAGTGGCAAATGTAGAAGTGCGAAGAAACCTAACAAGCGTGCGATGTATTGCGGCAGCCATGGACAAACTATTTGTTTGTTTGGTCCATTGTTTGTCTATTGTTGTTGCAACACCTCGCACGCTTAAGCTTGTTAGGTTTCTTCTGTATGTGTGAGTTCGTGCATTTGACTGTTGTTGTTTCTGGCGAGTCTTCTTCGTGCTATTTTTTCACATCTCCGCTGTATTAAAATCATTGTTTTTTGTTCAATTCCTTTTTGCCTATTCCACCTGATGAGAAGGCTTTGAAAGAACTTGTGTGTGGACATGTTTCCAAAATGTTGCTTGCGACGAGTCTGAAAAGTTTGTTCGTATTCTAAGTGTGATGGCATTTTTGTCTCCAAGAAGATTCCTGACTTTACAGTGTCCATTCCTTGTTTTGTATTTATTGCTGTATATGGCTTGGTAGTAGGATGGTGCCCAGCAGTTTTTTTCCCAAGATAATAACGAATTGGCCCAATCTTCTCTGCAAATCAATTTAACATTCTCTCTCTCTCTCTCTCTCTCTCTCTCTCTCTCTCTCTCTCTCTCTCTCTCTCTCTCTCTCTTTTGCCCCTGTTTCTGTTTCTGATCGATAGTTATAGTGCTGATGCTGCGGAGCTTCAATCTCGCAAGCTCGCCGACCTCGCCTTCCTGGTCCAGCTGTACGAGACGGCGTATAGCTGGTACCACACAGCCAAGCGTGACTTCCACAATGACAATGCTATGCTGCACTATGCTGGTGCTGTGGTACGCAACGTAATCTATGCCTGTCATATTGGAGCACTGTTGGGGTTACATGTACTGCACTGCTGGGTCACTGCAGCTCTGGTCTGGTTTCGGGGCTGCCGCTACTACTTCTGTGCAAGTTGCCGTGTGTACTCAGTCCTGCGCAGCTACTGGTGACGCACACATCTCTGTAACAGTATGCTTGGTGGTGCTGTGCTGCTCAGGAGTATCACAGCTTGTGGCCAGCTGCTACTGTACCTGTGGGGTTGATTGGTAGTATTCGTTTCAGAGCTGGTAGTTCGGATCAATAAGTTAGATGTGTACAGCCTACACAAAGTGATCCACTCTGGTGTATCAAGGAGAGAACTTCACTGGGGTGTTTGCCACGTTGGGAGCTCTACTCATTATCTGGGAAGTTCGTTTACAAGTTACACATCATACCATATACGGTGTGTGTCTGTGTGTGTGTCTACCTGTTTCAGGAAATGGCAGCGCTGTCATTATTTATGCAGGGCGCATATCGTCGTGACCCACAGGCATACTTTGAGGAAGCGATCAACAACTACGAAAGTGTGTGCAAGTGAGTATGAGCGCATCTCGGCTGTCACATTGATATTTATTCAAGAAAGAGAAAGAGAGGGAGGGAGAGAGAGAGAGAGAGTGTGTGTGTGTGTGTGCGTGTGTGTGTGTGTGTGTGTGCGCGCGCGCGCGCGTGTGTGCCTGTGTGCATGAGTGAGCGAGTGAACAAATAAATGTCAAATCACCTTACTGGATTTTTATCTTGCCCACGCTGCTCTACAGATCTCATCAATTTGCACTGCGATCAACACTCTTGTTCTTCGAGTTTCTCAAGTTCCGTGGACTGTATAAGGAAGCGGCTACTGCATTGATTCGTATGACAAGCGATGTAAGATTCTTGCCGGTTATGTGATATCTCTACTGGAGTAGGTGTAATCATTCGCACGCACAGCATACATTCTTTGTTTGCCGTCTTAGGTGGCTCCCAGTTGTTGTTTTGATACAGGATTGATCTATGAGTATTTCTTGTGCTCTTGCTTAACTCTTAATGTGAGTTGGCGATACACAACTACCTGGCATGCACGTGCATACTTTCTTCTGCTCTGGGTTATATCAATCTTGAGGTGGAACTTGTACACCGTATTGCATTGATTTTTTGTTTCGTTTTGTAGGAAACTGATTTGGCTGCAGCGTTGTTGACCGAGCAAGCCGCGATTTGCTACCTGCGTCTGAACTCTCCGATGATCCGCAAGTATGCCATGCACATGTTGCTGGCCGGGCACCGGTTCAAGAAAGCGTATCAGGTGTGTTTCATTAGTACTTTCATGGGTATGGTTGGGTCTAGTCTTTTTGCAATCTTGGTGGTGGTGGTGGTGCTGCTGCTGCATGCATTTACTTCATGTCTGCAGTGTTGGACAAGGAACCCCGAGTCTGTAGCTCTGTCCCACGATTGCTGGTCCTGTACTGGTTTACATGCCTTGCTAGCTGTGCACTTTTATAATCGATGCTTTTCTGGTGTGTGTTGCATTTGTATGACTGTGCTTTCCATGTGGTGTGTCTGTGTGCGTTTGCGCGTGTGTGTGCATGGCACGTTTGTACTCTCAGCGTCAGCACGCTCTTCGTGCCTACTCACTTGCGCTGCAAGTCTACCAGACCAAGGGCTGGTGGATAGCAGAGGTAAGCTATACCAGCTACCGGTACTGTCTGAAGACAGTCACCTTTCTTTGCCGCTCCAGTTAGGTTGGGGTTCGAACTATTGAGCTTCGTTCTAGAGTATGACTGGGCTTTGCTGAAAGCATGTTTATTTGTGATGCATGTAACGTTACTCAAAGTAGTCCCAGACATGTGCAGTGCTGTCACTTTTGTCTTCCCCTTATCATACTTGTGTGTTGCCTATAACAACTAAAATTAGAGCAAATGGTGAGGAGGTGATACTAAATTAGAACTTCATGCATTGCCTGTGTGAATATGAACAACTGTTTTCCGGTGTGGGTGGGCTTCAGTGATGCTGCGCTCATGCATTTCATATTATGCAGCAAACATACTGCAAGTATCCACTAACTGTTGTTTAATCTTGTGTGGTCTTCCGTGGCTCCGCTGCTGTTCAGGATCACATGAATTTCATCATTGGTCGTCTTGCCATTGACCTACATGAGCTGAATTTGGGACAAGAAAGCTTTCATCAGCTGCTGGCTCATCGCTCACGCCTCATTGCGCCTACCCAGCAGTCATTGTACTTGCAGGAATTCTTGCTTGCAACAAAGGTACAGCATCAGTAGCAGTGGCCTGTGGTAGAGAGCGTTACGTGTACTGCTGTATGTATGGGTATGTATGGGCATGATCTGTGTGTGGGTGGGCCTGCCCATCATTGTCCCTACTGCTTCGGACCTGCTTGGGCTGACCAATATGTGCCTTTGAAGCGTTGATAATTTGATACGCACGAGGCAAAGTTTTGGTTTTCCTCTCATCCACTTGTTATTGCTTTGTCCGCAATAGTATGTCTTATTAGAGTCCGTACTAAGGGAGTTCTGCAGTATTTCAACACTTCTGTCTGCTTCACTTCACTCTGCCTTTGCCTGTAGAAATTCTTGTTGAAGTCAGACAAGGCAGCCATGGAGAAGTCACAGCTTTCAACTTCATCCTGCGTGGACATTGCTAACTTGCTGCCTTTGGCGCGGTTTCCGCGGATCGATGCTCAGCTGACTCGTGTCATTTTGCCGGGCGTGGCAGACAGCACAAAACTCATGAGTAAGATATCGAATGTGGTACAGTACTGGTTTCTTGAGGGTGGGCTTTACAAGTCGAAGTTCTTTTTCTCCATTTGGTGTGGCAAGTTAGTTGCAGTATTTCTCCACTGTTTACCGTTTTGCTTGCTGAACGAGAATCAAGATTTCATTCACCATGCCGATTTAGTGAATCAGGTGCAAGAGAAACTGGGTCAAGAGACCACCTGGTATCAGCAACTACCTGGTCTGAAAGACCACTATTCTTGGGTGCCAAACATGTGGTAGTGTACATGTATGTACATGGGCCACCCTGGTTCCAGAGGCCACCTGCATTCAAAGACGAAGTAGACCCATCCTGTGGTTGGTTGCTGAAGCCAGATTTCACCTGTACAAATAAACCTGCAATTGGCTGTGAGTTGATATCAGTGTCTCGACTTGTGCTGTGTATGTGTGTTCTAACAGCTCCAGATGTTGATGTGAATGCACTGCCAGAGGAAGGCTCTGTTGAGCCAGCACACACTGCCGAAAGGCAGGCAGCTGACGACGAGGAAGGGAAGCGAGAAGAGCTGTGGCTGTGCATGGAGGAGCTGGCCGCTCGCTTCACGCTGGCAGAGTCGGACAGTGCGGCACGTAACGGCTACCTCAGCAGCACTCCTTCTGGTTTTGTCTGGGACGTGCGTCTGTTTGGCCCGCACACTGACAACAGTCAGTACCCTCGCTGTGCTCTTGGTGGTAAGCAACCGTCTCTTCGGGATTTTCCCTTGATGCTACTACAATGACCAGCTGTGGTGTTTGGCAAAACAGTGCTTCAAATGCATCCTGTTCCTGATCTGCATTGGGTTCCCCAGCTAATCCTCAGCATTATAGCTGATCATGTCATTGTTTGTGTGCTTCTTTCTGCTGCTGCTTCTGCTTCTGCTACAGAGCGTGTGATGGTGGAGATCGTTCTCACCAATGACCTGCAGATACCTCTATCCCTGACGGGCATCTCGCTTATGTGGCAGTTGTTCCCGGTCTCGCTGAGCAGCAAGTCAGCGACCACCGCTGGTGATAATGCTGATGAAGCCGTGCTGGATGAGGTATGCCCCCCCCCCCCCCCCTCCACCACCACTCTTGTTAGTGTGTGATCATTACTACAAGACCAGTAGTGCTTACGTTTTGCATGCACATCATTCCATCTGTTCATAGAACAATGTATTTTCTGGTCTATGCTGCCAATGGCATTGTTATTGACTCATTGTTTCTGTTTCTACTGCCCAGGACTCTGAGCCAGTGATTTGCAACAGCGTGCCTGACTTGATAATTGCACCACGTTCTTCTCAGCCGGTACGTTTATTACCTCTCTTTACCTGTATTTCCCCTCGTAACTTCCTCCCGTGCCGTTGGGGCAGACCGTTGGTCAATCAGTTGTAATACTGTTACTGATTGTTGTCCTGTCTTTCTCCGTGGTATATTGTAAGACCAGATATGTTAACGTCATTAAATTCAGCGATCTCCGGATTTTTGTGGGTTAGCGAGGTGAAATTCTAACGGATTCCGTCTCAAAACCGGCAAATGACTGTACATAATACATGTCGTTTTGCACATAACGCCTTCAAATGTTAACGAATTTTAAACATTCGTTAAATGGTTAGAATTAAATGTTCGTTAACATTCCTGGTCTTACAGTACTGTTTGTTGGCTGTTGTTGTGGTGTTTGTGCTTGCAGGTGTGTCTGTCGCTAACACCCCAGCGTGAGGGTAAACTGCACATACTGGGTGTGGTGTACAACATTGTGGAGACCACACCGCCCAAGGAAGGGGGTCGTGCACGCAGGTTCGTTCAGTGATCAGCATTAGCACCATGACGTTTGCCTTGTGTACATACGAACAGCCTCTACATGTTAGGGGGGGGGGGGGGCGCGTAGCTGAAGCTTGTGAGAAGGGTCATAGGTAATACTGTAGGTGGTTTTGCCTTGAGTTGAAACCTATCTGTGTGGAATGTGTTATCCTTATGCATAGTCTCTGTTGCCCGCATGGGGCACTCCTAGCTGAGTCATATGTACAGTACTATTGTTGCAATGTAGACATTGATGGGAGTCTATTGTATACTGCACTGTCCTGGTTCAAAGGAGTTGTTAGTATTGTTCTGTTTCTGTAGTGTATACTACACTGTCCTGGTTCAAAGGAGTTGTTGGTTTTGTTCTGCTTCTGTAGTGGCACGCAGCGCGAAAGCTTGGCAAGTGGTCTTCGCTTCCGGCAAGAAATTGAACCAAGAGGGCACCGGCTAAACCTGACAAAGGATCAGCGATGTTCAGTGATGTATGGACCAGACAGGCGTCTGCAGCTGGCCGTTTATCCTCCCATGCCGTTGCTGAAGGTCAGTTGTGGATTCTCTGTTAGTCGCGGTAGCGGTTTGTACAGTACAACCAAACCGATGCAACTTCTGTATGGAACAGCGCGTGCACTACAGTTGCTCTCGCTGAAATCTGACCCGAAGTGCAAAACTGGCGCTCTGGAGCAGTTCCGAATGCATGACTGAACTTGAACATGCACGTCCAGCCGCATTCGTACCACTTCAAGGGCGTCAAGAGCCGTGCAAGTTGAGGGCGGATTTCACCGAGAACAACTGTACTATGGGATTTCGGTCATTGACCACTTTGTGGTGGGTCTGATCTACTCACCTCCCACCGCTTAGGCGCTGCATCTGCGCCTTGATCCTAGAGGGTGGTGGCGTTCCTACGGATGCGGAAAACTCGTCTTCCAGTCGAGTCTCACGCGAACCGTGAACTTTTTTAACTGTACTATACAGGCGTGTCGCACCGACTTTGGAGGTGGGGCGGCCATGGAAGGGGGGTCGGGGGTCCTCCCCCTGGAAAAAAATTGAAGCCAATTGCAAGCATTTCTGGGCATTTGGTGCCATTTCAGTGTACGGTAACTACAATGAAAGACTTTTTGATTCTGCAAAAAACCAAGAAGATGCTACGATCGGGGACAAACATTACCCTCCCCCGGGAAAGAAATTCAAAAATTGAAGCCAATTGCAAGCATTCCCAGGCATTTGGTGCCATTTCAGTGTACATGGACTTTTGATTCTGCAACAAACCACGATCGGGGACAAGGATTTGCCACGTTTGCGCTGAGATCATCGCGCTTTGTTGCAGTGTGCTCAAAAAAAACAAAAAAAAACGCCGAAAAAGTGGAGCGGCCATGGCCGCCCCGGCCGGTGCGGTTCCGACACCCTTGCTATAGAGTGGTTTCACATCTTTGTCATGTGACTTCATTTGTGTATAGAGTGATTATGGTATGTGGACAGTGGAACCAACATGGTCGACATGTGACCCATACATGCAGGGGTTGTTGAGTGGAATTGGAACCAACAATGATGCCTCGTATGGTCATGTGATAGATGTGCAACAGCTCTAGTATTGGTTGTGTGTGGCCTGTGGATCTGCTTCACTGCCAGCACATATGGTGTGTCTATGATGCAGGATTTAGATTCGCTTGCTTGAACTGAAGGCTGGCTGAACAAGTATTGATTTTCATTTGTGCTTGTGTTGCTGTCGTTGCAGATTGAATTTGACAATGTGCCGACAATGTTGCTGTGTGGAGAGGTGCACCACTGCATTGTCAAGCTGACCAATGTTGGCTGCGTGGCACTGCGCCGCCTCCGGGCCGTATGTCCGGAGAGCCAGCAGATCGTCTGGGGAGATGTGAAGAAGCGCGTGCCGGAGCGCAGCGGCATCTACTCGACCGTCGGCCAGTCGACGCCGTCCAACGGCAGCTCCACGGCGCAGTCATGTGAGCTGCGCGACAAGGTCTGGCCGTGCTTCCCGCTGGCGGCCAGCAGTGCGTTCACTGGCTCGTCACCGGCCGTCACCGAGGCCGATCGTGCACGTGTGTGCGACATTGACCTGCCCAGCGAGCGCCTGGAACCCGGCAGTAGTGTGGAGGTCGACTGCTGGATACGAGGTGGTGCCCTGCCCGGCCGACAGACCATAGATACACTCATGTACTTTGATGTGGATGGAGACACTGCTTTCACGTAAGTATGCCTGCTTGCTCATAGAGAGATATTGCCCGGGGTATGTAAGGGGAGATATGGAAAGCAGCCGGTGGGGTGTGTGTATGTATTGTTTGCACACTTCTCCGTATCATGTCTCTTTGCTCTTTGCGTCGTTGGGATCATTGTGTATTTTGAAGTAATTTGGTGCTTTTGTGATGGTCAGATTTGCTAGACCCATGTGTCTTCTGACGAGCGCGATGTGATGGTCTTGTGGTTGCCGTTCGACATTTTTGTTCTTGCTATTCCGTCTCCATGGCGGTGGCTGCGTTGTGACTTTGTTGTCTCTTCAGGCATCGTGTACTACGGCACACAAATCACATCCAAGTGAGTGAGTCCATTCGCATAGCGGCCCGAGCACGGCAGAGTGTGGCAACTCCTACACCAGGGTAAGTCCAGGTCACGGTTGTGGTCTGCAGTACCACTGTAACAGCACAGTGTAGTACAGTAGTGACCGCACTGTGTATATTATTGACTGGCATAGATGCAGTCAATGTTCGGATTTTTTATTGCGATTTTATAGGACCTTCTTTCTTGTATCAAACTTTGGTATCGACTGCTACACGCAGGGTGATAGCTCAACTTGTGTGCATGGCTGGGAGCTTCTCTGATGCTCTTCAGTGTTGGAAATTCCTCTGTCGAGTTCTACCTGACGTGAGTGTGTGTGTGTGCGTGTGTGTGTGTGTGTGCATGTATGTATCTTCGTTCGCGTGCGTGTATTTGACACAGCTGTGATCGGAATCAGCTACTGGTGTCGGTGGATGTGGAGAACCTCAGTCAGGTATGGAACGCTTTGTTGCAATACAATATGTACTGTTGTATGCATGTGTGTATGGGTAAAAGGTGTAATACATGCGACTCATGCTGACGATTCTCCGTGTGCCTGCTCCTCCCTGTTGCTTCCAGGCTGATGCAGTCGCATCCCCAAAGTTTACAGTTAATCAGATCGTCGGTGTCAGCTCTCAGTTCACCATGTCGTCATTGCAAAAAGACAGTAAGTTTCAGCAGTGCTGTTATATACTCCACAGCATAGCAATGTGCTCTGCCTCCCGGTTGTGTTTCAGCTTGAGGCTTCTTCTTTTTTGCCCTGTTGACGAGGTAGGAATTTTCAGTAGAGCTGTGATTTGTGCCTGCACAAGTGTTTGCATGGTCTTGTGCTGCAGCATATTATCTTATTTTGTGTGGTAATCTCGCAAGTATGCTCCAATGCTGTTCTGTAACCAGATTTCTTAGAACTGTCATCTCGTGAAACGGCTTACATCCATCTGAAGGCATCTCATCTTCCTGTCGGTAAGAAAGTGTGTGTAGTGTACAGTCACTCCCTACCAGATGATATTGCTTATTTTGGAGTGTTATACCGTTACAATGCAGTGGAATGCCCCTTCCGAAATCTTTTACTCTTTGCAGCATTCTGCACAGAATGTTGAGAACTGAAATTGTCCGTATACCGGTAATGTACAATGGAAGGGTCCCTTGAGACCTGGTAGTGTTATGTTAGTACTTGTAGCCCGGCTCTGTGCAGCCATGTGGGTATATGATGTAACGTAGTGTCTTGTATAAAAGCCTGTCTCATTTAGAAGCCTGTCCTGAATACAAGCCTGATTTTTCGAGATGCACTGTTGGTACATAAGCCTGGTTTTAGTGTTGACAGTTGACAATTTCCCCCCAAAAAAGTCATATAAGCCGCGGCTTTTATACACAACTTTTCGGTATGTACACAGTGTTTACTGACTCTCACCATCTGTTTGCCGTGTGTTGTTGTTGTTGTTGTTGTTGTTGTTGTTGTTGTTGTTGTTGTTGTTGTTTTCTGCTTAGATGATGGCCGTGTTTATGTCAGCGATGTATCATTCATGTCAGACGACCAAGTAAGGGATACGGTATATATATGCGCCAATCTGTTGTGGCAAGACTGTCTGTACATTGGAGCCGTGGCCTCTTTCTCTTCCGGCCCGGGTCAGCTTCTCTCTCCTTTCCATCAGTTCTATCTATTTCTAAAGCCATGACTCATTACAGGATTGGAGCCATTGGCTTAGATGAGGAGCTCTGGCGATAGTTACAATCCATGTACATAATTACTGTGTTTACTTTGGTATAAATTTCTTTACTCCAGACTTTGAACTGTTCTACACATTGTTTCTCAGTTAGATGGCCTGTCTGTCTTTCTCCTGGCTGTCTTTCTCCTGTCTGTCTTTCTCCTGTTCCGTGCTGGATGTGTTGGCTAGGTTGATAGTCTCGCGATCCCCTGTCTTGAGCTCTTCGGCCAGGACAGTGTAGCAAAGCCGTTTGCTGCAGCGGAGCCAGACCACAAGGTGGCGGAGCGTAAGAACCGATCACCGGCGGCCATGCAGCCAGCACCCACTCATCATCCACCGGTGCCTGCTAGCATTGCAACGCCTATTGGTATCATTGTCCTCTGGCAGGTGAGTTGCAGGAATGTTACGCCCGTGTTGGCCACGGTCTATCCAGCTAGCCGCCTGGCTTGTTCAGCTTGACGTACATGTATGCATCATTCCCCGTTAATGTTGCTGCTGCTTTGCTGTGTTTCTGGTCTCTATGCCTTCATGTATCAGCTGTGTGCTACACAGTGCGGATACGTAATGCACAAGCAGAGCATTTAGCCGGTGAATAATTCCCTCCAAAGAAACGCAGTTTGTCTGGTTGAAATTTACCGCGCTTACCACGTGGCCTGTATTTCCTGATTGCCAGTGCGAGTGCAATAGCTGCCTCACTTGTGTCTCATATTGGCAACGTTGTGAATACTAGTACATCGGCCAATACTCACTCCGTTTTAGGTCACAGAAATGTATGCGGGTAAACATTGGCCTGGGGCACAGCGGGTAGCTTACTAGCTTTCGCATTCCGTACCATTTCGTACACCGTTCCCAGTGTCCTAGACTGTTTCCGTACAAAGTCATTGCTAACCAAGTATAGGATTGTTCCACTGCAGGGCAGTCTGAAATACAGCCTATGTGTGCAGATCCTCCTTCTAACCAAGGAAACATGGGGACTGCATACTATTTTTTTCTTTTTCTTCTCTAAATGTTTGTTGTGTATATATGCTGTGCTGTAGGCCTGTGTCCCTGATGGTGACGGTGGTTCTCGTCAGGCGTATGGTCAGTATCACATGCTGCTGGAGTCTCTGGAATCACCTGTGTCCTCAGTCACGGCACAATCGGTAGGAACTGGCTGTAGGCATGTACTAGTAGCTCAATTGTAGCGGGTATTGAGGGGTGTGTGTGTGTGTGTGTACGCGCGCGTGCGTGGGTGTGCGTGCATGTGTGTGTGTGTGTGTGTGTGTGTGTGCGCGCGCGTGGGTGTGCGTGCATGTGTGCGTGCATGTGTGTGTGTGTGTGTGTGTGTGTGTGTGTGTGTGTGTGTGTGTGTGTGTTTATGAGCGTTGTCTAATGGACACTATTGATTATGAATGCCAATACGTTACAGCCTTATGCACCAAACGTTTCTTACGGAGATTCAAGAAGGCAATTTCAGCGTTCAAGTTCACGCCAATGGAAGTTGAACTAAGTGACGAAATTCGTATTTAGGAGAGGATTGGCAAACAGAATTTGCATTGGCAGGACGTTGACGTCTGTACATACGTACAGACAGTACAACCTAGTACATACCGGTAGCATTTTAGGTTCGTGAACCAAAAGTGTGCACAACTTTGAAAGCAATATTCGTGACGCTAAACTGCTGTAGTATGCCTCTTTCACACTGTACTGTGATGTAATTATAGTTTCGATTCTTCTCTCCTTGTGTTTGTGCAGGCAATGGTGTCGTCTTTCTCAGCATCTCTCCGTGCTGGCATGGAGGGTGGAGACAGTACGGCTACCTCTACACCGGACCTGCTACTGGTCAAAGGCGGTATGCTGCATGCTGACAAGGTTCGGCACGACTTCACTGTCAAAAGGTATACGCCTCATCGATCATCGCAAGCTCTTTAGTAGTCTACAGATTCAGTCTTCTTTGCAATGTTTCAATCAATGCATGAGGGAATTGTCGGCTTTGATGTACCTTGGAGGCTCTCTTCGAATTGTAAAAGTGCTTCCGAAAGAGCTCTACTCTATCCACAGTCTGATTCCGTGTCTGACAACTTCACACGCTGAAAAGCTTATTTTTGAGCTCCAATCCTTATGTGCTGGCGTGACTGCGTGGTGTGTGACTCTGCTCCCAGGCTATGTATCTTGCCAGTGGAGCTCAGCCTGCACAACTCTCATGATGCGGACGTCGAAGTGGAAGTCCTGCCGCGGGCACCCAGTGCTGCTGGCACTGCCGACACAGAGCAGCAAGCATCTCCCAGCAAGTAAGTACACAACATAGCAGTGCTGCTCAATGAAATCCCCCGGTCGCGTCAATCAAGTTTGCGCCTTGCACCATTTCGAAGCCCATTGTTTGCAGGTCTATTTAAAAATGTGTGTGTGTGTTTCTGTTGTTGTTGTTTATTCAGACCAAAGGCAATTGGATCAGCAGCGTATGCCTGGGTTGGCTGCACGCACAGTAAGCTGCAGCTGAAGAAGGGCGCCGACAGCACGGTGCGGCTCAACGCCTGCTTCACACGGCCAGGCTTCTACAACCTTGCCAATGTGCGCCTACGCGTACGCAAGCTGCCCGGTGATGGCAGTGTAGTGGCATCGGGGCCAATTGAGCAGCGGCCACTGCCACCCTCACTGCTTGTTCTTGAAGAGACCACCTCGAGCGGTTAGGAACGCCCAGGTATACCCATCTGCTCTGATTTCCCCACTTTGCCTGGATTCTTTATCCGGGCAAATCGTTATCATCAATCATTATTGTCATTATCATGGTAAGAAGAAAAAAACATAATCTATTTCCTGTGCATGGTTCATGTCAGAATAGTTTCTTTCAATAGCATAGAACACATACTCACACTCTCATCATACCATCACGATACGCTCAAAACGAACAATAATTCTATTCGTCACCAACCAAGAGTTCCACGCACTCGCTCCGCACACACACGCGCGCGCGCCCGCGTGCCTGCTCTCCCTTTCAATCACCGTCTCCCGTCCGTCCAGCTACTACCGGGCCGCTTTCTTTTCATTTGTATATCGCACAGTTTGTTTTTATTCTTGTGGATCATGTAACTAGCCAGTTTTGTACTAGCCATCGATACCATGGCTCAACACTCTATCTATCACTATGAGTACTGCAAGTACAACTATGTACATACCGGATGTGTTGTGTGCTCTCATCTATTTTCGTACAGTTTGAAAGTGCATCATGTGTATATTACGTGCACAGGCATGTATATTTATTGAAATTTCGTGTATCGCTGAACTCTCTTTGCCGTTTGACTTTTAGATCCTTTACTCAATAGCTGATGCTGGTTTTAATTTCTCCCTCGTTCGTTGTGGTGTCTGACCTGTTGTTCCCTTACACGGCTTCGATATTGGCCTGATGTTCCCACGTGACTTGCATTTTGCAGGTTTTTCATAAGTGTTCGTTTCGTTCTTTTATTTTTCGTCACCTCTCTAGCAGAACTTGTGTTTTGTTGTACCTGCTTTGTACTATCATTTATCAGCTCGCAGTCTGAACATGTTAGCACTACGTAGCATTTTGTACAATTGATCAATTAGCGTTGTACTGTTATTCTGCTTTGTTTATTACCACCCGTGTTGTGCTGGCTTCATCGGCTGGCCATACTTGGCCACCACACTGACTTGTTTGTGCTTCGCTCCACTAGGCGGCTGAGGTTACTTAGTAAGATGTCTGCCGTGCACCGTGCAGACAACTCCTCTCAGCAAAACTGTGGGCTAATTAATTCTCTTCAAATTGTTTCTCAAGATAGTTCTATCAGTGGTGATGATAGAAAGGTATAGACAAACGTGGCAGTTCTAAATGTCAAAATATATTCAATTCAAGTTTGATAAAATTGCCCTAGCTACAACTGCAGAGCTTGTGCAGACAACTTATACTGTAGTGTAGGACTTGGCAGCAGTGACCAGTGGTGACGAGCCATCTGCTGGCACGTTTCTATCACCTACTGGTGCGAGGGTAACTGGCATCTCCTGCTCTCTCCTACTCGTTCTCATCAATGCCACTGTCGGACCATACGTATGCAGACGACGCCCATCACCTACTGGTATAAGGGCTGTGTCTCACTGCTCTCTTTATCTTTCTCCTCATCAATGCCACTGTCGGACCATACGTATGCAGACGACGCCCATCACCTACTGGTATAAGGGCTGTGTCTCACTGCTCTCTTCATCTTCCTCCTCATCAATGACATTGTCGGACCATACGTATGCTGACGACGCCCATCACCTACTGGTGTAAGGGCTGTGTCTCACTGCTCTCTTCATCTTCCTCCTCCTCATCAATGCCATTGCCAGCGCCATTATCAACGCCATTGTCCAGATGGCTATCGCCGTTAGTCGTTGAGTAGGATGATGCACGGAGGCGAGCCATCTGCTGCTCGACGTACTCAGTGGTGACCGCATTCCATTCGATAGTGCACGAGATGGGGAACACAGCCAGCGAGTCTTGATTCAGCTTGGCTCCGGCTTCGTAGAACGCGTGCAGTGCAGCGCCAACAGTCTCCATGTGCATGGGCAGATCACCATCTAAGAGCAACATAATATACAGTGCGCAGAACACAACAATACAGGCAGACCTTGCTTTGCTTGTACACCCAGAGCACCGCCTCCCTGGTAAATACTCTGCCCATGTGCCTCATTGCAACTCATTTAAAAAAGACACCAATGGTAATGGCTTCACACCCTTGGTCACATGTATACACATACAGTAAGTATCGTTTATAAAGTGACCGGATATAATGATATACCGGTTATAGTGATAGAACACGTCAAAATCAAAATCAAATCTGAAAAAATACAGCTAAAATATCACTATATACACTATTATCGGCTATACCGATATATCGCTTATTGTGATGGCCTTCAGGAAGCAAACCATATCAAATGTACAGGAAAATATCGCATATAATGATCAAGAGTGATCTTTCTGCATGCTCTTGTCCGTTTCTGGCTGTGTTGCCTCTCACGATGATGTTGCCAACTCACGTACACAGCCACTCATGTCTATTTCTGGCTCTACGCAACTCGTTGGACACCGAGTAGATCTACGATCTACGTGAGCACGGATCCAGCTCAGGCTTTTTTTGGAGAACACGCTGAAGAAGCAGCCATGCCACATGATGTATCGAAGTTCTAGTACATGTACAGTCTGTACTCGTACTGCACTGCCATGCACTGCTCTGTGTCATGCACCGGTACACAGTCCGCGGAGCATGCATGCACTTTCAGCATGCTTTTTCCAGCGTGTACGCATCATTTCATGTGCAGTCATGTGCCATGTGTCGGTCAAACATGCAAATCGGCTATAGTGATGCACCGGATATAGTGATACATTTTCGAAAATCAAAGGGGCACGTTATATCCGATATTTACTGTACCTAACTTCCACTCGAGCATTTTGATCTTGTCAAACACAACAGTACGCATCTTGTTGAACTGCGAACGCCGTTTGTGCCGCAAGTGCACGGTATCCCTGGGCGGAATCAAAACAAGAACCACAAGCATACTGTCAGAAGGGAAGTGTTCTTCTCTACTAGGAGATAAGGCATGGTGCAACAATGTGCAGCAATGATATACGTATAGTACTGAAGTATGTATGATCAAAGCAGCACAGAAAGATGGTCAGCTATGGAGGACAGAGCAGATGGTCCGTCATATCTCACAACTGCTACTGTGCTCCCGAACACAATTATTATTATTATCAAATTTTTGATAGGGCAATCCCCACAGGCCTAAGGCCTTCTTACAGGGTACCCTAGAAATGAAAGTACAATCTCTACCAAACCATCGTTGTCATGATTTACCACTAAAACTGTAGTCACGGTTACTGTTGCTGTTATCACCATAAAACATCAACACTCTCACAAACCTGTAATCCGTCTCCCAAATCGAATAGATGGGATTCCATGGCTCGTATTCTGCGAAGTTCTCCTCCTCCGACGTCTCCATCTCGTAGGCCTTCAGGCAGTACGCCTTGACAGGCATGCAACCGAAATAGAAGACGAAAAACAGACATTCATCAGTTTGAGGGAAAGTTGCAAAAAAAGAGACACAAAATAATTGAAAAATATGCCCAGTGCATGCAGATGTGTGTGGAAAGTGCTTGCCGAGTATGGTGAGTAAGGCTAAACACTGCCAGGCCACAACTCACCGCACTGTTTTTGCCTACACAGCTGACCAGTTACAAATTGCTTACAACTACAGTCATGGTCAAACAAACCCGACTGATGTGCCGAAAGCAGTGCCAAGGCTTATGTGACCCTCAGATCGGTTTTTGGGACTTGCAACGGCAGACCAGATATGGAGTTTGCAAGTCATGCTTGACGGTACAATCATAGTACGTTTTTTCTGATTCGTTCACCTGCTGGGTCATGGGAGAAATTGCCAGTCAATCCTCGGTAGTATAGTGGTGAGTATCTCCGCCTGTCACGCGGAAGACCCGGGTTCGATTCCCGGCCGGGGAGGACATTCTTTTTTTTAGAGTGCTAATTCGATTTGGGTACATTGAAGCAAAGTTGCCTAAGGGCCTGGTCAGACTGCGGCAAAATCGAAATAATCCTGGGATTATAATCCGAATCTCCATAGTAACTTGCCGCCAGAGCGGCAAAAGCGAGAGTTGACGCTCCAAAAAAAAAGCAAGAACGGACCACGTTTTTCCGCTCCAAACAGGATTTGACGCTGATACGCCATTGACGCTGATAATCACTGATTTTTTCATCTCGATATCGAGGAGCTAATTGGCCACGGACAACAACAAAACTCATAAGGATGGTTGCAAGGATTGCACTGAAGGTGTTGGCGATCCCCAAGGTGAAGGAATTTGACGTCGTTCGTGGAGATTATCACTTGACGCTCGAAATGAAGTTTGAATTTTAATTCTCCCCACATGTGTAGTGTGATCGCGATTCAAATTCTGGACGCTGTTCTTTTTTCGTCAGGCAACCAAAATTTGCCGCAGTCTGACCAGGCCCTGAAGCAGGATTCACAGAAGCTTTTTTGCGATGCGACACGCGATGCGACTGCCGCGAAACTCCCAAATCGCAGCCATCTCGCACCCCACGCAACTGCCGCAACTGGGCCATCGCAGAAGTTGAGCTTGGCTCAACTTTTGCGATGCGACAAGCGATTTGGCGTACGATTTTGACCTTTTCTACAGCAAAGTTGTACAAAGGTTCAACAGTTGCCTATAAATTTGTACAAGTTGTACCAAACCGCGCGAATATCATGGTGACGTACCCAAACCAGCAAGACGTCGCATCGCTGACTTCTTCTGTGAATGGTATTTCGCGAGTTCGCATCGCACGCATTCGTCGCAGATCACGTCGCGTCGCGTGTCGCATCGCAAAAAAGCTTCTGTGAATCCCGCTTAAAGCGGGATTCACAGAAGCTTTTTTGCTTAAAGCGGGATTCACAGAAGCTTTTTTGCGATGTGACACGCGATGCGACGGCCGCGAAACCGGGAAATCCCCAAAACGCAGCCATCTCGCACCCCACGCAACTGCCGCAACTGGGCCATCGCAAAAGTTGAGCTCGGCTCAACTTTTGCGATGCGACAAGCGAGTTGGTGTACGATTTTGACCTTTTCTACAGCAAAGTTGTACAAAGGTTCAAGAGTTGCCTGTAAATTTGTACAAGTTGTACCAAATCGCTCGAATACCATGGTGACGCACCCACCTGCATTGAACTTCACGCCAAATCAGCAAGGCGTCGCATCGCTGACTTCTTCTGTGAATGATATTTCGCGAGTTCGCATCGCCCATCGCATCGCAAAAAAGCTTCTGTGAATCCCACTTAAGTACATCAGGCCACGTACAAGAGAACATAAGCAAGAGAGTGCAACTCGATGATCTCTCAGCCCACGACTGATTATTTTTTCATAATACCAGTCTTTCCTGGCGACCTGGCCAGCATATTCAGCTTACCAAATACTCAAACTTCTTGTCGGCATACTTGTTGACTGTCAACTGAGTGTCCGGCAGTGCCTGTCCACAGTCACATCAATCAAAAAGAAGAAAGAAAAACACGTGACAACGAGACAAGCTTGCAACAATTTCCAAACTTGCAGGCTAAGCGGTGTAAAGTGGATATAGGACACAGACAACAATACAATGTCATAGTCAAGTAATATTTTGTTCTCTGACTGAGAGGAAGAAAAAAAGACATCACAGAAACTCAGGTTTCTACTGCATGGCCGGACTCACCTTGGACAGCAAGGTGTGCACTGATTCCAATGTCTGACAAAGAGCAAAATAACACAAACCAATCAAAACCAGTTTTACAGTTTTCGTTTCACACACGAGTACCGTATTTTACCGGTTGTAAGTCAACCCCGGTTATAGGTCGACCCCCGTATCCGGAGGTCTCAATTCTGCGTTTTAAAGTTTTCACCCAACGAAGTACTACTAACCACTCCCTGCTACAAACATATCAACAAATTATGTAAACATTCCTTATTGGAGGGTATAACGTCCCAATCCTTGAAAAAGGCCAATAAACTGGCAAACATGTGTACACATGGTGCACTCGTGCATGCAGTGCAGGTCATTTTTTGTAGAATACTGATAGTTCCCGGTTATATGTCGAATCCCGGTTGTAAGTCGACCCCCACCCTTTCTCCTTCTATGTTTAGTCGTAAAAGGTCGACTTACAACTGGAAAAATACGGTACTGTGACTTGAACTCAACTCCACACATACATAGCATGTGTGCAAACACGTTCTTAGCAAGACCGTGACGGCAATGGGAAATCGCGATTGGTCCTTTTAAAGAAGTACTGCAGTGTCAAAGTGAAGACCGTTGAAAACAAATTACACACAACAGATCCATCATCATATTCTGCTGTACCAGCTCACCTGTAGGCACTTCTGTATGCACTCATCCACATTGTCTGCAATTTTCCTGCAGGCCCAAGACAAAGCAAGCACACAGTACATTTTAATGCAGAACATGTTTGTATACAGCACTGTCTGGTGCACCAGAGCTTGGCCGGGTTCTGGGTCGTGGCCTAGGCCGTTCTTATTTTTCACAGTGTACAACTGTCTATAATTTTAGCTGAGCCACCATGTACACAAGGGTATCCTGTACCTGGTAAAATTCCAGCCTATTCATTTGTCGGCGCGTCGTTCTTGGGCACCCAACATTACTCAGTGTACAGCACTTTGTTATACCATACTGTATTACTGAGCAAGGTCCATTGCTGAGCTTTTCTTTTTAAGGCCACCATGATTCCATCTGATGTCAAAGAAATCGGTAATAAAGTGGAGCCGTGATAAGAAGAGCAGTGATAAGACAAGCGTTGGTTTGAGAAGAACAAGTATTTTCGGGGTCTGTTGGACACTGTGTATTGACTGGGTGTAAAGTACGGATACATAAAATAACCACTTGCACGAACAAAGTTTACCGGAAGTTTACCGGAAGTTTACCGGTCCTTTCATGTTCATCACAAAGAGGGTCACCATTATGGAGGAATGGGTGCTACTAAATAATGGTGTACTTGATCCTTGATGGTGGTGGCATTCCTACGGATGCGGAAAACTCGGCTAGAGGCCGAGTCTCACGCAAACCGTGAATTTATTAAAAAGTATTTATTTTTTGACAGACATGCAAAGAACACTTCATTCAAACTGAGCTGTGCTCACCGCAGTTTGGAGGCAACGAGCATGAACGATGACGACACCTCGGTCTGCCGCTCCTGCGGTGCAAGTTGATAGAATACGTCTGCCATATCTGCAGCACACTAGCACACACGCGCATGTCAGTCTCAACCCTGCAGAAGTACTAGTACATGTACAGTAACACTCAATCTGCGGACAGAACTCACGGTTTCGCCCTTTGTGGACTCAACAGCGCAGCACAGAGGAAATGAGGCCGAACCTGATAGCACAGTATACATCACTCACAGTCAGCTTCCCTGTAGCATGTAGCCGAAATGATGATCATGAGGCAGGCACCACTTGAAAACTCACCAGCTGTACAGAAGCTTGCAAAACACACCAGCCTCTTTGCAGATACCCGCAAGCTGCCATGACAACAGGAATATTTCGACTTTAATGCACCCGTCGGATACGTATTTCACCTCAGGCTATGGTAATTGATGGCCCTAGAACTTGCTGCAAAGTATGATGGCACTTTTACCGAGTCAGCACCCCTCCTACCCCACACACCCCTATACCCACATGCACAACAGCAGCAGCGTTGTCCCATGCTTCACTCACCTCGGTGTATAGTGGCAAGCTTTCGAAACTCTGCCAAGAATAGGCACAGCTGATGTGCAAACGCTGCATTATACAGGCGAGATTAGAAAGTCAGAACTACATGGTCACACGTCAAGCGCGTAGCAGCTATGTCCTTTGTCAACAGCACGCCCACTGAGACCATGGTTACCGGTACATGGTACATGCATCACAATCATGCTGAATGCAATGTAACACCCCCACCCCCCCCGACCCCCCATCCCCCCGGCCAGAGTCCAGAATCATGATGTGCACTACAGTGCATTTCAAAACTATAGACGCGTAGGGTTTTTGAAATATTTCAAATTTGGCTGGAACTTTTTGAGAATAGTTTTCGGAATATTGCTCAGGATCGCTCCACAATTACTCTCATATAGTTTCTAAACGATTGGATAACAGACGCCCAATTTGGAAAAATTTATGCACAAAGTGATCACAGATTTTATGTGGTATAGATGCTGGCATAACGGTTTTTGCCTAGGTACGCGTCTATAGTTTTGAAATGGACTGTAGAACGGAAGGCATACCCATACCAAGTACAAGTAACAATGTAACATCGCAAGCATCCGTGACTAACTAACTAGATTGGTGTAGTAGTGCTGAGAAGCATACCTTGCCCGCCATGACCTAGGGTTTCTATAAGCCTTCATTGCATTATCACAGGGTCTCACGTAGTAATCAATAAGTAAATGTTGTGCATAGACTAGGTATTACACGTGTATCAACCCTGTTGATGTTGATGTTGTTGTCACGAGTGTTGTTGTTGTTGCTGCTGCTGCGGCGACGGCGGTGCGCGCGCGCGCGCGCGGGGGGGGGGGGGGGGGGGGGGTGGTGGTTCAGTGTGATTGTTGTCATCGTCGCCGTTAATGTCGAGCATTATCATTCGCACATTACGGAAAACCTACCTTTGCAAAACTGTGCCATGCGCTTCAGCCTGTCCAGTTGCACAGTTAGCTTGTCTGCAGAACCAGACAGCACACCATGTTTAACAGTGGTTTTAGAAAGTGATGTTGCAAAACCGTAAACAGCACTGTCCGCAGACTAACTAGACCTGAGAAAACTGTGCCCCCCCCCTCTTTCTCTCTCAGTATGGCATCATGTGACTTTAAAGATTGGACAGCTTGCAGCTTACCATTGACAAGCATTGCATGGCAAATGCCCAATGTATCTACCGTGTGTTGCGACATTGTCTCAACCATCCTGTGCTTCAGTGCCTTTAGTGCTGCAGGAAAATTACACACATGCACGCACACGCATGCACACGCGTGCACACGCGCACACACACACGCGCGCGCACACACACACACGCATGCACACACACACACACACACACAAAGATGCGTATGGGCTTCTTTGGACATACAATCAATCACTAACTAATAGAGACTGATAACCAGTCAATCCTCGGTAGTATAGTGGTGAGTATCTCCGCCTGTCACGCGGAAGACCCGGGTTCGATTCCCGGCCGGGGAGGACATTCTTTTTGCACATTTTCAAGTCGAATGTTTTTTAAAGTTATTCCCTGGTTACGGGCAATGGCAGTAGTTCCTAGCGAAGAAATCAAAACCAGTACGAGCACGGTAGCATCAAATTCGGACCGTGAACCGTGGAATACGATGAGGCAGATCATAATACGGCATCGGCTAGTTGAAAGGCAGTCGCCACAATCATACGACGTATACAGCGTCTTTCTCTTCAGTTCCCGGCATGGCCTGGGCATATAGGTCAATGTGGTGGTGGACGGGATGCCCGTGCCACTCTAACATGAATCAACATGTCAAAATAATCATCAAACAACCTCACAGCGTTGGAAAATTGCTAAGGTCACCGTCCAGCATATTGCCCGGAAGTCCACAAGGAGGCTGCAACAACTGGTAAGCTTTGGAGGTTCCCTTCGCACATGACCTTCCAATACCCATTGTATTTAGTTCCTCATTGCGGAAGCCCTGCCAGGCCGACGATAAAATCGCATGTTTGTATTTGTGTACCAGTTACGGAGCCTCCGCCTCTGTCCTCCCCGGCCGGGAATCGAACCTGGGGGGGGGGGGGGGTCTTCCGTGTGACAGGCGGAAATACATACCACTATACTACCGAGGATCAACTGGCAGTTTACAAGGTGTGCTAGTGGAGTATTGCCAGACATACAGCTGTACCCGGTGAAATCCTACTCATAATGCATACCGGTACTAGCATGTGCATGGCGCTTCGGACCTGCCCGCATGCCCTTGACGCCCCGGAAGTGGCACAAATACAGGCTACTGGCCATACACACGTACAAATAATCATAGTGATGCAATAGGAACTGGTCCAGGGTGCCAGGTTTGCACTCCTGGTTGGATTTCACTGAGCCCAACCGCAGTAAGTTCTGAACTATGCATGAGTACTTATAGGCCACATTGCTGTTTGAAGTACAATGTACACAGGAGAGAATAAGCAGCTGTGTTCATGAATCAAGTGCCACGATAGAACGATCATATTCGTCTGATGATCACAGAACGCGGAATTCCGAATCCAAGACAACCGAAAAGGCGTCAAGAAAGTCCCCAAAGACCTTGCCAAACAGCAAAAGCTGTGCATTGATGTTATTGAAAACACTGTGTCAGTAAGAAGCAAACCGCAACCAGCTTACTGATGTCAAGACCCTTCGTTTCGTCGGCCAATGTCCAGGAGTTCATCTCCAGAACAATCTCACCCTGGATGCACACATACAATACACACATGCATGACTCCATGATGATCTCGCCGATGAGTACGTGATGAAGAACATTGAACTGTGACAGTGACCCCCCCCCCGTGCCGAAGAACGCAGGGTTAAGTGCACTCATTGCTCAGTTTTGTTTTGTTGGGAGAATCCCAGTCTGCCCGTTCTCCGGGTGAGTGGTGTCACTGAAAGTGGAGATTGTTGCAAAGATGACACAAAATTGGTTTTGATTTCCGTGAAAGTTTTAAACATAAACATTTTTACGTTACCCCACTCACCTCAGATTCTTTGAACAGGCGATTGACATATTCCTTGCCTGATCCCTTGACAGAGTTACCATTGACCGACATGATCTCGTCACCGGCCCAGATTTTACCGCACTTGGCCGCTTCACTTTTCAGGTGGACATCGGCAATGAAAATGGACCGGTAGTACGGCGATCCGCCGCACACCGTCAGTCCGATGCGGCCTTTGACTCTGGGCAGCGTTACAACAACTCGCATTGCACTGCAGTCTACAGCCTACAGGCCGGCAGCAGCACGCCTTCGATGAGCACTATCTATCTCCTGATTTGCAGAGCCATTCACTCCTTGACACCAGGTAATCGGGTTTGTACAACTCCCTGCCCGTAATACTCTGTATCGTGAATCAAGCTTAGCGGAGCGCAACCTTGGCCGGTCAAGCAGTCCGCATGTGATAATAATGAGGTACCGTTCTGGACATGGAGCGTATGCCGCCACCCGCCAGAAAGTCTACTGTTCAAACTTCAATGCTACATAACCAACGAGTCGCTGTCCAGGATTCGCTACGACGCACGCAGCAAATTGTCTGCGGCCCCCCTGTCTTCTGCCGTCGTATTTGGGTGCTGGGTAGGGACAATAGTCACAATACGCTAGTTATCCCTCTCCCCTTGCGATGCAGTCAAGGTAGTAGGCCAACACACGCCACTCGCAACCTGCACGCCACCAGAAGGCACACGCAATTGGAAAATTCAAAGTAAAGTGACAAACGATTCGAGAACCATGGCATGGCATGGACGCAAATGACGTGCCGAAATGAGTTTCCTGTCTTCTGGCGGGCTTGACCATGACCGTCAGCGGCTTACTTCCACATCCTTGCAGATGACACAAGATAACAGTAACACTCACACGTCGCTTTTTGTGCACGTGCCCATGCCAGGGAGTTGTAAACTGATATCATTGGCCCATGGGTTTACTACTACTACTACTACTACTACTCCAGTCCCAGGCACTGGCACTTGGCAGCAGGGAGTGGGGGGGGGGGGGGGGGGGGGGGGTACTACTCCCTGCTTGGCAGTCTGGCACATACCGTCCCCAAAATTGGATTTGGTTACCGCTTACTAAACTAAGTGTTACTTTACCAAATCCGAATCTAAATCCGAGGACAACTTGGGGGAGCATCATACTCAATTTTCGGATGATGCTACTATGCTACAGACCTTGGGGCTTGGGCAGAAGCAAGTTTCTAGTTTCTACACATTTGTTGACCAATTGCTAGTGTACTAAGTCTTAGTAAACTGATATAGTATAGACATGCCCTAGCGCAGCCAGTAACAGTTAGTACATGACATACATTGTATAGACCATTCTAAGCAGCCATGTCCGCACTCTTGAGGCGAAATGGTGCAGGCTGAGAGGTGAACAGCGCAATCATGCGGCGTTGCCAAAGGTGAGTTTTACTGTGCCTGCACGGTACCCCGTCACTGAGCCATACCGGTAGTATACCCATGCGCAGTTCCATTCACATGTCACCATTCTCCATGACAACAGCTCCAATAACGGATGGCGTGATTGGTTTCGTGTAAGCGGTATAATTATAGGAAAGCACATGCCAAACAAACCATCAAAGATCATAAGGCTGTCCTATAACCATACACATGACGTACAGGAGCATGCAAAATAGACCAGTATCCAGGGAATCACGGAGATCACCCTGCAATATGTAGAGTTTCAGCAGTAGAATCCGAAGCAGAGCCGTCTATGTGCCTTGACTTGGAAGCAACGGTTGCATGCGAAAATGTCTTTGGTGCCAGTCTGATTATCCCCCCCCATGTCCACCGAAGTAGCAAAAGTGTATGCAGATGTATTAACGAATCAGCACTGAAACACACTCATGGGTGCAATAAAATCCACGAGATTGGCGTTCCAAGTAGCGGGTCGAGAACTACCATTTCACTCCCAGGTGCAGGTTGCTAGCACTCTGTATGTCCGAGTAAAAACTACATAGGATCTGTAGCATTCCCTCTCACGGTGCTGCACTGATGAGTCCACAAAGGACGAAACAGTTCTGTCCGCAGATTGAGTAGGATCTATAGCCGTGGGCCGGATGATAGAGCAAGATTCAACAACCAGTGCGCTGCTCGTCACAGTGAAGGCTGTACCAGTTAAACGCCCGTACACTTTGGCTTGTTGTCGGAGCATTTGACATTCTTCACATTGTGATGAGCCTCGTCTACTACGATGCCAATCGGTGAGTCCTTGCCAGCTATGTTGTTCTACAGCAGAGCAGCACAAAGGACAGTGGAGCAAACACAAGTCAGTGACACATGCGGCAACGCTGCTGATTAGAGAACCAGCAGCACTGGTATGGCATAGGTCTGCACATGCAGTACTTGCAAGCTCAAATTCCGAGCATATACATGTACATGTACATGCAGGCAGGCGTAGGGCAATTCAAGAATGCATCATGCCTTATAAGTCAAAGCGCAGGAGTGCACATGCATAGGCGATCGCATGTATGCATGTGCGTGTGTGGAGGGGGGGGGGGGGGATATGACAAATGCCTTATAATTTTTACTACAGTACATGTACTAAGTTTGATAAGTTTTTAAGATCTCTTACCGAAATAACACTATCCTCCACATTGTACAGTTTGTAGTAAAAAATTGGTCCGGATGAACCACTTGAGAAATCATTTCCATGCCAAATATTGCGATATCCGTCATTACCGCTCGCGGCCTGATGCAGGAGACCTTCCCCGTCTACTGTTGTGTAGTGGCCATCGGATACTAACTGTCGATTGACATTGGCCGTGTTTGCGCTGACATTGTTTGCGTATCCCTCCTGGTTGAAGCCCCGGTTTTCGTTCGTGTCCGAGCCTTTGCTAAGATGTACACCATCCACAGTCCAGCATGTTGTGCCTTTAGCCACTTCCACGTGGTTACTGACAATCTAAAGGGCAAAGGGCAAATAAGACCCAGAGAACATCATCAAGTATGGAGAGCTTCCTAGCTAAAGACCATGTGACCTCTGAAGGGAATGAGCTGAAATCATCATGTTCATCACCATTCAAAGGTCTCTCTCTCACCCATCACGGAGTTGTTGGAAACGTTTTGGCTGACTAGCTCCAGCCGGTGGCATCATTTTTCAAAACACTGCGTGCACTCGACAGGGCTAGTGAGGTAGAAAGAGAGGAAAAGAACACGGCGGGAGCACCCACACTCACGTACGTGCACATGTATTTATGCATATCAAACAGTCCACCTTGTAACCATAGCAATGATCTTAAAATACGGTTTAAAAATTGAAATTCAAATCAGTGATTGTTGTACCGGGTAAACTGTAGTGTCTTGTATAAAAGCCTGTCTCGTATAGAAGCCTGTTTTGAATACAAGCCTGATTACTAACATGCAGTGTCAGCACTTACTTGTTGTAGCATTGACATACATAGAGATACGTGCTTCGAATAGAAGCCTGCCTCAAATGAAAACCTAGTACTGGCATCGGCTTCTACAGGAATAAGCACGGCTTTTATACGCGACATTACGGCATGTGCTTCAGTAGTCTTATGCTGGACTCTTATCATAACATCTTACAAGTAGCACTATTCATAGGGACTACTTTGAAGTAAACTGGTGGCACTGCAGCCTCCTCCTACCTGTGGTCCTGATCCGATGGTTTTGCCATCACCGCCTCCACTCCAACTGATGCCCACACGACCGTTCATGTAGATGTAGTTGTCACGGACAATGACACCGCGTGAGAAATACCACGGCGCACATTTCGGGGTCAATGAACCTGGGCTTGATGGGCACTTGCCCGACTTGGAATAGGCACCGATTACGCCACCCAACAACACCTGTCCAGCATCAATGCCATATCGATTGTCGTAGGGGTAATCCGTGGTCACCGTCTTTTCTGTCGGCTTGCCTACATCCAGTTTTATGGTGGTCTTTGCAAATTTGTCGGACTTTGCGAGCAGATTGTTTGCAACCAGTGTGTTGTTCTCGCTGTATGCAGCAATGGCTGCGCTCCAGCGATATGGCCAGATATTGCCAGTGGGCGAAGCAGGGTCTGGGTACTTGTATGACACGTCCCGGATTCGATTACCGAACACCAGCTTGTTGCTTCCCATGCCCAGTACGTCTGTGGCATAGTAGAAATACGACTTGAGGTTGAACTTGCTAGGGCTGTTCAACGCCGGCCAAAGCATCACGGCACAACCACTAAGATCCAAATTAATCACTCCCATATTCATAGCTTTCGGGTCGCTATTGAAAATGCCCATGTGCTCCCGATCTGGACATTCAAGAACCGTCTTTGGAGCCAGGTTGCCTGCTTCCTTGTTATTCCTCGCCTTCTCAGTGCCTGTTGGCTCCCCGCGTAGCACCACGCCGCTAGCCAGAACGAAGTTCTCTTTGAGTGTGTACTTACCAGCAGGCAGATACACCACGCCGCCACCCGACGCTACCGCTGCTTTCTGGGCACTCTCCAAGTCGTCGTGGAAGTCCTTCACATTGAACACGCAGCTCCAGTTGACCATGCGATTCACCCACGGGTAGGTTGCATTGCCGTACATGCTCGCCACAGGATTGTCCGTCGGTCCACCCGACTTGCTCCCGGTGCACGATGCGGATAGTAATGTTTGGTTGGCAGCGACAGCGGTCGTCGAATGCTCGCCGTATCCATTACCGGCTATATCACCATCATTCATTCCCTCAGCATTCTGGTGATGCCGGAATGGGCCAGAGTAGTCGGCACGAAACGGGAAATGTTCATTGATTCGGATTTCTCGTGCCTCCAACACAGGCGACGATACTGAAATTAGGAGGCGGAGGAGAAAAGCGCACCATGCCACTGCCGATGAGAGAGCCATCGTTGTAGAAATCCGCCAGAGGGACTACAGGATCATCAAAGACTCTAACGTCGTAAAACAGCGGCCTGACGATGGATAGGAAGGGGAACGACGGGGAGAACGAATACCTCCGGAGCACCGCCAGCGGGACTTCACCGCGAAACTCGCCCAGCTGTTTGTGCTGACGTGCTGTACTGGTAAAAACTTTTTTTTTTTTTTTTTTTTTTTTTTTTTAAAACCAAGAACATATGCAATAACATGTTATTTATAAAGACAGGACAAGTGAATAATTAGTCAGTCCATTGTTCATGATGATCTCCGACGGTTACGTCGGCAAGCGAGCCTCCGCCACTGCCAAAGCAGCGTGGGCTCCGCAGGAGGGTGCAAATTTCAAACCAAAATTTAAACGCCTACAACCGCGAATGCACATGATACAGGATTTCAGAAGGCTGAAGGAAATCCTGCATCTAACAAATGCCATAACATGAGAGTAATGCTCACCCCTCTTCTCCGCCAACAGATGAGCAATTCGTTTGTACAGTGCTGTTGATGCTGGACCCATTCCGCCACTGGCTGACATGACCGCCGGAACAAAGGAGGCTTGCTCAACCTGCCTCACCCGCTCCTCATAGTGCCTTCTCTTTTCTTTTTCATGTCGCTGATACACAATAGTATGTGGTGCAGATCGATTTGAGCGTGAGTGAGGATTAAAAACCCGTATATCAATAAGTGTACGCTCAAAACGACTGCCCCACAAACCATTGGCAGCGACATCCAACCGGGCACGGTCTTCCACATTTGCGGTCCGGTAGCGAAGACGCTCCCCCGTCAGCGGTTGCAGCAAGGGCTCGATGGACACACTGGTGCACACCTCGTCCAGCAGCCGGGCCGTGACGTCCCGAATACCATTGTGAAAACTGCTCACATGATACTTCTGTCTGCTGAGTGATCATGCATTCATGGTGATGATCGTGAAATATTTTCTTTTTCACATTTTAAAAAGTCATCGCAGCATGCAAAACAGCCTCTGAGTCTGATCTCCTGTGAGGCTGTGACTGTGTGTCATGCGGATGTAGACTAGTACTACATGATTCAGTCATAATTATGTGATCTACCGTTACAATTATTTCATCCACTAACAAGTCTATGGTCTGAGGAGCTACATGTACTTATACTTGCACATAACAGTTAGTCTAGTCTCCTCCTCTCCATGAAGGCCTACTGATAGTACTTGTACCAAGAGTATAATACTCTTGATAGTACATGTAGATATGGCGAGACTGAATTGATACCCAGGAAAATTGGTGATTGATGAAGACTTTGATGGCCATGCATGATTACAATCATCTACCTAGTACCTGTAGTCGACTGTATAAACCCGACAACTGATGGAGGGAACTATAATAGCATACCTACTACGTAACCTAGTGATCCAGGTCGATTTTAACGGTCATGCTTTCTCCAAATAAGCCAAACCGTTTTGAAAAGTCTTGCAGATAGTATGATTCCGTAACGTTTTCATGTCACCATCATCAGTGGAATTCATGGCCGCAGCGATGAGGACAAGAATGCCGAGAAACATGATTGTATACACATGGCGAACATTGAAGCAGATATATTAGGAGCTCCTCGTGGCTTGGTGTAAATCACCGTCTCACAATAAAATTAATACAATCATGTAACAGTAAAGTTAGCCGGATTCGCGGCCGCATCATATCACTTGACGTGGTTAAAAATCATGTACGTACATACTCGTACATACCGTGTACTGGGAAAATTACACATGTCTGCAGGTGTATGTGAGACAAAACTATGATCATCAAGTAAATCAGCTCAAATTCGGATAGCATTAGCATGCATGCATAACTAAGCACATGTGACAATGGTGCAGTGTAACATTGGAGACCTCCAGTACTGCTCCAGTACTGCTCCACAGCTATTTCCACACTACGGCGGTACCAATGATCTGTCTTTGTCGCGTTGGTGTGCGGCACAACTAGTTTCAGAGCCTATAAAAATTAATAGTAATAATTCCAAGTGATGTGTGTGTGCGATATAGCAGGTTCTACAACTAGCATTCAATCGCTGAAAGCGTTATTTGCTTATACTGCCTTACTTCATTTCCACTAGCCTAACAATACCTCTTCAGCTGACTACTCAGTGAAGAAGCTTCAAATCAGGAACGTTGAGAAGGAAAAGACCTCATATACAAGCATGCACACAGCGTTACATAACTATAGTAGGTTCTATGCTGCCGACAATAGAATAATTATTATTCTATTGTCGGCAGCATAGCCTTGAACCTATCCCAGTATTTTGATATAATTAGTATCTACGACCAAGAGTTTGCCAGGTTATAGGTGAGCTAGCCGAGTCAGTCTACTGCAAAACAAACACACACGGCGCTGGCCACAGGCATTGAAATAGCACACCTGACTCCTGCCACCCTGCTACAAAGGTGTGTCCTGCTCCGGTGCTCCCTGGGTTGCACTGCTCTGCTTGCGCATTGTCGGCACTGGCGCATAACCTCCGTCTGCCTCGACTGAGCCATCTCGACAGGAGGGCTCGCCGCAATCCGGCTTTTGCAGCTCCAGCAGTGGTTCCTTCATCGTAGAAGCCGAGCCGTCATTGGACATGGGCGCCCAGGAGCTCTCGGGGCCGAGATGCGCAGTACTCTCACCGGCATAGCTGTTTGACCACCACTGTGAGGTGTCATGCTTCGCCATCTGGATCAACAGAGACCGGAAATAAATGGTACAAGTACCGCATGCGTAGATGGTTTGGATGTATATTGCGCATGCCTGGAGAATGCAACTCAAACTCTCACATGACATTGTGCACTTGCCAGTAGGGTTGCCACCTAGCAAATTCTAATAGATCAGTGCCACGGTCCATGCTTTTCGTGTTTTGCTGCCTCTGCACATGTGTATGCACTAGCCTACCATACTGTGACGCAGTACAAATGACCTAAATATTCACAAAGGACACAGCCACAGGGTTCAGTACACCTGACAATTCGTGTACTTTGCAACTTTCCTCTCTCCACATGAAAGTCAGGAAACGGGCCAGGTTGCCTGAGTTAGTCTGCACTATTGCACCCCGCAAGCACAACCTCCATCACCGCAGGTGCATTAGTCTGTCAGGTGCAAAGCCTTTCACTAGCATAATAGTCACCAGTCAAGTACCGTAATTGGGTAACACAATAGGGATTATGGTGTTCCGAGTTCAACAATAGGGATTACGCAAAGTAGCTAGGCATGCAGCTAGACTTGATGTAGCCTTGGCAGCTACAATGCCATGTGTTGGCATACGAAGTGCATGCAACTGTTCTTGTCCTCTGGCAAGAAGCAAGTCGAAAGAACATGCACCACTTTAGATACCGTATGCAACCCAACTGCATTCCTCTGTCAAATCTATTTCCATGTTATTTAGCTGTTGCCTCAGCTTGCTCTTCTTTGCCATAGCAAAGTCTTCCTCTCACCTTCTTTCTTCGGACATAGAACACACTGTAGAGCTTCAGCACGGTTGCTACCGCGGTGCCGATTGCGAGCAGAATGAACAACCCACCGAGGTTGGACAGGGTCATTGGCTTCACGCCCTCCGTTGGTGAGTATGGCTGGCACTGGGTAGGGACGTATCGATTGAACAAGGCCGTTACCTGCAGATTCACCCGGGGATGCACGTACACGTATGGTGTGAAAAGTTCTCATTTACAGTCAATCCCGTTGATTTGAACACTATCTGCACAGTTGCTGTTTCAAAGTGATTCTGGGGACGGACCTACTTAACTAGTACATAACTATCCGCATGCATCTTCGGCTGTTGAGAAATTAGAAAACTGGTAGCTAAACGTCTTGTTCTGGCTCCTGGGGTTCGAAATTAAAGGGGCTTTGGGGTATATGAAAAGAGTCCGTATGCCGCTCAGTGCATCATAACGAATCATAATACAGTCAGACCTCGTTTGTCCGGATACCTCGCCATCCGGAAGAAAATCGCTGGCCGATGTGCAGCATATGTTATGCATACAACATAACCGGACCTCCCGATCCGCATACCGGTGCATGATTTTGTGCACAAGCTGGTTAAAATGTATACAAAAAGCTTCCTCGTATCCGGTTGCACGTGGCTTGCAGAAGCAGGAATCAGGGAGTTGTACAAGCAAATGAGGTCCTTGATCTGCTGGATGCATGCGGATAGCACTCAGTTGCATGCACTTGTCATTTTTCCCGCTTGTTTTACATACTGTGCACGATAGTTGTACTGCATAGGACCCGTCTACATGTATGTACGATGCCACTGCTTTTGACATGCCACATGCATATCCAGCATGTGTGTTCAGTTATCCGGTTCCCTTGCCTATCCTTGATATTTTTAAGCGAGGTCTGACTGTAGTAAGTTTGTTAGTTGAGCCTGCGGAAAATCAACCTGTTTGTCCTTTCAAGTAGACGTCTCCACCACCCCAAGGATGAAGGCACCAGAAGCAGCTCCTAATTTCTCCTTTATACGCTACGGCACATCTTTTTACTATATTTTGCAAACTGATCTTACCTTGCCCTGATTGATAAGTAGTCCAAGTGCCCTGTCGATCTCCAACTGCCATGGGGAATTTTTCTTGAACGCAAATGCATACTGCTGGGAATCCACCTGAAGAAACAAGTCCAATGTGCATGTATCTTTCAGTTGAATGATGTGAAGACCCCAATACAGCATCATATAATATAGAAATGGTGGTTAACACACATTTGGTAAAATGGCGATAAGTACACACCTACCCACAGAACGCTCTCTAGGCTGCAAAGTTCTGGCAAAGAGCGCTGCTTCTGTAGTTACCGCCATGGCCAGGTGTGTTTTAAGAACCATTTATCCTCTATCCTTCAGTTGTATGCAAAACATCTCCACTGATTTCCCTACGAGCTTTGGCGCAGCAGAAAACCAGCTGAAGACTTTTCAGTTTCTTTTTGGATACATGTACTGGATCAGGACTGGCCTTTTGCAACAAGTGTAAATGTTTGGTTTGGTTTGGTTTGGTATTTATTAATTCAGTTCGTTGCCTCAACAGTACAAAGTACAAATATCAAGAGGGACGAACGAAAAGAGAAAATAAAACAGAGCAGAGAGGAAGATGCAACTGAAAGGAAAGAAAAACGGAGAGAAACGGAGAAGGAATGTGGACTGGGCGGATTCATGAACCATTACTAGAGAGAAACGGAGAAGGAATGTGGACTGGGCGGATTCATGAACCATTACAGTGGATATCGGTTATAAAGTCATCGGACATAGTGATAAACCGGCTATATTGATACAAAATGAAAATATCAAAAGCAAAACCAGAAAAAGCCAGTCAAACTATCATTATAACCAATATATCGTATATAGCGATAAATCGGCTATAAGGATACAAAATCACCATTCAAAACACCTCTTTGTGCAGAAAAATTATCGTCTATAGTGATAGCAACACACGGAGTGTGAGGCACTGATATCTCGACTTGGAGCCACATGTGTGTTGTGATAGGGTATTCTGGTCTGGTGCTTCCTGGATGATGCCTTTGGGCCAAGAAGTTCTTCACTCTAGACTGGAGAAGGTGCGGTAGCATCCATCACGTATCAGTACGCTACATTAGCGCGATCGAGTACCCACACGTGTATAATGTGTATGTATGAAGCGCGCAGTTGAAAATCGCCTGTAGTGATATACCGGTTATAGTGATAAAATGTGAAAAATCAGAAGGGCACGTTATAACCAATATCTACTGTACTAGAGCAGGGCAATGCATGAACAGAAGGGGCAAGTCCGTCGATATTCATGTTTAAAAAATTCCAAGCCTTATTTTATTGGAATAACCGACGAGGAGACAAAAGGAATTGTTTCATTTTAATTGTTTATACATGGTTATGAGTGCACAATTGATATTTTTCATTGCTATTTTATTTTATTGGTGAAATACATTTTCAAAAAGGAGGGGATATAAGGATATAGTCAATTTGTCGTCATTTAGAGCGTGCAAAAGTTCTGTAGAAAATGATCTAATGTCCTCACTTCCTTTCAAGTGAGCAGGGAGGACATTCCACATAAGGGATGCTCTGGAGGAAAAGGAATTGTACCCTACCATGGATTTATACAAGCAAATTGACAAATTGTTTGTTGTAGTTCCACGAGTTGACCGCTTAGAGGTGGGCAAAGGGAAAAGACTGCGTAAGCATGATGCAGGCTGAACAATATGACAAATAAACGTAAACGTAAGAAATTGATAAAATTAATGTATCGATATTCAAGGTGTTTTATTTGAAGAGAAGCAAGAAGGGGTGGTACAGCAGCATGATATGAAGCACCGCAGGTAACTCGTACAGCTCTACAGAACAAGGTAAACAATCTCTCCCTGGACTGTGCTGATAGGTGAGATGCGTAAACAGGGAAACAATACTCAAAGTCAGGATGAATCACACTAAGCAGGTACTGGCGACGGGCAAATGCTGCCATTTGGCGGAAGGTGCGTCGCAACGCGCCTATCTTGCGTGACACCTTGCTGGTGAGGTGATCTACGTGTGGAACAAATGAGAGCTTGTTATCGATAAGGATACCAAGGCAGCGAATTACACTCACTTCCCTTAAGGTAGTGCCGCCCAGCTCAACAAGAACGGGTCTTTGTACGTCAGGAGCATTCTTCGGCAAGATCCTCATGACCACGGTTTTGTCAACATCAACGCTCATGCCCAGTGATCTTAGTTCATTTTGTAGCTTAGCGAGAGCCGAGGACACGACATCGGCGCATACTATTGGATTTCGTGAGGAAGCGTACAAAGTCTTGTCATCGGCAAACATGAGGAGCTTTGCACCGCTCCCTGCAGCCAGGTCAGGTAAGAGTCGCACATATAGGTTAACCCTTTACTGTCCGTACATACAAGCATCGATCCAATGGGATCGATGGGGTAGGCATTTTGAAATTATCGTAACTTGCTCAAATCTAGGTCTTTTGGAGAGATCGAAATATGTAGGTCGAAGAGAAAAGTCTCAGCTGTCGCCTCGAACAATTCCCGAAGCGATACGAAGAGCGCTTGCTGAGTTATCGCACTCGTAATTCTGGTCCCGGGAAATGTGCGTTCAGAGCGCGACGCACATGTCGACGGCTGGGATTTTCCCTGTTTACGTCACCTCTTGGCAAGGCTACACCGATTCAAATTCAAACGTAGGTTCCCGGGAGTCTCTACGAAAATATTTGAGCTCGATACGAGCAACAGGGGTGACATGGTGGATTGAGATCGATCTCGAGCGTGAGCTCAGCGCTTTTGCGCGTTCCCTGGCTTGCAGCGCTGGACCAGTGCATCCTGTGGCACCGAGTGTGGGCTCATTGCGTTCGTCTCGTCAAGACCTTTCCAGGATTCCCAAGATCGTGGAAATCGTCAAATTCAAACCAAAGTTACGTCTAATTTTAGTTTCAGATTTTGTGGTTGCGTGGGCTTGTATACATTTTAATCGGACAGTAAAGGGTTAAAGGGGAAGTTAAGGCAAAAATTAAAATTTCACCAGTTGTAGTCTTCGGGGTGCTGAGTCGAATGGTCTTGGTCCGAGAAAGCTGAGACGCTCCCTTCCTACTTGAATCCCAATCGAACTCGCGCACTTCCACCGAAACTGGGTGACTGCGCCCTACTAGATGGGGATTTGTATGCAAAATGTCACTAAAAGCGCCGTTTCGTTCTTATAAAAGCACGGATGACCGCGATTGGCCCATATGTTGTACTCTTTTGGACGCTGAGTCGACTGGTTTTGGTCCGAAAAGGCTGCGATGCAGCGTTCCTCCTTTATTCCCAATCGAACATGGTTGAACAAGCGGTCACGTGCTCCTGGGTGCCCAAATCACCTGGTCACCACGCCAGCAGGCGACAACTTTCTGTTATACGCATCCCATATTTGGATCCCGACCCCGGCATGATTCCATTACCCCTAGCCCTGCATGCAGAGATTCGTACACATTCCATTACCCCCTACCCCTACCCTTGCATGCAGTAATTCATACACACTCCAATACCCCCTACCCCTGCATGCAGTAGTTCATACGCACTCCATTACCCCCTACCCCTGCATGCAGTAGTTCGTACACATTCCATTACCCCCTACCCCTGCATGCTGTAGTTCATACGCATTCCATTACCCCCTACCCCTGGCCCTGCATGCATTAGTTTGTACACACTTCATAACCATATTTGACCCATTATCCCCTACCCCTAGCCTTGCATGCAGTAGTTCGTACGTACACACTTATAACCATATTTGACCCATTTCCCCGCTGCCCCTGCATGTAATAATTAGTACCATACACATTTGTAGCCCGTTTTCCCTCCTTCTGCCCCTGCACATAAAACCCACCGTACATTTGATCTAATTACATCCCTTTATAGTGTACATAGTCGGGCTATACACATAATAATACGCGCCCAGCTAAATGGGCGCCCTCATGCATTGTACCGTACATTCTATTCTAGTTCACTCTAAGATAACCAAACTTCGATAATCTAGTCAGAAGAAGAATCCACTCCCTAATGTTGATGTCGAATAATTCTGTCCTCGTCGTGAGATAATATATACTTTACCAACTCTCGTAAACTGGTCTCTCTGGTGTGTGAATAGACAACATTGTGAATTGACAACATTGGCGCCCAACGTGGGGCTCGAACCCACGACCCTGAGATTAAGAGTTTTCTAGTTCACTCTAAGATAACCAAACTTCGATAATCTAGTCAGAAGAAGAATCCACTCCCTAATGTTGATGTCGAATAATTCTGTCCTCGTCGTGAGATAATATATACTTTACCAACTCTCGTAAACTGGTCTCTCTGGTGTGTGAATAGACAACATTGTGAATTGACAACATTGGCGCCCAACTTTGGCTCTAATTACCCACTCCCTCCGCTCTACCGACTACCAACGACTCTGTAATGAATATTCCCGGTGCCTTTCACTTCCCCGCGTGAGTAACTTCGATAAGCTTGTGTATCATATTAGTCATAAGTGCTTCTGCCTACCGTTGTGTTCTTGTTCGTTTTCCTTTTGTGTTAATTGGTGTCCTTTTGTGGTGTTTCGGGTGCATCAGACTTATCAGCCTTACTGTCTAGTATAGTGTAGCATCCTTAGTACGAACCTGTTCGGTCTTCCATATTTTGATCTTGAAAAAAAAAAACAAAAACTATTCAATATGTCAAGTCAATCTTCTTGGATAATGCCCCGTCCATTCTCAGGCAAAGAGAACGAGGATTTCGAAGCATTCTTATTAGATTTCGATAATGCTTGTGATGCCAATGGTTGGGATGATACTACCGTTCTGGCTCGGCCTGTCCGTCCAGCCCCCATAAGAACCCGAGGGGAAGCATCTGGTTCACACTATACGGTTACACCATCTCCTGTTACTTCTACCCCGGCCCCACCTAAAGAGGCTACATTTTATACTCGGTACTCTGAAGCTTGTTCGGACGGTCCTTACGCACCTGACGATATTCCAACACCAAAGATTCATTATGCTGATGATACAAAGTCCAAGTCTAGTGCCAGTGGTAGTAAGCCAGATGCCTCCCTCCCCACTAAAGACTATCAGTGTCCGGGTCCCCTTGGTCGTGGTTCAGATGTTGGGACTCCCGTTACTCATAACCCC